TCAGACACATTCCTCCCTATCCAAGCTTTCTAGTTCCAGAGCTACGGAAGATTTTGGGCATTCCTTCTGATCAATGTCTTTTGTTGGCATTTGATGAAGTTGGTGTCTTTGACGCAAGTCTCGACTTTGTTTCATTTGGGGAGGACCGATGACGGTGTAGTTCGACCTTACAATGACTTTTTCGGTATCATTAGTCAATTGTGCGAAGAACCCGACTTGTTTTTTATTGTTGTTGGGAAAAGCAAGGGTTTAAGTATTAAGAATTATGTGTCTTTTGGCTATCAAGAGTTATACTACATTTTATTTCTTTATCACCTTTGGACGCTTCCAGTATCGTTGAATTCCTTGAAAAGAGTCTTCTTGAGACACCTACTCAAGTTCCGGTTTGTAATGTCTTATGTAGTTCTTCATTTTCAGTAAATGAATTGGCAGATTCGTTGTTGGAATGTACAGGTGGAGTTCCTGGTTTGTTGACTCGTGCAGTAAATATGCTTTTGAATTATATAGTAGCAAGAAATCAGCCTTTCATATCGAAAGAAGAATGTTTGACTTGTATGAATGACTACGATTTCCGAATAATTTGTGCTGAACCATTTGTGGAACGAATATTGAATTTGGACGAAGATAGAAGAAGTGTTTTTGATTTACTTTTGATGATGGCTCTTTATCGTATACCGTTTCAAGTAGATGATAGATTGACCTCGGAGTCCTTTTTATATGATGCAGTCACTGAAATGGGATTATATCGATATCCTATTGACGAGAATACTTTTCAAGTCCTAATTCCGAAAGTATTTGTTGTAATCTTCAAGAGGGACCCTTCCATCTCTTCTTTGGAAAAGATACTTCTTGGATCACTTGATGTCGAACCAGTAGATTGTTTCTTTTATTCAAAGTGTCGTGTATTTGAAGGAATTGTTGCTTTACGACTAGTTTTGATGTTGTCTTCAAAGAATCGAAATGAGTTGAGGGAATTGTTGTGTCAGTTGTCTCCGATATGGAAACAAATGAAACTTCCAATCAGTACAATATCACCTATTCACTATATGAAGTCTGTTGTTAGTTCTAGAGAAACAAGAAATGAATCGAACAAGAGTCGAAGAACTTTTGCCAGTACTGAATGGAATAAGATTATTCGAGAGACACTTTATTTAGAGACTGTTTACATTCCTTTGGACGCTACTTCTCATAGTCCTGATATTATATTCAAATTACAATCTCCTGTGGAACCCAAAGTTCTTACTGTTGGAGTTGCTTGTAAAGGACGTTGGAAGTCGGAAGGAATTGGCTGGTCAGATATTATAGATGAAGCCAAGAAATTTTTAGATCCTGTTTATGATCAAGTCTTATCCAGTGCAATGGATTCTCATCATTGTATGCTTATTATCGTTAGTACAAAGTTATCATTGAATGTTTCTAATGAGTTGGGTAATCAGAGTCGTTGTTACTCCAGTGGAATGTTTATTGGAGATGATTTTTTCAAAGTACCTGATAATTGTGAACTTGTTATTCTTTGTGAAAGAGATGTCGAAATGCTGATTGACGACGAAATTTTGAATGGACTTGAAAGAGCGTTTGGTGTTTCTCATAATCCTACTTTTTGGGATTTTGGATTAGATTTACTTGATAGAATCCGTAACAGTTTCTTAAGTTGGCAATAGATTCTAACTCAGTCCTTTTCTTTGTTTTGAAGAGCAAATAAACTATTTTTTGTATGTTTGAAACTTGGTTACATCTTACTTTTTTGCCTCTTTGGAGACCATACATTCTTTTCCGAAAAGAGTTTATTAGCTGGCTGACAGGGCTGGTTCACAGTAGTTCATTCTTATCTAGCCATTTTACATGGCTATGTAATTGCATAATACATTCTGAATATTATCAATACTAAATATACGACAATTGTATTCAATAAGTTGAGTCATTTTTGGTGTCTATGACAATAGATTGGCTATTTTGAAGCAATTGTAGAAAACTTTGTTGGGGAAGGCTCTCAAGTCATGAAAAAGTCCGTATTGGAGAAACAGAAAACTCTATATGACACCAGAAAGCGCTTTGTCTTTGCTCCAATTGTTTTAGAATCTCACATTCTTTCTTCTCTTCTACGTATGAATGGAATATTTGTTGACATTGAAACGTTTCTGAAATGTTTCGATTTTTCAGCATAGTCTCACAATGGATGACTTCAAAAGGCTGTTGGATCAGTTTGTTACCAAAATAGATCGCTATGGAAGCTTGAGACACGTTGATAATGACTCAATTTGAGCAATGGAAAGTTATACAACAAAAAACTTTTTATTCAAAATAAAATGCAAGGCTTAAACTATGGTATCTTACTTCTCAACTTTGGAAACTGTGAAGGTTCTAAAACAAACCTTCATCAGCCAGAGACCCGATGTGATTGGGTGAGCACCCAGGTTTCCATAACCAAGCATAAACTTTACCTTTCTGAAAGGTAGAATGAGTCTTCAACTAGATTAGGTTTGATAGAGCCACAAGTTGGCGGACAAAAGGTTGTAGATTGTTGTGCAAACTTCAAAGATGTAATGGTGATGGAACTTGGTTGAATCGATCGAAAGCTGCTTGGTTTTCATATTAACAGAATAAGAAATATTTTAGTAGAATCTTTTGTTTGGAATTGTAAGTTTGTAATACGTTGAATCCTTTAGAGGAGTGGTTATTTGACAAATAGTAAAGGAGACAGAAATGTAGTCAGATTGAAAAGTTTTTGTAGATTCTGCACCATCAATCGTTTTCAAACAGTTATCTTTCGCAATGATTTAGACAAAAGGTATGTTTCTAGTACCTGGAAAATGTTGTTTGGTAGGAACTTTGCTGAGATGTGGAATGCCCTGGCAGATAGTATTGTTGCAAAAGATTACTATCACATATTCAAATAGGTAGTTAGTTATGTATTCTTATCACATTGACATTGTTGCAAGATATTGTATAATTCCATTGCAGTATGTTGTCCACATAGGAATGCTTCATTTTGAGTCATTGGCTCTACACTCAAACGTCCCTGACTTTGAGTCATCCAGAAACTTTCTTGTGACTACTACTCTCTTCAGGGAATGTTAGGTTGAGTTTTTACTATGGCTACTCCGGTATATTTTGATATATGCAATATTTGGATAGTTAACAAACACAAAAAGTTATAACCTCAAACTTTGCCATTCATTGACTGGGTCTACACACAAGTGCCAAGGATTATATCGAGTCATTGAGTATTAGAAAACATACAAATAGGGATACAATTTACGGGGTAAAGTTTAGAGTACTGTTAAAGTCAAGGAGCTCATAGAGAGAGTATCTCAAACGGTTGCTGAAAGATTGAAAGTTGCAAAGATCGTCCCTTTCCAGATTCAACCCTATAGTTCTCTTCGAATGAAAGTCAACAGTGAAAAGTTGTAAGAGTATTCGTTAATAGCACTGTTGGATCATTTATGTTTCTAGTTTCCAAAAAAAGAAGAAGAAGCAGAGCAGTCTTTCTACTACAAGAGCTTAAGTTCCATTGTTTCCTAATTTTTTGTTTTATAATTATCCATTCGAAGAACCCACCACTTGTCATCATAACAAGGTAAATTTCCATCGGCAATCTTACCTAGTTATACAGTATTGAAAAGAATGAGACTTTCTGCCGATTTGAACAACGCTATGTGTACGATTGCAATCTTGCTTTAGCAATGTTATCTTTTTTTGCAAGAGTTTGCTAAATGGGAATGTTTTAAAATCATCTATAAAAAGAATTGTAAAAGGATTGCTCAGATGTTTCTGCTATGATGAGAAACACTGAAATGTAAACTCCTTTCTGTTATAATAGTTTTTTTTGGGCATAGAGACTTTACTGATTTTTGGTACTCTTATAAACCGAAAGTTTGTACACTTTTTAAACTTTTTGTTATTTGTCCATTTTTTGGAAATGTCTCTTTAACAGCTAAAATACTCCTATAGTCAGCATCACCTTGCTTTTTCAGTAGATACTTTTATCATTTATGTAAAACGATACAACAAAACGACTGGGTAAGATGACTATTGAAATTTTTCTTTTGGTAGAATTCGTGATAAATGAATTAACGATCATCCATAAGGGAATAGATATGAGACATTGAGACAAACTATATAAATACCTATCTACAAGGTGTATCAAAACAACAATGTCTAGGAAGATCAATCATAGCAAGGAGCAATCTATCTCTGGTCAGAATCTTCTTTAAACGCTTCGTCAACTTATTAACGAGCGTCCTAATTATCTAATAATATGACCCTGTTAAAGGTGCCAATCTATGAAGACAACTATGACAGATGGGTAGAAGTAGTCCCTGGATTTCTTCTGCATGCTATTCTGAGAAATGTCTTTTATGTTCCAAATCTGATCACAAACCTACAATTCGTCTCTTTAAAAAGAGTATCTTCCTAAATGAAAACGGACATAACTAAAGTGCCGAAAAATAAAAGGAATAGGATTCGACTAAGAATCTAGTTAAGGTTCTTACAAACTATCTTGACAATGTGAACCCAAGGGCTGATATCGACAAGAGCCTAAAGGACCAAGATTCTGACTGCAGATATGCACGAAAAATATTCTAAAACGACACTCAATAAAAATCTGCTGATTTACGAGAGAGATGAAAGGTTCACGACCTTGAGTTATTTGGAATCCATTGCCTTGGTTATCTCCTCGAAAAGACAAACAGCGAATTTCCAAGGAATACCAGAGTTTAAACAACGATATCTCTTGAATGGAGTATATAAAAGTAACAGAGGTATTCAATATTGGACAATCCAAAAAGACAATACAAGCCAAGTGGAGCTCAACGTCTCAAAGGAAAAGGTGGGACTGTTACAATAGAAACAATTCAAAGCTTGAAATATGTTCAAAGAGAGGTTTAAATTCCGAAATTTCATTTTTATAACTTTAATCCCTCGATAGGTTTGAAGTGGCTAAAGTGTCATAAACCAACTTAACGATATCCAAAGTAACTGTATAGCCGCCCTGGAAACTCTTGAAAAACATTATCAATTTGTCCAATTTACAATTTGTGTTTAGGTCATTCGTTGTTGAAAGTTTCGAGTTGTATCAGTCTTTGGATAATGCAAACAATATACCGCTTAAAAGAACCACAAATTGACAGGGAAGAGGACGTCAGGACAATTATACGGACGTTTCTTTTTCAGTTCTCGGAGAAGGCGTACGGTGGGCCTTCGTTCAATCGCCCGGCTTGCTGTTTTGCGCCGCATATTTATGGAGCCGGCAAAACATTTCTAGGCCAAAACTTTTTGGTCTATTTGAATATTTTTGCAGAGCGTGAGTGTTCCAATGCACAGGCTTTTCAACAACTACACAGTTCAAACGATAACCCCCAACCGAGTGCTTTGAAGGTGCCTTGGAAACACTTTGCGGAACAAACTTTGTCAGTTATCTTAGAACTAAGAGAGAGCTTTTCTGATGCTCCTTTTCCAAGTTTTCGAAAGGCTTTGATGTATAATATTATTTTGAACGCTTACCGACAAAATGGTAAAGATGCGGACGCTCTTCAAATAGCTGAAAGGACGGTAAAGAATTTTGATATTGTAGGAGCTATTAATTGGCTTCTCGAACAATTTCAGAAACGATATTTATTTTTGATGATAGACGAACTTAGCCACCTGAGTTACCTCACCACATACTATAGTGAACTTACCACGAAACAGTTTTTTGAGTCTGACCCAAAATATGTACCTTTCCGGAATTTCTTCCGCATTCTACGTAGTTTTTTGATTACAGGGAAGGTAATTGTCTATGTGGCAGGTCGAACTGCTGAAATCTCAGCCCCCTTGTCTGATGCTCGCTCCAGTAGAGTGAGTCTCCGTATGTTGCGGTTGAATCTCTTTAACCTCCATGATATTAACGAATATCTTGAGCTGGCAACTTATGATGGAAAGTCCTTGAAGGACTGTTTATTGCCCTTTGATGAATTACGATATCGATTCGTAGAATTGTTGAAGAAGAAGACAGGGGGTATTCCGTTGATTGTAAGGAATACTTTATTAGCCCTAGTAGGGAAAGTTTCAAACTTATCGCAACCTGTTACCAACGATGACAATATGGAACTTTTGTTAGATAGTGTCTTTAGCTCTTTACTACTAGAGTCAGTAACGTTTATTATTCCAGAGATACTAGATTCCGCAACCCTTCTTCGATATCAATTTGTCCTTTTGAATTATCAGCTTGGGACAGTTTTTCCAATTGACTTTGTAATTACTCTATGTGGAACGAGAAGTTATTTGATGGACTTGGTTGCAACTTTTGGGTTTTACTTTGAAATTTGTGAAACTGACGGGATTGATTTGGGCACTGAATTCAAGATTGGTTGTTGTGATTTTATATTGAGAGCTCATAGCAACTATAACTTTTTCCTTGAGGCTACTGAACTCTTGCCTTTATCTCCGTTTAGTTATATTTCCGACATTTCAACAGCAAAGGGAGTCTTCTTTGAATTTATATTTATGAAGATCTTTCGTTTTCGCTTATTAACTTTTCTTCATTCTAGTTCCTCGCAGATTGTGCATTCTGCTATTCCAGGAATTTTCGAGGGTTCTTTTATTGAACAGGACAATGTTTCTTATTCTATGGAATCAACAAAATCTAATGATATACCCATCTTGAGAAATGTCTCTGATTCATTTTCTGACCATTATGGAAAATTTTTACAACGTTGTGGTATTTTTGTTCCAAAAGATGGCAATTCTAGTGGCGCTGATGCATATGTTGTATTCCATAATGGTGAAACACGTTATGTTGTTGGATTTTCATTTAAATTTTATCACAAAAGTGAATTTTCGAAAAGAAATATTGAGAAGGAAGCAGAACAATTTTTTAAGGGAGTTGTTTCCGTTTTGAATGACGAATCTTTTTCATCTGTTCAACTTTGTTTTCAGTTTGTGGTAGTTTGTACTAGTTATGGTCGATCTGTAGTTTTCTCTAGTGAAGAACAGAATATTGTTGAGGATGCAAGTTATTTGGTAACTGAACATTCTGCAGGGTCAACTTTGAATGAAAGTAGTCGATCATGTATGCAATTGATAGTTGTTTCCCAAAGGAACCTTGAACGATTTTTGGGAATAGAAAATTTCGATATTTTGAGGAAAATTGACAAGGCAAGCCGAGAAGAGTTCAGTAAATACTTTTCAGTATGGTGTAAAACTATCTTTGAGTCGATGTCTAATGAATATGTTTCATCTTTGGAAGCTGAGCAATCAAATGCTTCTGTTAGAGTGGCTCGAAATATAAGACCGAGAACAAACAAGGAGAATAGGATGCAAATGGAAGGTTTTCAAAGTGCTATGCAAATGGAAGAAGGAAATATACGAGGCAAACGAAGTGTTGTAGCTTCCAGTTCTTCGTCATTTGATTGGAATTTGTTTCTCCGTCAATTGGGATTTGATGAAAGTCAAGTTCGTGAATATGTTTCAAAGCTCCCACGTCTTCCGGTATCTGCTCTAAAATACATTTCTTTTGACGACTTAATGCATACAAGAATTAGAGAAGAAGACATTGTGAAAATTTTGTTCTGGTTGCAGAGAGTTTCAACAAAGTAGAGATAATCCTATTGTCATTACTGATGTTGGTGTTATAAATTAGTGTTTTGTGTGCATTGTTATTATTATAGATTATGGATATTCCAAGGAACAACTCTACATTTTATTGATACAATATTCTTTACAAGGGAGATTGAGGCTCAACTGAAGGTAGTGTGTCCACTCTTTCGCTACAGTTAGTCGAGTAGAAAAAATCTCCTGAATTTTCAGATAAACCTTTATATACAAGTCAAAAAGGTCACGTTTGCACCCCCGCTATGTGTGATAATACGCCAGGCCACTATGCTCAGTGCCTCTCTACAGAATATCCTGACAATCTTGATGCAAGAAACCTTTTCAATGGAAGAATAGGTGAAACTTGTTTTCTATTATAGTCAAAGAGCACTTTAGGAATTGAGTTGTGAATTTCAAAGACGACCCATTCTTCAAGTTGTCTTTTTGTTGACTGAAACACTTTCAAGGCTACACGCAAGTGCTTGTAAGAAGCTTGAATATTTATTTTAAAAAAGAGTCCCTGTGATAGTCAAAACTTTCTTATGTGCCGTTTGTGACAACTGTAGTATGTGACAGCTACTTTCATCCTGGTCAACAAATGGTGGGACTTTCGAAAGCTCTTGAAATATATTATCAATAGTTGTATAAAGTTCATTACGTGAAAATGATGGTAAGAGCGAATAGGTTAAGACTTCCTCCGAAGTTTAATCAATTGAAATTGTATGCATTCTCTTCACAATTATATCTTTTCAAGGAAATGAAAGCATCATTCTATTTTCTTTTGAAGTGACATTGGAATTTAGAGTTGACCTGGAAAAGATGGACACTATGACTTTTCTCACTTGAATCCAGTAGCTGCAAATACTTAAAGTTCACAAATTGTAAAGGAAATGCAAGCTTTGTAAAACTACGTTGGTTTATTGGTGTACACAACTTTTGTATCCAAAATTATTAATCGTAGTTGTGATTCAAAAATTTTTCCAAAACTTCAAATACGTTAATAGGAAGGTTTACTGAGAATCAAATATGACTCATTTCCAATGAGTAAGATCATATGATTCTGCAAAGGTATACTTGAATAGCCATATTCGAGCTTTCCAAGTAACTTTTTGGGTTCTTGCGACACTAAGCAGGTCACGTACTTCTTTTTCCGTTTATGTATCATAAAAGGGAAAATCCAAGTATTTGGAGAGGAGATCACTGAATAATTCTTGGAATATAATAGAAACACAACGTTGTATTGAGCTGAAATCCTCCATTCGAATTGCTATTCACTTTTGACCAACTAGAGAAAAGAGACAGTCAATCTATCGTGTGCTTTGGTATACTTCTCTCTTTTTGAAATAATTAGTTTATTCATTCTGTAACAACTTTGTGTGTTGACAGATACTAATAGACGCTTTATACCTCTTTACATTAAAAATATAAGTTTTTTGTTAAACCCAGTAAAGAAGGATTCGTATTTGAAAATGAATATTGTCACAAAGAGACTCAAAAGCATGGGACCAATAGAAAGCTCCACAAAGCACAACCAGTAGGCTGATCTTTTTCACATTATGGACGATTCATCCGTGAGCTAAAGTAACTACGAGTCTCGGTAGGTCGTAACCAAGATGTATATAGCTCTAGTCACAAAGCTATTTCTGAAATTTTTGGCTCTTGTTAGTTACTTTAGTCTCTATCATATTTTTGATCAAAAAAATAGTACAAGTGTACGATGCTTATATTTAAAGATTGTTTTAGAAATATCTGGGGACTACATATGAAACGATTCTAATATTTCTTCATATCTGTTGACACATACTTGAAAACCTTCTCTCTTGGTCTGATCATTCGTTTTGATGTTACATATCCACTGTTGCAACAATTCAAAAGTCAACAACGATAAATATATGAACGTTCCAAAGAAGGAAAATATTTCCATGTTTTCACACATTCCCTTAGATTCCACCTAATGCTCGTCTCTTATGTGCTGTATTCATATAAGGCCTTAAAACCCATTCATTATCCGCATGTGATTGCTCAATCGTTCCTAATCGAATTTGGTAAAGCTTCATATCAAAACGAGGTCCCATTTCTATCAACTCTATATCTTCGGGTCTAGTGCCACTTTTTTGATACAAATGATGTCTAAGAAAATATCAAATAAGCTAAACTAAGAAAACGATTCCTTACCTAAAGGAAATAATATCTGCATGATTGCTGAAAGTAATGATACGCTTGGAATCTGGTTTTGGACTCGGAAATAAATATTTGAGAATATTTTTAACTCTCCATCCAAGCTTTGATTCAAAATTATCAAAGACAAGATGCGGGTTGGCTTCTGAGACTGTTCCAAGGTCTGTATCCACAATATCATGACGCATAACCACGTTGGATAAAGCTTGATAGGATTGATAATCAAACAACAAACAAAACAAACTCCTCTATTACTTACAAAAGAATGCAGTAGGTCCAAGAGGTAAATGACAAACAACAAGACCATCGGGCTGTCCTAAAGTAATATAAAAATCACTTTGCACAAGTTCCAGCATTTCGAATTCTCGTATTACCTCTATATTCACTTAACAGGATAACATCAGTTACTTGATTGTTTTTACAAGCCGTCATCAAGTCACGAATGACTAGATTGCCTCGGTTCAACCGTTGAGAGTTGGGAAATAAAAGTTTCACTTCTTTGGCAAACTGAGACAATCTACTACTGGGATCTCGAGAGGTTGTAATGACAACCTAGGACTGTTTAAGCAACAAACTGATAACGCTATGAATAAATAAAGAATCTACTTTGGGATCTATTTCATTGGCTCTAGCATATTCGTCATCCACGTGAGAATAAGCACGGTCTGTTGCTGAGTCCAAGTAGTTTGCGGATTCAAACAATTCTTGTGCTTCTTCTATCCAAACAACGTAAAAACTCAAAAGCATTCTATTATATATCGAACACTTGCCTTGAAGTTCTGTTGGAACATTCTTTCCAGCAGCAATGGCGTCTCTAACCTAAATAAAAGTTACCACATAATATTCCTTAAATATAGCTTCTAAAAAATAATATTACCTTGATTTTCTTCTCATATATTTCTTCTTCTTTCAAAGACTTTCGATAGAGATATTCACGTCGTCTTCGAGCTTCTCGACGAAGCATGAGAGTGACCCAAAATGAGTTGTGGGAAGCCACAAGAAACTTATTCAACTTCTTCGATATTGACTAGAGAACAATTTGAAATACAACACCAAGAAGAAGATACAATTGGTGAACAAGTAATATTTATTGATGGTGTAGCTTACAACTCGAGAGGCTTTCGTGTTTGTGGTGCACCAAACCAAAGAGGTGGCTTTTGTGCACGTTTTGGACAGTGTCCTTTTCACAAGGACAAAGTCACAACTTTCAAAATGAGTGAAGAAACCGTTTCGGAGTTTCCTCGACAACTCTTAACTGAGAGTTGCAATCTTTTGCAAAACAATGAAAGAAAATTCAAGAATGCTTGGAAACTGGATGAACACCATCGCTTTCTTGTAGCACTGAAAAAATTCGGTCATGGAAATTGGAGACAAATAGCAGACTATGTTGAAACGAGAAGTGCTAGTCAGTGTCAGTCCCATGCTCAAAAGTATTACTTGAGGAAGAGGAAACTTGCAAGTAACGCCAACTTAAAACGGAGTATATTCGACTTGATAGATGAGGATACTCTATCAGTTGAGTTAGGAGAAGAAGATACTTGGAATATTATCCAAAAATGCCCTTCAAAGGAAGCTCAAGGATCTGTTCGCTCTCGTTCCAAAACCTTACAAAGGATGTCCACCGATTCTTCTGTAGAAAGTTATCCTATTAGAGAGTTGTCAACTGTTGATTCAGAGCTTTCAACTTTGCTTACTTTTAAATAATCTTTTTTACTTTATATAGAATTTTGAGCAATATGGTCGTACTTTTCTGATGGATGTTGGCTTGGAGTTGCCAAATAGTCTAGCAAGTTTTTTTATAAAAGCTGCTCAACTACTCGATATGAGTGTAGCAACTAAAGCATATACGCGTTCTGGTTTTGAAATATCTTCATTACATGAAGTCTGTCCTGGAGATATTCTTTGGATATCGAGTGGAGAAGAATTTATTTTTCCATCTCCTGTGCAGTATATTGAAACTTGAGAATATATGTATTGTGAAAAAGTTATCAAGATGATACAAACTCTTCTACTGAAACTGCTCCAAGAGGGTTTGTTCCTTTTTCTAGGCGACTTGACCATTCCTTTAAGAGTTTTTCCATTTCATGATCCGGCTCTATCGAATCCAGAGAAACCTAACCAAGAATACTTGTTATGAAGTTTTTAACTGGTATCCATTTGGACTGACCAACTTGTCACAAAAAGCTACTGGACAACGAACACAAGTTTGTTTCTTCGAAGTTTTGTGATGTTTCAAATATTCCAACAACGCTTGTCTTGAGTATGTATGAAGACATTCCTTACTGTTATGATAGTTGCGAACATTATTTAACCAAACTGTATAAATAGACAATTTGAACGCTTCTTACTTTTTCACAGGTTCAACAAGTCTACTTTGTGATATAGGACAAGTAAAATGCTTCTCGTCCGATGGAAAGACTGAAGAAACTACTTCTCCCTCTTGAAGAGTCTACGAGTGTCATATTGTTATTTCAACCAATCTCATATCATACACAAGCTCTTCAACTACCTCCATGAAGTTGACAAGTCTCTTCAATTCTTCACTCATTTCGCTCCTATTCTCGTTTTGGAACTTTTGGACCACTTGCTCATATATTGTCAAGATATTATTCACTTCCGAAGAAGACTAGAAAAGATAGAGCGAGAAAGTTCAACTAGTAAATACTCTCAAAAGTTACCTTTTCTCTTCTTGTGCTTCCAGTGGAGAAAACTCTTTGACAAGTCCTGTTGGCCTCCAAATACAACGCTGCTTCTTGTTTTGAATCTGTAAAGTCACAAGCCATTCTCTTCAACGAATTAAGCTAATAGAACGAAGTTGTAAGAAAGGCACAGTGCAACAAAATTCAACCAACGTCATCTTTTGAAAAGTTGCCAACATCAGCTTGCGAATACACTTCCAATAAGTGCTTTAAATAAAACAAACCCTCCTCACTTGTCTTTTTCAACTCTTCCCAAGTACTAGTTCTTTCAAGGAAAACATTGTTGGATAGAGTGAGTTCGCTATTCATTTTCAGAATCCAAACAATTGCAAAGATACTACTCGGATTATTGATAACCTTTACTAAGAAACTCATCCAAATAACTTGAAACCTGTTTAAACGCTTTTCCAGCAATTGCTTTCATTTCTGAAGCTTCCAAAGATGCCTTTTTTACAAATTGTGAAGCAAGTTCCCTCAACTCTTCCGATGTTTCATTTCTATCAGAAGATCTTCTGGTAACAGGTACATCTTCTCCAAAGTACTCAGATGATGAAATTGAACGAGCACCAGCAAAGCGAAATGATGCATCTGTAGGTTGACTTTCAGAATGACTATAGTTGGAAGTTGTTGAAGAAAAGTAATCCGCAGACGAAATAGAACGAGCATTTGCAAATCGATCCTGAGGTTTGATTTTGGTTTCCTCTCTAGAATTCTGGTCATGAAAAGTAAACAATGCAGGACTTGAAGAATCTCTTTCCAAGCTTGCATGCTGTTCCGTAACATGTATAACTGGCTTTTCCTTAATCGTTCCAACTTTGGATATATCCACCGTTGCAACTTTGGGAGACATCTCCCTTGACATTCGTTTTGCTCCTAAACCTCGTCTACTACCCATACTACTTTTCAGTTTGATGGTTCTAAAGTTATTTGTATTCGTTTGTAACTTTGACTGCGAGTTGAAAGGTTCTGTAGAGGAAGAGACAGGTACACTAGTTACACCGGTATCTAATAGGGACTCCGCAGTTTGTTCTTGAAGAGAGTGGTCGTCTGAAAAGCCGTCCCAACTACTTTCTAAGAAATTGGTTTCCGTAGTCAAAGGGTTAGGTAACTCAGAAATTGTCGAATCTTCTACATTCACGTTACTTTCTTCAACAACAATACTACTTGCAGGTTCTAGTTGCTCCAGTTCTTCACCCAAACGGACTTCGCCTCTGGAAGCAAGTAAGTGGTTGAACAAAAGTCAGTTGTCTTCTTTCATACCTTTCTTCAGATATCACTGCTTGCTTTTGGAGATATGCTTTGTACTGTTGTCCAATACGGCCGGTATACTTTTCTTCTATACCTCTTCCACTCTCCAAACTCCATCCATTTTGAGAATAAAACTCTCGGGCTTTAGCGTTCCCACCCAGCACCATAAGACGCAAGTGATGTGGAGTCCAAGTATCCATAATAGTGGACCTTACAAAGGTAACATGAGTTCCAAGTTTCCTGTGAAGCCCAGCACAATCCAAACAGATAAACACTCCAAAGGAAGCTGAAGCCCAGGTGGGGTTTCTCGCGTTGCAATCGAAACAAGACTAACATAGTTCATAAAAAGTAAGTAAAGCTAAAAACATATGTACCTTGTTTTCAGGCTTGGCTCGTAACTTGGCCAACAACTCTCGCGCCTCTTCTTGTGTCATATTCATTTTATTTACGAATAACTCAAAATCCAATCCATTTTTGTTATTGAGCAGTTTGTCAGCAATGCTCAAGTTTGCTCCACTGGACGACTTGTTCATATATGTGAAGAATTTTCGATATTTGAGTAACTTACTTCCACAACTAGAAATTGCGAATGGACTAGGAAGTGTGCCCGCACTACCCAACTTGGAAGAATGGATACCTTCTATTTTGAAAATGGCTGGACACTCCAAGTGGCACAATATTAAGCGTATGTACACAACGGATTAGACTACTTTTCATACCAGGACGCTAACATTGGCTTTTCACAGATCAGAAAGCACGAGCAGACGCAAAACGTTCTCAGAACATTGCAAAAATATCGAGGAGTATCATATCCGCAGTGAGAGAAGCAGGAGAGGACCCAGCGAAAAATGTAAAGTTGGCAGTTGCCATCGAAAGAGCAAAGTCTCTGGATGTTCCTAAGGATAAAATTCAGAGTGCAATCAAGTCAGGGTTGGGTGTTCGTTCGGAAGCTGAGTTGGAAGCTGTTCGATACGAAGGATATGGACCAGGTGGTATAGCTATTTTGGTAGAAGCGCTTACCGGAAATCGTAATCGTACTGCTGCTCAAGTACGACATTTATTTAACAAGTATGAAGGAAGTCTGGGTTCTCCAGGTTCTGTAGATTGGATGTTTGAAAAGTTGGGGGTGATACGTTTTAGCATTTCCGAGGATACTAGCTTATTAGACAAACTGGAAGAAGCAGCTATCGACTTGAACGCAAAGGATGTGGAAGTCGTTGAAAGTTCGAAGGAAGCTCATATGACTTGCAATCCAGATCAATTCTTTACTATTTTGGAAAGTCTCAAGGAGAGAAGTTTTGTGTTTGAGTCCGCTGACGTTTTGTATCGTCCCAAGAACATGATATCCTTGTCCATAGAAGAGGACTTGGGGAAAAAGGTGAATGGACTCATAGAAGCCTTGGAAGACGACGAAGATGTAGAAAATGTTGCTCATGCAGCAAACTTTACTTGACGATAAATTCTTGTTTATGGACGAAATAGAATTCCTAAATAAACTAATGAGGACTAGGCAACTGGAGTTCGCAACACGAGGAGCGACCAAAGTATTTATTCTTTGTGCATTTCATCTGTTGCAAAAGAATGCCATATACCTTGATCCTTTGAGAGTTTATGGGTCAAAAAGGAAAGAAATAGAAAATGCTGTAAATCCCAATTCGCAAGTTGAATTCGTCCCAACATCAAAATTGTTTGGATCCCGTTTTTAAATAATGTTAAACGACCTTAGTAGAAAATCATACTTACCTGGGAGGGCAGTCTGTACATCGCAAGACGTACGACTGTGCGGGGACGACAAACTTCTTTACTTTTGTCTTCGGACAGGGAAAGTTGTTTGTTGAAACCGTCGAGGTCACGACTATGTGGCTGTCGACTCCTCAATTTATGACCCTGGAGTAGTATGCGTTCGCGCAGCTGCTCCTTCTCCTTTTGATTCTGGCTTGTATAGAAATAAAGACTATATCTTACAGTTTTTCTAAACTCTTGGTTTCTGTTTTATTTTGGAAATACATAATATGTTTGTCAGCATAGCATGCAATGTCTTGAATAAAAGTTGGTTACTCATTGGAACAAGGAGAGGCTGTGTCCAAGTTTTTCTACCAAACAGATATCACAAAACTGTCAATAAACCAAGCAACTACGTCTCATGCAGCTCGCAGCTTAGTGAAACAGAGTTGAGAGACAAGCTGCGAGTCTGTAGCACTACTAAAGAGCTGGTGACCAGGCTGAGTGAAGTGTTCGTTCAACAAGGAGTTCCAGAGTCCAGACTGTCAGCAGAGTACATAGTGGCAACTAGTTTTGGCTTGAGTCGGAAACAGTTGCTTCGTGGAGAGCCTACTTTGTTATCCCAACTAGAGCCGTTTTACAGCACTTTGACACACAATGCACTTAGACGTCTTCTCCGAGAACCAGTGCAGTACATTGTGGGTAATTGGGACTTTTATAATTTGACTTTGAAGGTCAGACAACCTGTCTTAATACCTCGTCCGGAAACCGAGGAGTTGGTAGACAGGATCCTAAAGTTTTGGAAGAATGTGTTGCGTCGAGGCTCAACCGGTGAAGTGACAAGATGTTTAGAGATTGGATGTGGAAGTGGCGCCATCAGTTTATCTCTTTTGAAAGGTTGGAAGGAGTTCACAGGGAATAATAATATATTGAAAGTGACTGCACTTGATATTGATCCTCAAGCTATCACCTTGACGAAAGAAAATGCCTGCATAGTTTTAGAAGATGAACAAAAGCGGTTGTTAGATATTCACTTGCAAGATATTACAAAATTTCGGTTAGATGACAATAAGTATGACTTTTTGGTATCTAATCCTCCATACATTCCAGAAGCAGAATATCGAACCTTGCAACCGGAAGTTATTCAATACGAGGCATCATGTGCGTTATTAGGAGGAAAAGATGGTAAGTCGTTAAAATATGCTAATGATATTTATTATTCAAATTGTTTTGATGAGGAATGGAAATTATTCGTGTTATATTGAGAGGTGCAAAGAATTGGTTGAAGACAGGAGGCACAATATGGTTAGAAGTCGATCCTTCACATCCTAAACTGATACAAGACTTTTTACATAAAGAGCCAAATGTAGGAGTAGAATTATTGCAAGTTTTTGAGGATATGAGTGGTCTTGCTAGATATTGCAAATTGTTGGTTATCTGATTATTGTTGACTAAAATAATAATGCGAATGTTCCATTCTATTACATATCAATTTTCTAGTTGTTTCACAAGTATAGCAGTTTTATATGGATATTGAGTAATAAGTCTTCCCATAAAACCATCTTATTATGTAAAAACGCTTCTGTAACTTTGGAACACTATGAAAGAAAAACTTGATATGGAATTCAACTGTTTGTATATTTGATAAATAATTACAAAGTGAATGAATAATATTCAACCCAATGCTTATGTTGTCCTTTGTTGGTGAAGAACAGTTGTTGCCTTTCCACAAAACTTCGAATAAGAGGCTCAACAGAGACCATTATTTCAGTCAACTGTTCAAGTTGTTTCACTTTCTTATAAACATTGTTAAGATGTTGAATGCCTTTGCTATCCACAAGAAGAGCAAACATGTAGGTGTCCAAAATGAGAGCAATCCACGCAATCCAAGCTTTTGAAATCCACCTTTTCGTATGAAGAATGCTTTCCAACTCGTCTTCAAATAAATGTAACTGAAGTATAACATCACGAAAAGGTAACATTTCTAAAGCCAACATCATATCTTTGGTTGAAAAAGGTCTCTGCCATAATGCAGTGAAAAGTTGTTCTAAATAGAAATTATCATTTTCTATGAAAGAATTCTGTTGTCTATTGTTCGAAACTTGTTGAATTAGATAGATTACTTCGATCGGTGGTAAGTCTACAATGTGTTTCATAAACTCCAAACATAAAGAAAATAAATGGTTTCTCCATAGAAACGGAAACAATATGGGATTCTTTGTAGTGCTCTGTTGACTCTCCAAAGATATCAGACAACTTCTCATCATAGAATAGTCAATCCAATGTCTCTTGACTAAAAATTCCAACACCGCTGTATATGATAAATCTCCATCTTTTAGGACTTTGAAAATATGCATCAAAATAGTACTAATCAACAAAGACGAGGGCTTTTCGTACAATTTATGATGTTGTGAAGTTTGTGCTGAAGATATATCCAAATTATTGGTTGATTGGGGCTCTTGCAAAACTTCCAAAATATCTTTGGAAGAGTAAAGACCTTGTTCTATGTGATTGATCCACTCCTTTTCCTTGTCAGACAAAGTTTTCATAATAAGATCTCCTCGCGTATCATTATCTGTCATGGACAATGCTTCCAACATATCTTCTGAAAATATTTGTCCTTTTCGTTCCATACAGGAAAAATCTTGTATATTCAAATTTTCGATTCTTTTCATTTCTAATATTTGGGATAAAGATAGTTGTGGAAGTTCACAATTCCATTTCACCAAGCCATTCACAAAACAACCATAAATGCAAAAATTATCGTCTCCTAAATGAGAAAAACGACTGCGACTTATATCCTTCACAATACCCAATTCCTTAAGCACACTCCATTTCCGAAAACAAAGTTTCCATTTCTTATGCCAAATTTGTAAACTTTCCTTGAAAAGTATTCCAAAATAATCGTTGCTCAAATCAAAAAGAAAAGTATTCCGTGGAGTAAACTCAGTGCCTGGTAATGTAATTCGACGGATAATAATAGGCTCTTGACCATCAAACGTTATCATTCTAAACTCCAATATTCCACATGACCAAAACATACACAAATGAAGGCTACATATCTCATCATTTTGTTGTTCTTCATAGAAAATAAGTGACTGAATGGTACTTTCTTCAACATAAAACTTCACATTCCATTCCAAAGTTCTACATTTGCAACATTCTTCATCGAATATATGAAAAAATATGTCTTTTCCAGTATCTGGTGAATGATTTACCACTCCTAATATCACACAATAATCACTTTCCTTTCTGAATCCTAAACTTGCAGGAAAGACACTTCCTTTCACCACTCGAGAACAAATATGTTCGCAGTTACTACTAAAAATATGACTTCAAAAGAATAACAATTGAAAACCTCACTTACTTTTGTAATACAAATGAAAAAACAGTATCAAAGCTACTCCCATCTAGCAACTGATATCCCGTACTTGATATGACAAGAATGCAAGTTTTCGCACCAAACACCAGTTCAATAATACGAGCAACTGGATAGGGCACTTGTCCAACAATTTTCCAGTTCAAAACTCCAAATTCCTCCGTACTAGAGTCCCATAAAGTTATGTCGTGCTCATCTAAGACTCCTAAAAATTGTACTCCACATAAGCCAATAGGAATGGCACTCTAATAAATATCACAAGTCACTATACAAAGCAAACTAAGCAAACTCACACTACTTACACAAGTTAGTTTTTTGCTAGGTGGAATCAACAGTGTCCACTTGAGAGTGCAATCCAAATCTATTGAGTGATCGACTAGACACTGAACTCTATCTGTTTCTGATAGAACAAGCAGAGTATCGTTGTCTTGCGTTGAAGCTACAACAGATACTCCCAATCCTCGACCTTTTCGAAACCTTTGTATAAGTGGTTCCTTTTTGTCTAAATGTGTTTGATAAACAGCCATTTTCTATAGAAAAGATCACAGTTTTAGGACGACGAATTGGAATTTACTAAATGTTCTACTGCTTCAGTAATCACATTTTGAGGAAGAAAACCTTGCAAGAAATTTCTATTTGTTTCATGAAAAGGTTTCCTTTCCCATGTAGTTATATCAAAGTAGATAAAAGCATTTCGTTCATATCCCGGAGTGGTTGTACCAGGTGCTCTCGTAAACCAAAGTTTCAAGTCTTTATGATATCTCCACTCTCTTTGATACAATTCCGCAGCTGCAAGAATCTGTAATGCATCTCGAGGCATACAATAAAATATATAAAATAAGGTTTGCAACTGAAACTTCCTAAAATGACCCAATTTCAATAGAGGAGGTTTTTGTTCCATTTTGTAGCATTCAGGAAGAATATATTCAGGTTCATGATAGAGACCTCTATCCATATCAAGAAACGGAGTCTCAAAGGATAAATACAAGGGCTCCGTGGAGTTCAAATTCAGTCCTAAGCTTGTCAAGTCGATTCCAAGAGTAAGTAGCAAATAGTCTGGTTGTTCTGTTCTCCAACTTGATGACATCAACTTTAAGAGTCCTCGTATGCCATATATCTCCAAAGTGTCATGCGGGAATGAAATTTCGCTTAGTTTTGAAGACAACTGTGAAAAATCACTTTGAGGTTCCGTCTTTGCTACTGTGGATGCAACTTCAAAGTTTGTCGTATAAGATTCTGGTTCCGAAATGATATTCGACTGTTCAAAGTTGTTACTCGCATTTTGGAAGGAATATTTGGAATTCTTCGAACCAAAATTGGAAGACATCCAATTAGAAACATTACCAAAATCGTCAGATGAAATAGGGTTACTTGTTCTGGAATCATCATTGTGAGTCATATTGGAACCAGTAAACGGAGCAGAACGATTTCTATAGCGCATTCCTAATTTCGCATCAGAATAGGAAGTCAAGTTACGTTGCCAATCAGTATCGTTCAATCCAATCCTCGACTTTGCTTCCATATCTGAAAACTTTTCGATACTCTCGTCGTGACTATTCAAAGAAGGAAACGAGTTCATATTGGTACGCTTTCCATTGGGTGGAACGTTTCCTTTTGACTGCACTCTATTGGCTCCTACAGCTGCACTATAATATCCTGATAACTGCGGTGAAACAGAAGGGTGGGAAGATGGTCGGCTGCTCTCTTCTTGAATTGTAGAAGAAACTGTACTAGACAAGGTCGGAAATTCTGAGAGATCCAAAGCTGGAGGAGATATTTGTTCCGCTTTGTTTCCACCAAAAACCCAATGTGACATATCTACCCGAGGAGAACTCGAGTTGACTAGTTTTTGACCCCCTCCTCCTGCATCTGAAGGCGCTCTACCCCAAACATCCAAGCTTGAGTAACTATAACCATGAATAGACTCTAGTCCCCCAGAAATATGTACCTTATATATCAAAACCACATAAAATAAATACCCAATATAAAATACTTTACCTTGTGCGCTGGAAGATTGCTTGTTGTTCGTCCCATTGAGGTTTTTGGCGTTTTCCCAACCTCTTGTCTCCCAATCTTGAGTTGGTCCATGTACAAGTCCACTTGTATGGCTAACAAATGGGCTCTTTGGCTTGTTGTAACCAATTGTAGGACCTTTTCCTGAAGTTGCAATCATTCTCTTGTCAACCAACTGTTTATCGTTGTTGCTATGGTTTTCCCTCGGTTTCCGCTGTACACTCATATCGTTTATGAAATATCAAATACTAGTACGAGTTTTTAAAGACTGGAATATATTGTAAACACCCGAAAGAATAACATATAAGAGACAAAGCGGATAGCCTTTGAAATCAACGACTTTCACTAATCTCAACAAGTCTCTTCAATCAATAATAATTGCAATGAGCCAACGTTGTTACTTTTCAGAAGTATTATTCTTGTAGGAAAAGGAGCAACTTTTGGGTTTTTGGAATAATGAAGAAATGGATTAGCCAAGAATATTCTATTGTAGTTGTTTACCATTTGGTCTATTAAAATCAATCATATTACACTTATATCTGTATATGGATATATATATAAGAATCGCTCCAAAAAGTCCATTTCCACTTGTATATCATAAAAATGAGCGAAACTAATAGGAATAGCAAAATATTCAAGAGATTCAATGACAATGAATGAAATGTCAAAACTTGCTTGAAAAAGTCGAATCCTAACTTGAAAATATTCTGCTATTTTTCCTACTCAATATAATGAGTCGAGAGTCTGCAAATTCCAATATCTATTCTCCATATCTAAGAACAAGCTCTTCGACAAAAACACACTACAAACGATGATACATCAAAAGTAAAGTTTCCAATCCAGACTAGTCAGATAAATATCCTTCCGATGGAATATCGTCATTACGCTCTAATTGTGTGTCCTCACAGGTATCTTGATTTATGGCAGTTGACGACTTTTCTTCATTGAATTGATTCTCATCGAATGTCTTTCCGTTCTCTGCTGAAGACTCTGAACGAGAATCCTGTGCTCTGCGAGTCTTGAGTCGTTTCGCAACAGGTTGTTGTTGTTGTTGTTCTTCTTTTTCTTGTTTATTTTCATCATCGTGTCTTTCACTTTCTGCGTTATTCTTACTAGTCAATAACTGTTCTCGCTTCGTCCATTCCCCTACACTATTCTTTATAGCGGTACCACTCGTAGGAACACTTTCAGTAGCAACTTCACATTCTTCGTCTTCATTAAAAGACGATGAGGCCGTTGCACTTGGACTAGCTGAATTATCTTTGTCCTTTTTCCAGTTTTCAGAAAGTTGTATATTCTCATTATCTTTGGATTCCTCTTCAATGCTCTTCTGAATCTATCAAAGACACATTCCTGTTACAAAAACCAATAAATAACAATAAGGAACATATACATACCTGGTCACCTTGTTCACTTTCTTCCACAGGTTTCTTCAAGTTCTCATCAATAGACTTCTCGATAGGTTGATTGGTTGTTCGGTCTTCACCATATAAAGCTTCCATAGCTCCTAAACTATTACTATCTCTGACGTTTGACATTTTTGGCATTTCGAAAGCCATAGTTGCCTCAGGTTCCTTAGTTTCCACTGCCAGAATGCTTGAAGGACGAGTATCCATATGCCATCCATGGTCTCTTGATGACAAACCCACATTTTCATCCCTTATATTCTTCTCAATTTCCACCACTCGAGCTTTGATCTGAGAATTATTTGGAGAAAGCTCCAATGCTTTCTTATACGCATCCAATGCATCTTTATACTGCGAAAAACTTTCGTATAAAGTTCCCAAATCATACCATACTTCACTTAGGTTTGGGTTCAGTCTGATTGCTCTAGTATAAGCATCCATTGCATCTCTATGTTGACCCATTTGATAATATAAAACTCCAATTGAACACCAGAATCTAGGGTTTCGACTGTTGCAGTAAACAGCATGCTGGTAATTATCATAAGCAGAGCGATATTCCTTCTTTGCCATGTGCAGCCTTCCTAAGTTCAATTCAATATAGAGTTTGAACAAGAAATAAAAACCAGTTCTACAAACCTAACAAATACCAACCCTGACCATCATTAGGGTCAGCTTCCACAGCTCGTTTTAACAACTGAAAACCATCTTCCGAACGGCCTTCTTCATGCTCAATCCAACCCAACTGTTGCAAAGACTTTGCATGATTCGGACTCTCCTTGAGTGCTTTCAAATAAAACTCCTTTGCCATGGTAACATTCCGTTTCAATTCTTGAATAGCACCCATTCGAAAGAATATTTCTCCCAAAATAGTTGTATTAAAGTTAAAAGTAGAAACGTGTAGAAAAGCCTTGTTCAAATACTCGGAAGCAACATCCAATGCTTCTCGCTCTTCATAAATATGAGCAATATGCAAATAGATATCGATAGTTTGTTCGGAATATGGTTTCAATTTTAACGCATTTTGATAAGCCTCCAAAGCGTAATCGGTAGAACCGTTCAACTCATATAGAAGACCGATTCCATACCAAAGAAATGCAGAGGCTTGGTCTCCAAGAAGCCTAATAGCACTTTGAAAAGCTTCATAAGCTTGCTCATAGGCTCCCGTCTTTAAATAATAATATCCCAACAACGACCAAGCTTCTCCACTATTGCCAGACAAAGCCAACGCCTGTTGAATGTATATCAAGGCCTATATTGTAAATATTACAATTCAGATATTTCCAATTCTGTAGCTTGCAAACGTACTTGTTCCAGTTGTCCTTTTCGTAACAGAATGGAACCCAATTTGCAAAGAGGTGTCGGAGTGTTTGAAGAGAAACGCAACGCATTATTATAGGCTTCCATAGCACCTGTGGTATCACCTATAGATTCTCGTAAAGTTCCAATTCGAATCCATACACTTTCGTTTCCCATTGTGAGGCGCTGTAGCAAGCTTCTGGCTATAGGGTTTTTAGAAGACCTTGAGTCTTCTGTTTTGGAGTCCGTTTGACGACGCTGAAAAACACTGTTGTAATCCGTTGATATAATATTATGCGAAGGGTTTCCAGTATCTGATATATTAGGGGATATTCTTTGAAAGTTCATATTACTCGTAATACTCAGGGCGCAAAACCAATCCAACCAACGGTCAATCCCTTTTTTCTTTAGACTCGAAAATTTCTTTTGGCAAATCTAAGTTGCGACGATTCACAGAGGCTTGTCAATTGGGCACTCTTGTCATATAAAGGTCTACCAAAATAACCCAAATCTATTCCTGCTGTCTATATGCAGTCATAGAGTATTTTCAGTTGAATCATGTTTTCTGTTGCTTGGAACAGACTGTGTTATTTCAGGACGAGAGTTTGGTTTCCTTCTCCTAGAACAACTACTTGTGTGAAAGTCCAGTCTTTTAACCAACACTTTTATCATAGAAAACAGGAAAACCAAAACAGCAGAGAAACTTTTGTGGATGAAGAGAATAAGAAGTTAGAAAGAGCTATTGCTCTTGAGGAAATGCTTCCTACTGAAGGTAGAGGGACCAAAACGCAAGGCATGCTAGTTCAAAACCCCGAATGGTTTCGGCATTATTGTGTTTCTTCAGACCATTTTGGAACTAGTGAAAGACCTAGAAAGGTTCCAACCATGGGTGATTCGAGATTTGTGGGTTGTACAGGTAACTTGTGCTTATTTCACTTTGAAAAAGTTCTATAAAGAAAACTATTTTACATAGGACATAGTGCTCCTAAAGACCATTCTATATGGTGGCTTCATGTTACCAAGGAAACCAATGTAAAGTGTCCTTTATGTGGTCAAGTTTTTCAACTCGTAAAAATAGACACAGAGTCTTGAAAGTTACTATCTTTCAATTGTAAATGTTTAGTGTTAGTCAAAAAAATGGCAAATGAGACTTGAGAAACTAAAGCATAGATGCACTTGTCTTTCTTTAGTTACTTGGATACTTGTGAGTAGCCCATGAGGAACTTTTTATTCATCAAGTTGTAAAATAACTGTTTTAAAGGAATCTTCCTTTCATTATATGCTTTTCAATTTCAATAGCTTTCCATAGCTTTGTTTGGAATGGACAAAGCCATGGAAAAACATTATGAAGAACCTCAGTGGTCATCTTGTCTGTCAAAACCTTTGACACTAGAGGTTATCAAAGAAGGAACTGTGATAGATATTCTCAGGTTGATAGGAAAGCCTTATTTTTTGATAGGAAGAACTCCGGACTGTGACGTTCAACTGGAACACCCTAGTGTCTCCCGACTTCACGCAGTCATTCAGTCAGATGGCTCACAAGTATACTTGTACGACGTGGAAAGTACTCACGGTACTTTTTTAAACAAAACAAAGTTGGAGCCCAAACAATATTATTTGTTCCACACTGGAGAATTGCTGCGTTTTGGACTATCCACCAGACAGTTCGTTCCATCTTATGAAACGAAAGAGGAGGAGAAACTTTTAGAGACTAATTGCGATTCACCAGTATCTTCAAAAGGTATTTCTGAGGGAAAGGAATCACAGACGAAGAACAACGACCCAATTAGTAACTGGGTTGGTAAGAATCCACAAGTCTATTCAGAGGAAGATGAAGAGGAAGTGTTTGAAACAGAAGATGAAGAAAGGCAACGTTTGGAAGCTCTAGGTGGGTTTGAAGATGTTCTTGGCGCTAATTATGGTGATGATAGTGATGATGAGTTTTATGATCGCACTAAAACTCGTTGTGGCGAAACTCTGGTCAAGCCTACTAATATTTCTCATAGACAGGAAGGAATCACGTATAACCGACATAAAAATATTGCCAATGAAACCATTCAAGATGAAGAAGAGGACGAGTTGGAAAAGTTTATGAAGGAGAATGAACAAACTTTACAAACCCACCGCAAGCATTCTATGATAGTTTCAAACAGCAGTATTCATTCCGATGCAACAAATAGTTTGAAAAGTATTCCTTCTGAAAGTAGTCGATCATCTTCAGTAGAAAAAGAGAAAGAAGAAACCGAAGCTGATGTATTAGAAAAGAATAGAAATTCTAGAAAGCGTTCACGTATTCCTTATGGTCCAACGAGAGCATCTTTGCCTTTGTATGATGAAAAACTTATTTCGGCTCAAAGTTCAGATCCCGATAGAGATTGGCAGCCTCCTTCTGGACAATCTGGTGATGGCAAAACATGGTTGAATGATGTTTTACATTACTGACTTGGTAAAAGTATGAGAACTCTGACTACATTGTTCTTCAATCTCAAGAAATAATACTAACATTGTTGTACAATGACCTCCGTTTGAAACGACACATAGAAAGTAACTGTTAGGTACGATAAGAAACAAAAGGAAATAGAAAATATGTCAACTCTATTTATTATGAAGGAATGTATGAGAAGAATACCCAAAGCTGATAGACAATATTATTTCTTCTGATTTCCAGTTTCCATATTGATGTTTGTAGCAGAAATATTTTTCGGATTTTCTGGAGACTTGTTCCATTCCTTTGCAGCTTTCTGAAACGCTTCACGATGACTTAGAAAAGGATTTTCTTTTTTCACCTAAAGTAAATACAGAGTGCACGTGGTTGTTAGCTAAGTTTTCTTCCGTTCATATATAGAATGAATATATTTCGCCTACCTTTAATACGCAGTTTCTCATAAATAGATTATAATGAGATAGACTTCTTCCTTTTCTTTGAATAGATTGTTTAGTTATCTTTTTGCTTGGCATGTCAATTCAATTGCCAAGTCACCAAATGTTCGAAGTCTGAAATCCACATCCAAAGAGAAAGAAGAAATACGTGTCCAAAGAGAGTTGTAAAGTGAAATAAGATAGTTGAATAAATATAACTTTCTTTATAATAATAAAATATAAATAGAATTTCATATTGCCTCATGAAAGAATCGCTTCAATGTTACTTGTAGAAATGACAGTTTTGTTGGTTTGTTGCTTGTTATTTCTTCTATTCTCCATCGTTAGTTGTTCCAACGACCTAAATATAGTTGATAGTGCACAGTTATTGCCCAACTCTGGTAGTCCTGTGCAAGCTAAATATTTACACGCACCCGACGGTTCGTTTACTATATATCTTAGGACAGAAGCTGGAAAGGTATTTAGGAACTCACTGTCAGGGAAAGGTCCCTGGAATTTACAACTGAGTGAAGAAGAATATTTGAAAGGATTCTTTGCCATTGACTTGATCAGTCATCCCACAAATCCCAACAAGTTACTAGTAGTTGATAAGAAAGGCTCGTTTGCAGTAACTACAGAAGCTTTGAGTAAAAGAGACAAGCTCTCTTATGACATTATTTCTGTTGGCAAAGACTTGAAAGGTTCTATTTCAGTAGAAAATGTGAAACAGCATCCCGATTATCCCGACTATTTACTAGCTGCAATATTTGCTGGTGACTGTGGAGATCTTAGTCCTTCACAACGTGAAGATATTCCTTTCTGTACGCGACTTGTTTATGGCTCTAATGACTTTGGTTTTTCTTGGTCGTTTCTTCAAGATTTTGTTTATGATTATGAATTTATGCCAACTCTTGTTGTACAGAATTGTCCCTATGTGAAGAGACGCAATTACTTCCTTCCCTTTCTTCATCGGAATCAGCCACATGTAGTAACTATTTTGACTATAGTATCGGAAGAGGATCGAGATAAACCTCAAGACTTATTTTCTTGGCATGGTAATGTTGAACTTGTTGCTTCTGTGGACTGGTTTCAGAGTAAGCCTCAACTTGTCATGTCTCATATTTATTCTTTTGCTTTTGTGGGCAAGTAAGTTCATTTATTATGTTGTTATATTTGTAATGAGCAATAACATGATGAATACCCAGTCTCTTATATGCTGCTCAAGTGGATCCACGTGAGCATTCATCTGTCCTTTTGAAAGTAAGCAAAGATGGTGGTTCAACTTTTGAACCTGTCAGTATGCCATTTGTATTACAACAACAAAGCTTTCATATTATGTCGACTGAGAAGGTTGGAGGTCAAAATGCCCTTTTGGCTGTACTTCATGGAGTGGAAGATTCCAAACCATTTTATAATTTGTATCTTAGTGATTCTACTGGAACTAGATTTTCTTTGAGTTTAAGGAGAGCCATTTTTGAGGATTTTAGTCTCATTAGAGGAGTACAAGGTAAGGATATAGTTTTAATCATTTTCTTCTTTTTGTATTGACCAACGTATTATGCAGGAATGATGTTGACCAATGCTTATGATCCTGAAGCTTCTCATTTAGATCGTCCAAGAACATTATTATCTTTTGATAATGGTGGAGCCTGGCATCGTTTGATAATGAATGAATCAGCTGTTCCTCACTTTTATTTTTATAAAAGAGATGTACAGAACAACAAATACTATTTGGCATCTCCCAACTCGGAATTGTTGTTATTTGGAAGTGCTTTATCCAATTATGAAGAATATCATTTTGAATCAGCATATTCCTTAAACACAACTAGTGGGTATATTTTAGCTCATGGAGTTCTTTTGCCTGGTCCCGATGCCACTTTGAGAAGTGACACTGCTTCTTTATGGTTAAGTTCCAATGGTGGAATTACTTGGTTGGAAATATCCTCCCCAGGTCAATATATTTTTGAATATGGTGATTATGGTAAGTAAATGAATAACATTCCATTGCTTTGTTAGTCACTTAAAACTATTTATTTTGTATAGGCTCCTTGATTGTATATTCCCCAATGGAAAAGACTGACTTCATACGATATAGTTGGACTGGAGGCATATCTTGGTTATCCATTTCATTGGATAAAGAAATGTTCATTTCCAACATACTATCGGAACCAGACGCAGTTCAAGAACGAATGTTGGTATTGGGTAAAAGAGACAATGATGGAATAGTGGTTTATATAGACTTTGGTAACCTTAATATACGTCCATGTGATAGTTTATCTGATCCTGTTACTTTGTCAAAAATGAAACCTTGCGTTGATGATCCTACTAAATGGAATGACAATAATGAGTTTCATCAAGATAAATCTTCCGATGAGAGTGATTATTGTAGTTTTTGTCCAGCTGATGCTTTGGAAGGAAAATGTCCTTTGGGAAGAAAGAATTGTTATACGAGAAGAAGAGCAGAAGTGCTTTGTAATAACCGAGAATCTTTTACGAGTAGAATAGCCTCCATTTCATGTCCTTGTACATTGGATGATTATCAATGCGATATTGGCTATGAACGAAAACCCGGTTCTACCGAATGTCATCCTTCTTATGGTACCCAGGAATTTTCAAGCAAATGTGGTTACTTGGAAAGCAAAGGATATGTACTTATTCCGGGCGATACTTGTGATGTGACAAAGGGACTCAATCTGTTGCCTAGTCGTCATAGTTGTGTTTCATATTGGATACGACGCTTTGTGTATTTTGTATTTTGGATATTAAGTATTCCGTTGGTCATGGTAAGTTGTTGAGCCAACTCCTATGAATGAATATTCATTTGTCTATACTTTCTTAAGTGTTGTATGATATTGTTGGGTGGTTGCATAAAAGGCGACTTTCGAGATGTTAGTTCTTGGGAAGAGATATTAGGGTTGTTGATTGGTGAATGTAGAGCGGCTGGAATATCTTTTTTGATTGGAATTCAATGGATATTTTCTGTATTTCAATCATTCCTGGAAAATGTTATCAACACATCTCGAGGACTGGCCAGAGGATATACTGTTATTGGTCGAAATTGATAAGTTTGATATATTTTTATATACTCGTTAGAGTTGTAGTTGGATAGAGTTGTTGTTGGGTTGGGATCTTTTACAAGATTGTACTCTACTACATGAGGAACATTGATTATCCAGTGTTGACTATTACAGAATAGGATAGGTTTTTTTTCATTATCTCATGTTGGAAGGAGAGCTATTGAATAGATAATGAGACGCTACTCTTTAGGAATGCATAAACTTGTTCTCGTTCAGGAAATCTCTAGAAATTTTGTAAATGAAAGTAAATCTTTCAAATATCAACCTTTTGACATAGAATAGAAAGGATTGATTCAAATAGCCAAAAAATGGGGAACCAAATAGGACCATTAAGGAAAGCAATCAAAAGCAATCCAAAAGAAAATAAAAAAAATGTCATTTTAGAAATCATTTTTTTTGGGCGCCAATTCATTTCATGTCAGAACAAGATTATGAAGTCTTACAAAAGGCATTTCCTTGTAGAACAACTCAAATAAGAGATGTATTTGTTTTGTATAAAGGTGAGGAAAAAAAAGGGTATTTCCATCTTCTAACTGGAAGTTAGCTACTGTTTTACCACTTTTACCCTTGTATCTCTATGGACTGCCGAGCACTGGAAAAAAGACAGTGATATCTCTCTGCTTAGAAGCCTTGAATAAACGAAAAGTGGAGATAGATTGCTTTCTTTGTCCCAACGAAAGGTAAGTAGAATAAATACAACAAAGGAAAACTCTGCATACTGGAATAGAGCACTTTATGAGAGCATCTTGAATCGACTAAGCAATCATATTCCTAGCAAAGCAAATGGTTATCAAAGTTGGAAAAAGACTGAAAGACTTGCCGATTTTATACGGCACTTGAACGAAATTCCTTGTAAGGAACCAACCTATCTTATCTTATTACATGCAGATACTTTGGTATCCATATGTCCAAAGGCACTCATTGTGTTACTAGAACTAGAAAAGTATTCAACTTTTCGATGGATTCACGTAACTTTGACAGCATATCTTCCATGGGAGAGGCTTAAAGGACAACTTCTTTCCTTTCATAATGTAACTACGCCATATTTGATATGGTTTCCCAACTATCAATGGAATGAATGCGCCATGATATTGGAAAACATGTTACAAACGGATCCTAAATATGAAAAACTTAAGAAACCTTTCGTAAGAACTGTGTTGGATGTACTTTATCATGCAATTCCCTATCTCGATCAACTATTAACGGTATGTCAACAACTCTTTCGAATATATATCCAACCTATCGAAGAAGATATTCATTCTGCATCCTTTCATGACGCAAGTCAATTGTATAGTAATATTTTGCCTTATTTGAAACAAAGATTGGATGGTATGTATTGTCAGCATCAACTTATAAGCGACCGAAATGAAAACCAACAATCGAACAATCATATTTTGGCTGATGAATATCATTTGAGCAACACTGCGAAATTGTTATGTATTGCTGCTTATATGGCTGCACATATTTCCTCTAAACGAGACTCAAAAATATTTACCAAAAGATCAACATTTTTGAAAAAGCGAAGACGGAAAAATAGCAACTACTCAACTCAAATAGAAGACATTCCCTTTAGCTTTGAAAGATTGTTGGCTATTTATCGAGTCATTCAACAATATTTAGAACAGTCAATCACAGAAAATTATTCCAGCGGAGTTTTATTAACTGAATGGAAGACGATTTGTGATTACAATTTCATTGTTCCAATGAGAACCGATTCTTTAACGAATCCAAAATATCACAGTCAGGTGACAGAGGAAACTTTTCATGCTTTTACTAGACAATTTGGATTACAATTGGCACCTTATTTGGGTCTCTCTTGACGCTATTCAGCATCATATCAAGAAATGTTCCGATACAACTATTTCTTTCCAGAAAACCAACTTACAGCTCTACCAAGTAATCCTTTTTTGGCATTGGTATCCTCAACAGACTTGTTTCCTTCATTTACAAACAAAGACATATCTGGAAATGAAAGTTCTTCAGATGCTATGTCGAACAGAAATGGCTTGCAAGGAACTTTCATAAAACTTGGTTGCAAGTCAATCATCTTCCAATCCTTTGCTAATCTTTCAAAGGAATTGGGAAGGACAATCTCGTGCAGTCTATTGATAAGAGGTGCATTGAAAGAAACTGAACAAGTTGAATCATCCAACTTTAGCTCATTCCATTTATCTGCCAATCGGATTTCGTCGAGAAATGCATAAGCTTTTGATAAACAAGCCTGACGAGTTATTTTTTCTTGCAATGAATCGATATGTTCCTGAATCCAATTATCTCTTAGATCTTCTTTTGATATTTGTTTCAAATCTTCCAAGGCTTTCTTACTTGAGAGATAAGATTCGGTCCACATATGACGACTGGATAAATAACTTGCCAAATAGAAACATCGATAAGCTCGAAAGAATTGTTTTCTTTGTGACCAATACTTGTTACTTTCTGCATCATTCTGAAAGTCCTTTAGTTGTAAAATCTCTTCACATAGTTTGATACAATGTTCAACTAGACGAATGCGTTGCCTCCAGGAAACTACATGATTGCTTTCAAGATTATTCCAAATCAACACGTTCCTTCTTAAAGCAAGTTGAACTCGATTACTTACAAAGTAAGCTTTCAGCATGGCAAATTCTTCTCCTATTTGCTTATCCATTTCCGTTATAGTCAATTGTTCCCATTCCTTGGAAACTAATCGGATACATTGCATATACAATGAAATGATCTTTTCCAACTTTGTTATATCATTTTCATCTCTATCATTTTCTTGTTCGACTATCCTTTGAAGACATTGTTGGATACGTCGATTGGCTATTGGAATCCTTGTCCCACGCCATTCTACAGATAATATTGAAGCTCCATTTTCCTTGGCTTGTAATTCGGATTCCAATCGATTCAACTGACCTTCCAATTCAGCTACAAATAAAGCTTGGTTATCAGAGTTTTCTTCCAACTGTAGTTTAGTCAATTGATAACGACAATAACGAACAGAAGGCTCCATTTCTTGAATATATTGTCGATAGATATGCCTTTGTTGTGCACTTGTGCCTTTTGTTTGTTCCAACTTTTCCAAAATATAATAAGCTCTTTGGAATGATTCTTGTGAAGCTTTCCATTGTTTCCTTTCCAACAGTGCGTTACCTGCCATTAGCTGAGCATAAGCTTGAGCTTCTAAAATAGTTTTCGTTGGAGCTCCTATTGATGAACAAAGTCTTTCCAAGTGCCTTGCCCATAAAGCAGCTTTTGTCCATTTCCTAAGTGGCCAACGACGTTTTCTTCTCGTAGACATCCTCTTCTTACTGTTTTGTAGTAAAGCAGCTTCTTCCTTCAACTCCATTCCGTGACTCCAGGCCCTTTCAGCTTGTAAAAGCACTAACCATAAGAATCGAACGTCACTTCTTCCACCACCTTTTGAAACAACTTCCTCTTCTCCTATCTTTCGTTTCACAAATCTTCCTCTTCCTTGAGTCCATTTCAAAGCCTTTCTCAAACGATGTAACTTTCTAGTGCAATACAAATGATAACGACGATAGTCTCCATGTTTCAAGCCATTACTTGCTTGAGCTGTTTTATTCAACCAAAGAATATCGATAGCAAACTTGTTGTCATTCATCAATCATAAATTTTCAACAACACTTTTATTATTATGATGATGCTTCATCGGTGACTTTACTTACACCGACTTCAGCTGGACGTAATATTCTATCTTGTATTTTATATCCAGTCTTTGCTACTGCCAATACTATACCACTACTTGACTTGTCAGGTATTTCAAACATAGCTTGATGAAGATTGGGATCAAACTTCTCTCCCATAGGATCATATCTCTCGATTCCATATCTCTGAAATACTTTCTGTAATACATCATTCTAAAACCATCGAGTTATTCAATTATCTAAAATACATCTAGTTACTTACAGTAGCTTTTACTCCTTCGTACAAACTGATGACGATGGCATCTCCCTTTTCAGCGTCCAGTTTCTCAGCCGGTATATTTTGCAGTGCTCTTTCCAAGTTATCCGCAACATCTAACAAGTCTTTTGCGAAAGCTCCTATACTATATTTCCTGGCGTTGTCCACATCTCTTTGGGCAATCTTCCGCACGTTTTCCATTTCAGCATAAGCACGCATCGATAAGTCTTTTAATTTCACTATTTGTTGTTCTTGTTCTTGTATTTGTTGTACCAGTTCTTCGGGATCCAAACTGATACCCTTTGCACTACTCTTTTGCTGTCGTTCATCGGTTTCCTTCGAAGTTGATTGTTCTGTTTCCGTCGTCTCTTGTGCTGTTGTTGTTTCAGGTGTTGAGTCTTGAGGCTTCTTTCCATCCTTTTCTTTGGTTTCTGTGGTTGTACTATTTGCACTCGTTGTCCAAGGACGATATTTCCAAAGATTTGTGGACTGGAGAACTTTTCTAGTAGAGTTATTTGGTAACGACCACAAGAAACTTGAAAAGTTTTGTTTCAACCCAAAAGAAAAGAAGTTTTGTTTCCAAGCTATTCTATTCATGAGGATTCTATTTCCTCGCATCATCATCATCATCATCGTCGATCATAAAAGTCACTACTTGTGGCATACTTTCCACATGAGTGTTGGTAATAACTAGTGATGGCGGATGTATCACGTTTCGAAATAAATACAAAAAACAAGGCGAAGAAAAAGAAAACAATCCAATCACCGCCCACATCGTAGAACAATGTCGAGCTACTTTCTCTATCGAACAAAAATGTTGCAACAAGTAACCACTCATTCCACCTGCAAATAATACTACACCAAATAATGGGATACTTGCTAATGAAGTATACAATCCTTCTCTACCTTCACCAGATACTTGCATCGTATATTCATACACACGTGGGGAATAAATGGCTTCTCCCATACTCAACACAATCAAAAAAGTAGCAATACATATATAATAAGGTCCCACACAAAGAATGAATACTGAACCTCCACTTAAAAAGGAACCATACAATATCATAGGAAAGGAATCCACTCCTTTGCTCCATATGCCTACCAAAGGAACGAGAATAATCACTAGCAACGGATTGATAGCATAAAAAGCACCAAATGGAGCATCTTCACCGAATTCACGTATCATATATTTCGGTAAAGTGGCATCCACATGACGAAAGACTAAACGAACTCCAACCAAAAGAAACATCAACAAGGCCAATCTCCAAAAAGTAGAATCTCCAATGACCTATTCATCAACTCTTATATAATCATAGAATAATGATAATACACACAACTACTTGCCTCTTTCAATTGTATTCCAAGTGGAGTCGAATGGATAGGATAAGAACGAATATCTCCGGATTCGGTATATTGCACATCTCTCATACCCAATACAACTATCAAAATAATCAAAAAAGTGGAAATAGAACCACATAAAATAACCAATTGTAAAGAATCAAAAGAGTGACCCCAAATAACCAAACCATTTCCAAACCAACGTCTACAAACATCCACAACAGGACCCGATACCAAAGCTGCTATATTCATAACGGTATAAAACATAGAATATGCTATAGTTCGATTATTGGAGTTGGTATATCTCTTAATTCCAATTGTCATAACAGGAATACCAAGACTTTCACTAAAAGGAAGAAAAGTATACAATAGAAATACGGTGACACGACTGGAGGAAGAAAGTGCCAATAACCATCTAGAAAAAGTTCCCATAATTGCACCTAATAACAAAGTATAACGAACACCCAAATAGTCGACTATCCAACCCAAAGATATTCCATATAAAACAGACATAAATCCATAAGCTCCATAAGTCCAACCTGCTTTTTCGTCACTAAAGTCAAACTCATTGGACAGAAATAAAGTAAGAATAAGGGAATAAGAAAAGTAACTAAAAGAAGATAAAAACTTGATGGCATAAATAAGCCAAAGTTCTCGAGGTGACTCATTTAATAAACGAATACTTTCAACAATCTTTTCTATCCAAAATAGCAAATAGGATCTCCACATGAACTCAAATAAGAAAATGGACAACTCTACTATTTCTTTCTCGTCGTTCTTTTATTTTCTGCTTTTTGTTTAGGACTTTTTCCTTCTGCTTCCAATCTTGCCAATTTTGCTTTCCAACGTTCTTGTGCTTCTGATTCACGAAATTCACAATATGGATTATCCCATATACGAGGTTGTAAGTGATGTTCAAAATGAGGTTCCTTTGGTTTCTTCCTTAAAGGCTTTCGGAGAGAACGTACTCCAGGAGGTGGAGTTTCAAGGGCTCTATCAAATATATTGGCAAAAAGATAATCATAAGATTGTCCTGTGGCAGGTGCTATTCCTTGTTCAATCGATTGCAATTGTTGCTAATATAAAGTATATCAAACCATTATTCCATATATGATATCTCAAGATATACGAGTCACTTACCTTTTCTTCCGTTGATAAAGTTGGAAATCGTTCCAATAGGGTGTCCACTGCATAAGGATCCTTTTCCACTATTCCTTTTCTATCTTTCCATACTTGTTCTCTTATCCTTTGTATTTTGGCCAATTGTCTTATCTTTCTTAAGCCAGTATAAGTAGGAGACATATTCACCTCTCTCCCTTTTTCAATAATGACCAATTCTTCTTCTGTGCTCACTCAACTCCAACAGTTGGGGTAAGTGTTTGAATAGCATAAAGTAACAACCATTATGAATGTTTGTAGATTAGGAAACATTTCAATAGACAGTTTGAAAGAAGAAACAGCTCCATTTCCACTCTTTTTACAACTTGCAGCCACTTTGTTGGATGAGTGGAGCTATCTTTCTATTCATGCACAGGTATTGGATCAACACTTAACAGAGTCTCCTTTCCATTACGATGTGAACCAACCATTAGCTCAACTTGAACAAGAATGTTTACAACATATTGCTTGGTTGATGGAGATTCCTGTCAAAGATATTCGTTTGGAGTCCACACTCACTAGGCTACAAGTGTTGCACTTTTTGGCAACCGAATTGGAAGCTTGCAAGTTGTCCATCGTGGATAAAGAGACTATTCCAAAACAACCTCAAAGTGTATTATGTACGACAAAGGATAGTTCGAGTCATTGGATGACCTTTTATTTGGATCAATTATCTGCTTTACTGAAAAGAGGGTTGGTTCAAGATGCCAACCAAGCCAAAACATTGATACGACAAGCCAAAGAAAGAATTGGAGATATTTTCTCACTTTTTACAACAAAGACGCATATACAGGAATATCTTTCCAATCCAATGCATCGAAAAAAGATACAAGAAATAAACTCCCTTCTATATCTCGATTACAAGAATAGAAGAGAGTTGTTGATTACTCGGTTTCAAGCAACATGGGAATGTTTCCAATCGAGTGAAAGATGGACAGGTTGTTGTAAGAAATATGAACTTTTCGAACGCATGTTTTGCATTTATGATTTGTATTTTATGACTCGAGAAGATGGCAAGTCAAGCCATCTGTTTTCATCATAATATTCTAGTTAGTCTCTCTCTATGAAGAAGAAATGACAACTCGTAGAATATCAAGTCATTCCTTGTTGTCAAATAGGAAGAATATTGGAAATATTTGGAATCGATTTCTCTCGAAAGTGTTTTGTATATCACATCCATCCAGTTGCTTAGTAGAAAACAAAATGACAATTTCATATTCTTGTGTTGTATAACATAGTGTAGCAGCCAATGCAGTGAATGAATGTGTAACAAAACCTTTCTACTATTCATATATACAACTTTTCATACTTGGCTTTTTAGAAGCTGAAGATGGTAGTTCTAGTAGTTTCACTAGAATACTTCAAAGCTGATACATTGCTTTATTAGTGTGCGTAATTCGTAGGAAATTCCTGTTTTCATACAAATAAAAGACACAATATGATAAGTAGACCCATTACCAACAATAAACGAGAAACAAAAGCCTGATTGGCTTGTTCTTCCGTCATCGTTTCTAAATCAACTAGTCATCAATACCTTATTCATCACTATTGCCAAACTTACCTGGTACAGAACCCGTACTCTGTGGTGGAGGATATGTAAACTGCAATCCAAATAAAGAAGGAAAAGGACCAAAAGCTGAAACTGAAAATGGACCAAAGTTACTATGATGAACAGGAGAAGAAAAGGGTCCAGGATAGAAAGGACTGCCATAAAAGGGAGAATGTGGGGAATGGAAAGCTCCTCCTCCTGAAGACTGACTAGTAGAAGAAGAACGTGGTAGTTCTATGAAAAGAGTGTAAGTTGAGATTCTTATCAACAGAGACTTCAAAAGACTTACCTGTTCGTTGTCCACTTGGTCTGGCAGGAATATCCGGAATAACTTTAGTTCTGGGGTCTACTTGGTCTTGTCCATTTCTACCATAAATAGGAATTATCTTATCTTTCTCTATACTTGACTTGCATAAAGGACAAGAAGGACAGTCAGGGTGTGCAGCCATCCACTATTGTTGTATGTAAATATGAAGTTTACAGATTATTATCTAACCCACGTACCTTGTAAATACAAGACCAACAATATAAGTGTCCACAAGGTGTTACAACAGGGTCATTAGGAGAGTCAAAACAAATATGACAGTCAAAGAGAGAAGAATGGGTTTCCTTTTCTGAACAAGACAAGTTTTTATCTTGACTACTTTCTGCGTTATGCACTACTCTCTTTCTTAAACCTGTATTGGTTTCTGTAGGATTGTTTTCTTCACTTGTCTCTATATTCTGAGAATGGTTTAAAGACATGTTCCACAATCAATCCTCTCCAAAAACCACAAACTTAAGCATCATTCTCTTGGACGGATGATCTGGAAATTTCTTTTCCAACGGATAAAGAAGAATATTGCAGCCATTCTTTCACACATTTCCAACTATACCAACGATCAGAATCTCTCATACAACGTTTCTGAATGGTTTCCATAATAGGAAACCAACGTTTCGCAATATCTTCTTTCAACCTCAAAGACTGTATATTCTTCTATCCAATCATGAGTTGTGAACTAAAATACAATATGATCATCTCACTCACTCACCTGTAAAGAAGTTTGTTGTTGTTCATATCGACGACCAGATATACAAACAATCAGAAAACAATCATCTAAAATGTGATCCAAATACCAACTCAAGACAGCTTCAAATTGGGTTAATATTTCCTTTATATAAAAAAAAGGGAAGATAATACTTACTGTTTGATGAAATAGAACATGAATAAGGAACGAGCATAATAGGAATAGCTAAAAATATCCCAAGACTAGGCTTTTGAGAAGATAAAAATAGACTTGGTTCCCAATCGATGTTCTCCCAATCTTGTTGAATGGCATATTTCCAACAACTCATAGTTAACATCAAACTTCTCATCAAAGAATTCAATACACGCTATAAGTAAAAAAATAATAATATTCGATAATAGAATATATAAATATATGTATATATATATCATTTACATAAAGGTGTATACTTACTTGACCAAATATACTTTTGTATCCTCTCTTCTTCTCAGAAAAAGTTTGAGTCAAAGCTAACTTCTTAGGAGATAATTCCAATCTTCGTTTCCAAAATACGGGTGATGTAGCTTGTGGTGTCGATGGAATAAGAGGTGAAGTGCCAGTCCATTGAAAATGAACTCCTTCAGTTTCTTCGTCTTCTTTTGTCCATTCAGATGAAAATGACTTGGCCTTGATATTATTAGGACTTGTATTACTTTGTTCATGTTCTAAAGTTGTCATTGGCTTTATCCACCATTCTATGAATACTCCATTTTGTAGTAAACGATACAACTGTTTAAGAAATAAAGTTGAATGAGATATGAAAACAATTGGGTTGGACGTACTTGATAAAGATATCTATAGAGACAAATAAGCAAATGACGATATACTTCTGGAAGATAGTTTTGAAACAATGACTTGGAATCACTATATAGACTATGCAGTAAGGTGCATAATTGTTCCATTTCTTCTATTCTGGCAAGGTTCCAATAAGCATGAGGACTCCCCATTTGTTCTTCGTTGTTCATATCTCCCAATGGTCGAGGAAATAAATGCAACGACTCTTCAATGAATGAAACATGAGTGGATATCCATTGCAATACAACTTGATGTGAAGAATGATGACTCTCTGATACGAAACCATGCAATGATAAGGCAGCTAATCGATGTACCCAATAACGATGCCATCTAAACAACAACTTTGAGTATTCATTTTCACATCCAACAATAAAAGCAACAATGTAACTTGAACTTACGGTTGTCGTTGTCTCAATAAAGTATCATAAAAATGTTGTATATTAGGAGCATTTTGACTATCAAAGTAAGGAACTACATCGGATTGTATATCTAATGACGCATAAGATATACACTCTTGGAGAAAACTTTCCTTCCATTGTAAACAATGAGAAGAATCAGGTATAGCTAACCACAATTGGATATGCATAAGTAGCAACTGATCCATGATTCTCCATCGACTTGACAATAACAAAGTGATTCTATTCTCTTGTTCCCCATTTGTACTTTGCATAGATATCCATTCCTTCCATAACCCTAATATTCGTTGTGACCATTCCTTCAGCATATTGGGATATAAAGTTTGTAAAAATGCACAAGGCAAATGGCACAATAAGACACTCCAGGCATGCATATAAACTGCTTTGAATTCAATAGAGTTTACTTCGTCTTCTTGCATGGCATCTTGTAATATTTGACTGATAACTTGGAATAGAGTTGTTGTATTCTGCAAAGTATTTTCAGACTTGTCGATTTGGTCTTCGGATAATGAAATATAAGGATTGTGTCTTCTTTGTTTTGATAAGACTTTACTTAGAATAAATAGTAAATGCTATTGAAAATAGATGCATTCAGTATCTTCACATGCAATCCAACATTACATATATCACTTACCACTTGAAACCACTTGCGATTTCTTTCCCATGGTTGTTGCCATAAACTCAATAAATTCAAACGATATGGAACAGATGTTATTTGATACATATCCAAAAAGGTAAAAACATTCTTTGATTGTTTCCAAGCCTTATTTAACAATAAAATGTGATCAGCATCCAATGGATAAATATCATCTTGCAACTTGGAATGATGTGCCATATCTAATAACCATTGTGCAAGAATTCCATCAACTAAAGTCATTACACAAGGAAGACAAGACAAATAGTCCAATATCTTGTTCCACATGTGACTCCAAAAAGAATGATATCGATTCTTCTCTGTGGAAATTCTCACCATCGTTGCAAAATACAAATGATACAAAGAATCGATGCATTTTCCAATTGCTTGAAAGCGACTCGTCTGAAGATGCATTTTCTCCAATAACTCAACGTCCTTTTTACTCCAAAAATGGGCATAAGGATGATAAGAAATATCATAAAAACATTCTCCAGGAATAATACAAATAGTTTCATAATACCATAATGGTATCCATTCTTGCCAATCTTTCTCGTCCTTCTTCCATTGATAAAACCAATTTTCATAAGTTCTCATAATGGAATATAAATGTGGACATGATTCCTTTCCATCCATAGTTTGAATGCTTTGCAACCAAATTTCAATACATTTCGTCCATAAATATTCCAAACCATCCAAATCCAGTTCTTGATAAGTAAGAGACCAAAGAAAAGTAGCATTTTCATCGTCATCCTCATTTGAAAAACGAAAAGCATCAAATATCTCCAAGGCAAACCAGTTCAATAATACAGAAATGCCTTGCAGCCAACCTGCCATTTCATCCAGATAATCTAAGTTTTGAAATGAGTCAACAACATTGCATGTGTCTGCCATAATTACCTTTGTCATCTTTGTTCTCCAAAAGTCGACATACCCATGCAAAGACATTTTCTTTATTCCATTCCCGATTCACAAAGGAAAGCAGCAACCTCCACACACCAAATTTTTCCCAAACATCTTGTAACCAAACACTACCAAAACTAAGCCACGCTTCTTTCAATAAATTCACCAAGGAAAGAAAACGAATTCCATCTCCACGTTCCAAACAACTGTTGCTATCCAATAATCGACTTTTCAAAGTACTCAATAAATCTACACAAGTAGATAGCCATTCAAAGTCCATATTCTTACTTTTCAAAAAGCCCTATCCTCCCATCATTCAGATGCATAAAACAAACACATTATAAAACAACTTGCCTCAACTTGATGTGATGTCGACTTTGGAAAAGAAATAAATGTACGAGAAAGACCTCTTTGATCACCTTTCCATCCATTGCAAACAACAAAAGTGGATAAAGTTGATAAACAAACATCTGAAGATATGACATTAAATAGAAATGAATTGACCAAGATATGAGCCTCCTCATCTTCAGGCCATAATACCTAAACAGAACACCAACAAATTAAAAAGGATATTATCAGCATCAAGAGAGACTTGTTAATTTACCTGTGGAATGGAGTCTTGATGAAAAGGATTTGAACTTAGACCTTGAAAGAGTTGTATCAAACACCTAGAAGCAATCATGTACGATGATGAACGTTGATTATCGACTTGTTCTCCAAATAAGAACTGAATGAACTTTGGCCAATTAGAATCGTTCCATTCCAATTCCAACAATACATATTTCAATATTTGTTCGTGAACCACAGCAAATTGTTGTGCATTGAAAGATAAATAAGCCAATACTCTTATCAAACCACGAGAATGAGCCAAAGTTGTCCACCAATGAGACAAAAGACTACTATTCTTGGTACAATTCTGTTTGTAAATAAAATGAACCAAACAATATCCTAAAAGAGAATAACCCTGTTGTATTCTTTGTTCTTCATTTTGTTTGTCAAACCATCTCCAATCCAAAGTGTTCCATTCCAAGCTAGATAACCAAGTATTCCTTTCCTCATGTCTTTTAGAGAGCCACATATCACAAAAATGTTCCAAAGGCTTTATCCAATCCAAAGGAAACAGAATCTCCAACGGTGCATTTGAAAGAGAAAGAATACAATTGATATAAAGATACATATCATCACTTGTCTCCCATAAGAGTCTATTACCAATAGGTCTCCTAGTTCTCAAAAGATAAAGTGATTGAGAAAACATTCTCTTCTTCTCTATACATGATTTTAGGAACTAGATCCAAAATGTATCAACCACTTACTTTCATCGGATAAATCAAAACCACTATGTAATAAACATGTCCATATCTGTAACATAGAAGAAAGAATGGAAGTATATTTGGATAACTTGGGAAACCAATCACACCATTCTTCTACATGTTCACATAATAATGAAACCAAATGTGGACTCGATACAACAAAACCATTCAAACAATGAAGGATATCTTGTAAAATATGATACTGTTTCATTTTTAACCTAAGTCAATCATTCATTAGTAATTGAAGTTTTCTTCAATTCCCTACAACATACTCTTGTGTGTCTTCACCTCTTAATGTATATGGCTCTGTTCTTAAAAAGTTGTCCATAAAAGCACTGTAAAGAGCAATCCAATTTTTCGCATCAATATATGAAAGAATGCCATTTATACATGAATCATCTCCATGTATTATCAAACGATGAATCAATTCCAGCAAACCAATCAGCTCCGAATAGTAAGCTTTCCTATGAAAATTCCAAGTCATGTGCGAACAATCGAAAGAAGGATATTACTACCATGAGTCTTCATTCCATTTCAAAGCTTCCAACACCTTTCGAATAAAATAAGAAATATACTTCCAACCATTCCAATGCATTCTCCAAACAACTTTGGATTCCGATTCCACATAGAAACCAATACAATTGTAACTACTTTTTTGTCCATCTTGTGTCATCAAATATCCATTCCAAACAACGGGAACTCCTAATGTAGCCCATTTTGAAAATAACCAATCTTCGTTGCATTGAATTCGGAACTGTTCCAATGATAATAAGTGAATATTGGATATATTATTGGGATCCACATTGCTCGTGTAAAATGGCAACTCATTTTCAATTAATTGAAATACACGATAAGCACTCCATTCATTCCCAATCAAACCACTCAGTAACTGACAACTTAACTGCATCTCAAGTGGAAATTGAGCCAAGGAATGTAGTAATAAACCATGATAGCCATTGTTGTACTTCCCATCGGATGCTTCTTGAAAAATCCACCAAATATGTTGAATAATAGGAACAATATTCTTCATGGTACTCACAAACAGTCGATTCAGGATGGTACGCTATATAAAAGAAAGATAAGACGATCAGTTTATCATTTCCCAAAAGAAAAGACTTTGCCTACCTCAGAAACATTCAATTGTCGAGGAATAAAAGATACAAAGAGCGTCTCTAAAAAACCAAAAAAGATGCCATTCAACTTTCCATGTGTCTCTTGTAGCGAATAAGGATTCACAAAAGGTGTATTACGCAATATTTGATCAAGTTGTTCAATTGCACCACTCGAAACTGCTTGTGAAAAGTGCATTCGAGCACAAGATGACCACAACTGTCGTTGGTGTTCAGATAAGAGACTTTCTTGATGTTCCCATTTCTTATGCGAAATAAGATATAGAAAAACGGACCAAACCAATTCTGCTATGGAAATAGTACCAACATTATTTCTAGATGAAAATAAAGCTTCCATTTGTGTACATAGTCCAGTAAGGTCGATGTCGCTATATGACTTGGAAACAGTCTCGGTTTGGTGTTCTGTTATAGAATTGTTGTCTAAATATTACATATATGCTAGATGTAGTAAATAGCACTCACTTACCGTCCTGTGATGTTCCCCATTGCATGTCTATCCATTCTTCTAAACACAATATTTCGATCAAAAGACCATGAAAGGTAAGATAACATTTCCAATGCCAAGTTCGAGTAGTTTCTATGATTGTAGTCATTTTCGGTAACAATTGAACCAATTCCAAAAGTTTGTTTAGAGAACACCTATGAGAATAATGATATAAGAACAATAATTCCAAAGTCCATAAAAGACGATAAGATTCAAACTCCAACACTTCCTATTCCAATGTTATCATCCACTCAACACAATCAAATATTCCTTCATACTTGACGATATTTGTCATAATTTAATAAATTCGATGACTGCTTCCAACCTACGAGAATACCTTCACTATCCAAAATATGATTCAACATTTGCAATCCCAAATTGGCAAATGAATAATTCTTTTCATCTTCAAAAACAATGTTTAACATATTTATCTTTTAAAATCTGTTGACTGTGCCTACCTAGTTTAAATACTTCGCTCTCAACTTTACTAGACCAAATTTCATTACACAAAGCATGCAAAGGATGTTCTTGATCTTGACAGATATCTAATATCTGTGCAAGAAAGCAATATGCAGCATGTTCATCCGAGTAAAAATACTTTATCAAATCAAACAACGACAAATCTGCAACAGAATCGTTGAATTTCACATAAACCTTTGAAAAAGGATCAATAAATGGATTGCTTCAACTGAGAAAAAAAAGGAGCGGAAAACTCACTGCAGAAATATATTCCCTAATCAAAAGGACCGCTAAGCTTTCAGATGTTCCCAGCACTTCACTGAGTTGTTTCGCTTTCAACCACTCAGCTTCTGAAGGTTCCAGCTTCTTTCCTCTCCACATCACTAATACTCTAGTTTTCACAAAGGAATAAAAACCTTTCCAAGGACACTGTTTACCTTGTTGTCGTTGTCCACTTTGTGAACTTTCCTTGTTTTCTCTGACGCTCTTTGCACAAAATATCTCTATAGCTTTGGGCAAATAGACTTGTATTGTGTTCTCTATAGTTTCCGTAGGTTGGTGGGCTTTTCGAACCCTATGAATGACTTGTGAAAAGGTTGATGTCTCAGGCCATCTTTCTATCGACATATTTTGATGCTATCCCTATTCAAAAATATTCAACAACAAGAAATGATGAAAATTGCTCGATTCTTTCGATGGCATTGGTATTATGCAGACTTCGGAAGACTTTGTTCCTCTCCAAAAGCAAAGTAGAAGAAATGTGCTACGCATTATTAGATCATTTTCAGTTGAAAGAATATGAATATAGTGTAAAACTGACAACTGATCGTTACATTCGATTGCTTAATAGTCAATTTCGTGGAATACACGGAGCTACCGATGTGCTATCGTTTCCAACTGGTTTATTCCAACAAGGTCGATTGCAACCTTATTCAGCCATTATTCAAAAGGAGCTACAAATGTTGCACAACGACCGTATTGATCATTCCTTTGAAGTGCCTTTAGACTCTAACGTAGAATTTCGGGATATGGGAGATGTTGTCATTTCGGTTCCTTATGTAAAAAGAGTGGCTGAAAAGAGAGGAGTATTACCAACTTATCAGTTTGCTAGTGTATTGGTTCATGGGTTTTGTCATCTCTTGGGTTATGACCACGAAGAAGCTTTAGATAGAGATAGAATGAACCAAGTCGAAAGAGAATGTTTAGATACCTTGACAACTTTATTGGATTGTCGTAGTGAAGACTTGAAACCTCTTACGTCTCAATGGTTATCACGTTGTTGCAACACCAACTGAGCGGCAAGTCAAAGCTTCACAAGTTGAAAGAAAGAATCGACTTGTAGGCTCTTCTTTTTCCCCCCCCAAAAAAGGCGCTTTCTTTACATTTTTTCTTTCCTCGTGAAAAAATCATTCATTCATTGTTGCCATTATGAAAAATCTTATGCACCATAAAAGAGGACTTGTGTTCTCTTTACGTAGATTCTCTACTGAGTATGATTATACAGGAGGAACTGGAAGAGAGTCTTCAGGGTTGTCAACCACAGAACAGGAAGCACGAGAAAGAGTGATCCACTTGTATCGATATGCGTTGAAAAGTGTTCCAGATATTCGAAAACACTATCGCTTGAATGAAGGCAAGGAAGATGTGGCTGCGTGTATTCGAGACTTGTTTGAAAGGCATCGAAACGTTCAAGATAGAAAGCTGGTCGATATGTTGGTTTTCAAGGGTAGACAGGATATTGACGAAGCGCGTGCGCAGTGGAAAGGACGCCATCAAGTTCTGAACTATTTAAGAGCATTCGAGGAAAAGAAAATCAAAGAGAGAGCACAACTGGTTATGGAACAACATGTAAAGGAGGATAACGAGTTCATTCGCGTTCCCAACGCCATCTTGGCTGCAAACATATCCCACTGGAAAAAGAATAAACTCATTCCGGAAGATATTTCGACACCCAAACAGGTATGTATAGAATAGTTGTCGTTGATCCATTGCATAACAATAGTAATGATGGAGTACAGTTTCGTCGTTGGAAAGAAGAAGAAGAAGAAAAGTTTGCCCAGTTTGCTGTAGAAAATGGTAAGAACGGATGGTTTTTTTTCAAATAGGAGGATTCTGAAAAGAGGATATGTATTTGAATAGGTTTGTTTACAAGAGAAGAATTGCAACTCAATAAGCAATATGCCAAACAACATAATTGTGGCATTATGTGACCAAGTTTCAGATAGTCTTAAAAGATAAAAAATTGTATTATGGTTGGGTTTTGTTCTTTTTAGGAGTAACTCGTTGTACCCATTGCTTCCAATATTTCCTCTTTTGTTGAATAGTCTTTGTTCTATTTTGATTTTCATATGTGGCATGTGGACTGAGTACTATTTTACCCAGTTTTGAGTAATCCTGACAGGCATGCATTGTCTAGAAGAGTATGTCGATCAGTCACAGATAAATGTAATATTTATCCGACTCACCTTGACATGTTCCATTTCATCATCACGAATATTACAAAATACATCGTAGAGATTATCACAAGGAGGTCTCCTAGTACCTGGAGTATGATTCTGAAATCTATTCCAAGTCGATCAACTCAAAACCTTTTATGATTTACTTACTCGTCAAACATATACAAATTATCAGCCAAATAATAACGTTCAGCTATCTTGGGAGGAGGCAACTGTTTCAGTAGTTCTTCATTGGTTTGTAAAAATTCCGTATAAGTATCTACTGCATGTGCTTCTACCAACTCTGAAAAATTATAGGCAAGTGAAGGAGAAAGAAAGAAATATAACACCAATATCCAATAATAAAATACTGCTGCATGTTCGGCTACAAATCTATCCAACCTACCAAAAGTCTTTTTTTCATTTCCCATTTGAAAGTCTGTCTCTTTTACCATTTTCGATCGCCACCCAACGACTCCATAATCAACAAATGATGAAATTCATTATACTCTTCTGCAAAATGTATTTTGAGCAATTCTCCATTCCTCCACCAACCTCAATAGAACATAAGAATATGGATATTTCAATATACATATACATATATATATACCAACCCAAAGTTTCATAGAGATGAAGTACTGAAATATAACTAAAATAGGGCATACGAGCAACCGTTTCCAAAAACCAAAACCTTTCAACAGGTCTGTCTTTATAAGCCCAATCAATAAAACCACACAAGGCATCGTATATCCAACGACTCTACAACTAGGATAAGCACACCATATACAAAAAGATACTCAAAGAATGCTCACCCATCGGGGAGTTGTTATGTAACTCTCCTGTTTACTTTCTCTTTCTCTTTGTCTTTCAAATACTTTTTCATTATCCAAACGAAAACCAAAGCAGTCGGGAGGTATCCATTCATCTTTTTCTATCCAACCCAAAAATTGACCCATACTTCCTAACTCACTCTTTTCAGACCCATAACCAAAATTCTAGGATACTTTATCCTTACGAATGAGTCCATCCAATTCCTTTCTAAAGTGTAACCAAGCCAAAGATATGACTCCTGCAGGTTTTACTTGAAAATTCGGAGAGTCCCTCAAGTCAACATACATATCGCTCTCCTCTGAATAACCAACAGCTTGAGAAATATTCGACTCTCCAGTGCTATTTGAGTCTCCTATCAAACACACTATTATGAAAACAACTCAGCCCTAAATGGAATTATGAACCTTGAATACTTGTCGTTGCAAAGTTCGTTCTATCCTCCATAGTTGGTTGGACTCGATAACCCAATGGACGCTTCAACTTGTTCCTTATATAAAACTTGGGTTTCGTTGAAAAACTACCCTTATTACAACAAAGTGTTTTGCATTGCCTTGTTTTGTAAAATATAACAGACTGACTAGTATTCCAATAGAAACATAAATAGGCAACCATTTCCAATTGAAATCAATTCAAAATTTAGTTTCTATCGGAATATGACTCTATAAAAAGAAGAATAGGAGAATACACAAAAACTTGTGAATGCAACATTTGCTAATGATTTTTCAGATAAAAAGTATATAAAATGAAATCAATCCTTATCAATAGGATAGAAACAATCCGTAAAGGCAAAGATACAACCTATTCTTCTCAATAGAAACCCATCTATTCTTTCATCAATCGTTTTCAGACTCCGACTTGTCTTCGTCTCCATATTCTTTCCAACTTATATTTTGTTCTTCCAATTGTTTACGCAAACAATCCCTATATACACAATAACTATCAGCAAACAAAAACTTTCATCTATTCATAACAATTATCACCCACCTAAACCAACCTACTGCCTCCATCTTCTTCTGTCTTTCAGATTCCAATTTCTTCCATTGATCTCTTATTTACTCTTTAGTCACTTGCTTTCTCTTTCCAAAAATAGTACTTACAACTTGGCTAAAGTATAAAAGGAAGGATTCTCTCCTCGATCTATGCACTCTAGCAACTACAAATATGCATAACATCCTGTGTTCTTTATAACTAGTTTCATAATATACTTACATCCAAAGGTACGCTGCCTTGTGCCAAATTGCTTTGTTGTTCCAATTGTTGCAACTGAGTTACCAAGTGTTGACTATACAACCCAATATATATGTCAATAAGAGCTACACAAAGACTTTCTATTTTACCTACATGGACTCATAAATATCTTCCAATTTTGATATTTCGGTGGCATTCTTGACCAAAGTTTCTAGTTGGAAAAGTTGTTGAGTTACTGTGTTGACCAACGGAACAAGAAGAGCTTCTGAGGAGCCAGTTGTGTTGGTTAAACTTGACGAATGATTGTCACCATCCGTATTGAGGGAGCATTGTTCTTCAGAGTCTTCAGAAGCCATGCTTTATATAAAAAGCTATTCTTATTTCGTAAAAGGATAGTTCAAACCTTTTGGAACAATTTGACTAGGATTCAAAGGGAACAAGGATTTGTAATAACTTTGTTTGGTTTCTTCCAAGTCACAAGTCTCAGCAATACCAGGAATAGAATATACTCTTTGTAACCATTGATAGAGAAAAGGATAATTGATTGGAATATCTTTCCAAAGACATTTGAACAAAGGCCCATAAATGGCTTTGAATCGATACATCGTGGGAAATAAATATATGTCGGCTGCTGTATAAGTTATCATATTCCATTCATCTGCTTTCTTCACAAGTAGAAAACAAAAACTTACTTGTTATGGTATTTCCTTCAACAAAAGAATGCTTTTCAAGTCTCTTTTCTATCTCATTCAACGTGTCAAATAGAAGCATCAATGCACTTTCATAATTCTTTTGACTTTGAGCAAACCCTATAACCACAACTAGGCAAAGAACAATCCCATACAATAGGCTGTATTATTACCTGCTTTATAAACACCGTTATTCACATTTTCATGAATGCGTTGAACAAGTGCTTTGGATTCCTCTTCTAATAGAATGCATTTTTGTATAGGAACAATAGGAACAGAATGGTGATGTGTTGCCAATAATTCCATCAAAAACTATCCACAAATCATCATAAGGTCTAAAATATTCTCAAAAGATTCATGACTTACCTGAACTATATCTGAACTTTCATTATTCACAATGCATTGTTGAACGTTATCTACTAGTAACGGAAGTGTACAACGACCTCGATAATTATGCTATACATGATTCAAGTTTCTATGAATGAACAATCCATACAACTTTGTCATTACCTCATAATATCGATAAATCTTTCGAATACTTTGACCACCTCTCAACTTCCAGGATCCATCTGAAATATTTGCTTCACAATATTCAATATGGAAATAATCCTTCCAATTACATAGAGCCAAAGCTAAGAGTACTCGATGACACCAAGGACAAGGAAAACCTTGACAATTTCAATAGGAATACTGCTGTTCTATGAACTCAAGAAACAAACTAACCGACATATAAACTGTATCTGTTCTTTTCTAGAGGAAAACGAGCTTCTGGATTGGCTTCAATCTTGTTTCTATGTAGAGACATAAACAAATTTTCGATACAACTGCATATCAGTACTTACCTGAATTGACTGATTGGACGCTTATATTCTCCTGTTTCATCCTTGGGTGCCAACTGAGAAACCATCACATTCCATAACCACTTCCTAACATATGATTGAACAACCATTTCACATATATCACTCGATATAACTATTCATACTTACCAAAGTGTATAACTAGTCGCTATTCCAAGTTTACTTAACCAAGGTATTTGTAATACTTGTATTTTAGGTAGCTTGTAGTTGGCTTTCACTATAAGAGAATAGCCGCAGTTGCTTTATTTATTACACACAATTTCATATTCAGGAGTCCAAAATTCCTTCTATAGGAAACTAACCTCTTTTCAAAATGATGCGAAGTGAAGTTCTTGTTTAGTTTGCATAAACGATAAACAAAGGCAATCATCCCAATCAATTCGGAGATGAATAATAATAATAATAATGGTTGGAGAGAGAACCTACGTTTAGCTGGTTGGTTTATAGTTATTATGGGTAAGTTAGATAAGGAAGGAGTGAAGTAATAACCATGAAAAAAGGTTGTTCTTTATATATTATGAAATGGACGGGAGCTACGGACCGTGCACAAAAAATATCCAAAGACCCAGAGTACGCTTCCAAGCTTTTCAAGGTTTGATATTAGAAATGTTTTGCTCCTCTTGTTGTAACCAACCAAAAAACTTTTTAATCCACATGGTTTATCTATTAGGATTCCGATTCTTGTAACAAGTAACTACACATACATATATAAAAGGCCAGTCCCGTCTTTCAACAACAGTTTCTGCACAATAGAATTATAATTAATTGATTATTTATTAATTGGCCATTCCTAGGCAGGTCGTTGGGACAAGTTATTCAGGAAAACAAAACTTTCTGCTTTGGATGGACAAATGCACCTTTCCAATACTGTCGAAAATAGTCACGAAGAAACACATCTGGATATGGTTTCAACAGAAAATAGCAGTTACCAAGTCAAACAGTTGCCAATGAACACCAAGACTGACTTGTGTAGGATGACTCCCTCTTCCACAGGTGAACTTGAAACCAATGAACAACAACTTCAAGGTGTTTCACAGTCTCAGTCGCCAGTTCATCCGATTCAAAAAGTACAAGCTTTTGTATTATATGGTGTAACAGCTGCAGACGCCTTGGCTCTTATGATTTATGTACCCCTATTGACGGACTTTTGTAAAGAGCGCCTTCATATTTCAGATTCTCGAGTAGGAGCTGCAGTTGGTATTATTATGGGGTCCTATAACTTGGCAAATACCATATCGAGTCCCAAAATAGGAGACCTTTCTGATCAATTCGGTAGAAGACCTTTGATACTGTTTGGAGTTGCTAGTTCCATTCTCTTTACTTCTTTGTTTCCTTTTGTGAGAAACTTTTATTTAGCTGTGCTAATAAGACTTGGTGCTGGTTTTTGCAATTCCAATAATGCAGTTAGCAGAGCCTATATATCAGACTTGACCATTCATGCCAGAGGAATAGAAGAAGAAGCAGAAAGAGCTGCCTTATTTGGATATTTAGGTGCAGTTTGGGCTTTGGCTCGTTCTATTTCTTCTTCAACTGCAGGTCTTCTTACTGGTGTTCATATTAGATTTCTTCCTTCTTTCATTGCCGACAATCCTTTTGCTACTCCTGGAATAGCAGCATCAACATTTCTCATTTTGATATTTATTTTAGCCTTTTTCTTTTTAAAGGAGTCTCATCCTTGTCCAAAAAAGTTACCTGGTTGGAATAGAGTAGTTACTTATCATAGTTTGCCTAATGAAACTGTGTTGGAAACTGAAATGGAAACCATGGACTCTGCTACGACGACAATGGATGCTTTGCCTTTAGAGAACAGTGAAGAAAAGGATTCTTCCCATATACTTATGACTACTACTCATCATGCTCGTTTTATTTCCAAATTGATTTGTTTATTTCATTATGGAGGTACCATTTTGATTCGACTTTTGATAGCCAATGCTTTACATCAATTTGCCAATGGTTCCTTTTTAGTTGTTCTTGTGTTGTATCTTTCATTAGAAATATCTCGAGGAGGTGTTGGGTTGGAGCCTAGAGGAGTTGGTATTGTTTATGCTTATTTTGGTTTGATTGGATTGCTATTTCAGTTGATTTGGTTTCGTAGTTGTGTGCGAAGATGGGGTCTGAGACGTACTTATCAATTGGGAACATTATTATTAGCAACTGGATCATTAACTGTATTATGTAGTACTTGGATTGCATCCTTTTATACTATCCACCATTCTTCCATCTTATTTTGGCCTTTATTGTTATGTTTTGTATCACCACAAGGAATAGGGTTTATGTGTGGTTTACCTGTAATGGGAACTCTTTTAGCCAATGCATCTCCTCCTGATATTCAAGGGTAAGATGATAATTTTCTTATAGATAATGAATATTCATATGTCTCTAGTCTATGTCAAGGAACTGCTCAGTCTTCAGGAAGTATTGCTAGAACTTTAGGTCCCATGTCTAGTGGTTTCCTATTTAGTTGGGCAGTCGCTTCACAAAATGGACCTTTTCCAGTATTTTTGTTATTATCCTGTTGTTATATGATTTGCTTTGGAATTGCTTGTTCATTATCTGAAAGTATTGAACATGCAGTTCCTTCTTCTCAACGAGTGGAATAAAAATGAATCTTGCCTTGTCTATTCCATATAGCTAATAAGGATTGATTGGGATGGATAGCCATTCCTGTTATTTGTTTCATTTCGATATTCGTCTTCGTTGTGCAATCCTCCCAGAAACGATGAGTATCTTTGTTCCACTTGTCTTCTACTTGTAGTTTCCATGGAATGCTATACAAATAACCATTTTCAGTAATGATATGAATGAAATGGAAACTATTCACTGCAGCAACAACACAACTATCCCATTCCTATATATGAATCCATTCGTTTTCCATTCCCATATTTCATGGAAGTAATATACTACTTACTGGTGAAATGGTACAAACTTTCTCCTCCTTTCTATTCCAAATAGCTATTCTGTTACTTGCACAAGGAACAATCAAACCATAAGAGTCTTGTTGACAAGGTACCTATCCAACCATATTCTTATCATCTGATATGAAAACTTTCAACTATTCCATTTGCATACCACCATTTGAATACTCCAAGAAGGATTCCAACCACCACGGCTTCCATTCATAATAACTTTGTTATCTCCATCCTCTCTTTTCCACATTCGAATAGTTCCATCACTACTTGCACTCATCATCAACTATTTCCACCACATAACAAGCAAAGTAACTAAAGTCTTCAAAATATTGAAAAAGATAGAAATCACTTACCTCCTCTTTGTTATCATTGTTATCCCAATATAAAATATGATTGACAAACGACGTATGACCCACATATTCTTTCAATATTCGACCACTCTTCAAACCCAATAGACGGATCACGCCATCGGAACAGCCAACCCATAACTCATTTTCTTTGAAACATAAACAACAAGGTTGACAAGGCAATACAAAACGACGAATAATCTGTGCTTATATCAACATAACCATAATCTTTACAAAAATAGATAGTCATCACATACCTTCCCTTGTTGAAAATTCCACACAATCACTTGTCCATCTATGCTACCTGAAGCCAAAAGTTGACTATTCTCAGAAAATTCTAAACAACAAATACTCGTTTCATGCATCATAAACTCCTCAGTTACTTGATAACTCAAGTCCAAACGCAACTTTCCCGAAAGAAAGTCCCAAACTTCAATAAACCCATCCAAACTTCCAGTAACAAATGACTGACCATCCTTTGAAAACATACCGCATGGAATATTCGTACCCGAATCTGTTTGTATCCTTTGAATACAATCAAACTGACAAAGTTCCCGCTCATCTCTTCTTTTCATACAACTTGTATGCGGTTGACCTCGAAACAAATCAAACTCTATTCCAGGAGATATCAAACCTTGAGTATATTGGTATTTCATGGCTTGACCAATCAATCCAAGCAATTGTCCTGAAGGTATAGGAGGTACTTGTTCTTCCAACAAGCGTCGACTCAACTGTTGACGTCGTTCCAAAGTATTCAAAGGAAAAGAATCCACTTCCCGTGCACCACTCTCCAACAAAAGTATCGTTCGTTCCAGTCTTACATATCTATCAGGTTCATTATTCCTCAATAAATTTTCCAAAGGAAAGGACTTTTCTATCATCAATTTGGCAGAATGATAATCTCCATCCAGAGCCAACTCCAAAGTAATATGTTCAAACAAATCCATCAAAAAGGATGGTGATAGCTCAAGTCCTGATAAATAAAGTAACAGCTCTTTCCAGTTTCCTTCAAGCAAAGCAGACACAAGTTGACTGGTAGGTACTTTTGGCGCGTTATATGTGACACCTGTTTCGTTCTATGTATAAAGTTAGGAAATTCATATCAACCGTCGACCATTATCCTATTCTTACTTGAAGTACTTGAAAAGATTCTGTCAAACCATTTTCTTTCAAAAACTGAAGTATCAGCTTGATCACATCAGAAGCAGCTATTTGTATCGACATCACTTTCTCCAATTCTTTCTTTACTCTCTCTTTTGTGATGAGCGACAATTCCCACAAGTTGCCTGCTTATGTTTATGCCATAGCAGGCGCAAGTGGTGGTTTAAGTAATGGTTGGTCTATTGGAAAGTATTTAGTTATTTTATACTCAATAGTTTAGTTTTATTGTTACATCCGATGGACACTTTGAGGACTCGTTTCCAAGCTCGTAGTTTCTCATTACCTGGTTCTTATTATACGAATCTTATTCAAGCTTCCTATTCCATCATAAGGCAAGAAGGATTCTGGGCTTTATACAAAGGAATGGGACCAGCACTTGTAGGTTCTATGATTTCTTGGTCACTTTATTTTCAAAGTTATCATCTATTCAAATCGAGATTGTCGAGTTGGGGTGAAACAGTTCCAACTCATTTAACAGCGAGTACTTGTGCAGGAATAGTCACTAGTTTAGTTACCAATCCTTTTTGGTTTGTATCATTTATCCTTCTTGGAATCTATCCAATTGTGTATGGAACATGTTAGGTTGGTGAAGACAAGATTGCAGTTACAGATAGGTCAAGTGAAACATAGGAAGAGTGTATCGTCGAATACTGTTCCAACTCACTATCGTGGAATGGTTCATGGTTTGTTTTCGATTGTCAGAGAAGAAGGCTTAGTTGGCTTATATCGGGGTATTGGTCCTTCTCTGTTATTGGTTTCTCACGGTGCTATTCAATTGACTATTTATGAATATTGCAAAACTTGGTTTTTATATAGAAATGGTGACTGGAAGAGACAAAGAGACCGTACTCTACATGTAACTGAGAGTCTGATAGCTTCAACGGTTTCCAAAGTAATGGCTTCGATTACTACTTATCCTTTACAAGTTATTCGCACTAGAATGCAAGAAACAAGTCTCAGGTTGTACTTTTTAGAAAGTTTTCGTTGTATTGTTCAAATGGAAGGTTTGAAAGCGTTGTATAGAGGATTGTTTGCTAATCTACTACGAGTAACACCTTCAGCTGCTCTAACTTTTTTAACTTATGAACAAGTCATTCGATTGTATTCTGTTGTTTTCATATAAACTAGAAATCCATGTCTATTGCTAATGGAAAAGAAAATGATAGTTTTGGGGGTTATTTAGGATTTGTTGTTGTTGTATGTCAAAAGAAGAATAATGGTCAAGAAGAGAACAAGACCCAGAACAATCATACGATTAAGACGTTTAGATAATAGAAAGATAAAAAGAATTGCAAGTATCATAGTGATGGGTTGGTTATGTTGGATACTATACAAGGGAATATTACAGACTAGAGATAATCGTAGACAAGCTTATTTTCACCAAATATTGGACTCTGTTGTTAAGGGAACTATACCCAAAGGTCCCATTCGGTTTCTTTATTATGATAATATATTAACTCAATGTGACTGCCCTTACTTACCACAAGGCGTTATCGATCCAACTTACTATGCAGCTATATTATCCTCTTATGGAGAAAACAATCATAGTAACCGACCTTGGGAAGCTATCTATGCTATGCCAGGAATATCTCATGCTAGGACCAATTTAGCTTGTCTATTAGAAGAAGCTTCTTTATTGGGAGCTATTGCTGTTCTACCTGCAGTATGTTTATCTCCTATTCATAATCACGATCGACTGATAAGAACGCATTGGTCTCGTTATCTTTATATGGAACGACTGGAACAAGGCTTTCCTATTGTATGGAATGTATCCTTATTGGAAAAGAAGTTACAAGATTCCTTTCAAGTATATGCCAGTTGGCCTTATCCATTGAGATGGAATTGTGTGTTATCCATCAACTACACTTTTACTATGGATGATGGAAAGAATATAAGGAAATCACCGGAACAAATATTTGCATCTAACCATGAAAAGTATCCTTCAACAGCAATCTTTTCAGAAAAAACTCCCACTTTGCTATTACAACAAAGCAAAGCAAATATACTAATACGACAGTTTCATACCAATCAAGAATATATGGCATGTTCTTCTTTTTCTTCTTGGAATCATCCAAAAATACAAAATGTTTGGTCCTATTTCTGGAGTAGTGCAGAAACCGATCCTCTTCCAGCAGTACAATACATTCGCTCGTTGTATGATGCATCCGAATCTTTTCTCTGTTTACATCTCCGTCGAGGTGACAAATTGAAAGAATCTCGATATCCTTGTTTGGATGTTCTTACAAGAGGTCCTCATATCTATTCCGTATTACAAAATGCTTCCGTTCCTTGTGAAATGAAGATATATGTTTTATCCAATGAAAATGAAACCCAATTAGATCATCTTTTATTGGATTGGAATAGAAAGGATAATAGATATTCATGTGACTATCGTTGGATATATCGACAACATATTCCCTATTTACAACAATCCAAATATATTCAAGACAATTATTTATTATATGAAACAGAAAAAAGGATATGTTCCTATGCAGTTGGTTATGTGGAAACTCATCGAACCCATTCTAGTTATCAACATCTTCAACCTTGGAATCTTCGTCTTACTCCTTATGAAGAAGAATGTGACTCAACTAATTGTCATTTGAATTGTGCGGAATATTCGAGATAATAATAACATACATATATATCAATATTAGATTATGATGTATAAGAGAATGGAAGATAAAGCAACATCATATGGACAACTAGGGATGTGATGAGAGGTAATAACTAGTAACTGGTTTTCAAAACAATATGAGAAGGAGATGAGTCTTTTCAATCTTACCAAGTTGTCATCCAATCCAATAGGAAAGAGAGAAGGAAAGGGTGAAATGATATATTGTGGAGTTGGAGTCCAACTTTCGACTAGAGCAGATAAGAAACTGGACAAAATGGCAATCAACCCAATACTCCATCCTCTCATTCCTTGCCAATATAAATAACATAAAGTACTCAACGTACATATCAACCAACAAGCCAATAAACCTGATACATTCTTTCCACTCTTCAATATCCAACGCTTTCTACTATTATGATGTATAAGAGACCATTCTCTCCATATGTATCTTTATATTCACCTGTTAGGAAAAAGTAACAAACCACAAACTGCAGCAACCGGGTCACCAATAGCCAAGTGTATAACAGCAACTTCAAATACAATAGGTGACTCAAAATAAGAAGCAAATAAGATGCCTGCAAGATAATAACTCATTCCACTCAACCTTCGAGTCTCGTTCTTTCTCATTATGGGATAAAACAAACGACTGGCCAACTGATTGATATACAAACTATGCAACCGAATACTCTCCAAAAATATCAACGATAGTAACAAAATCTATCAGACACAATACAACTCCACTCTTCCTCAATATTCATATATAACTTACCCAAACTACCTTATGAAACAAGGCCCTATTTCTACCATGGTCAAAAAGTATCCAAGCTAATATTCCATTACTAGTGTGAAATATTCTTCTACTCCAATGAATTCCTTCTTCATATCCTCCTCTAGTTGTTTGGATATTCTTTGGACTAGTACGATGTCCTACGACCTTTTCATTCTTTTGGAAAGCCATTTGAAGAAATGGTCGCTGCTGCCTCTTCAGACTGGGAGCAAAAAATACAAGAAAAGTATGAACAGTTAGAACAAAAGTTGATGAAGAAAACAGATGAGATGGAAAAAAAATTGTCTAGAAATATTATATCTCAATTCACGACCGAAGATCTGATAAAGGAACTCGAAAGAAGGTTAGTCAATGAGAGATATCCAGTTGCGTTCTTTTTCATAATATAAATACAAGGATGGGAATCACTTCAGACTCTTTAGGTGAGGATGACAAAAAGAGATTAGTATTCATAGGTTAGTAGATAGAATGCGTTATTTGATGGGAATGCACACACATTGAAATAGGTCCTCCTGGTAGTGGAAAAGGAACTCAAGCACCTAAAGTAACTCAAAAGTATTGTCTTTGTCACTTAGCAACAGGAGATATGTTGAGAGCTGCAGTAGCTGCAGGTAATATGTATTTCGTTCTTATATGGACAAAGTGATTGATATGTTGCCCAATAATAGGAACCGAATTAGGAAAAGAAGCAAAGAAAGTGATGGATTCTGGAGGTTTAGTATCCGATGAAATTGTTGTTTCACTTATCAAAGAAAAGATTCATTCAGATGAGTGTAAGAACGGATTTCTATTGGATGGATTTCCAAGAACACTTCCTCAAGCAGAAAAGTTGGACCACATGTTAAAAGAAGAACAAAATGCATCGCTCACAAAAGTTCTTGATTTTGAAGTGAGTGATGATCTTTTGGTAAAGAGAATCACTGGGCGTCTATTTCATCCAGCAAGTGGTCGTTCTTATCATGAAGTATTCAATCCTCCTAAGAAGCCCATGACTGATGATATAACAGGAGAGCCTCTTATTAGGCGTTCTGATGATAATGCAGAAACTTTAAAGAAGAGACTGGAAGCATTTCATAAAAGTACCGATCCTGTTATTCATTATTATGAAAAGAAAGGAGTATTATTCCGAATAGATGCATCAAAAGATATCAATCAAGTAGAACAACAAGTAGAGCAAGCCATTGAAGAAAAGCAAAAAGCTACCACTGCTATGTGAAAAATAGTGTTTGGACTTTGTGATATTTTAAAGAGCAATCGTTATTTGTCTTCAAAATGCCAATCTTCTAATATTCTTATTATGAGGGTGCTTTGTATTTCTCTTTTTTGAAAGAATACCATTTCCTCTGCTTCTTCTTATTCTTCTTCTGGTCTTCTTATATTTTGACTCGTTGGCCCGAACGTAATCAACTTCCATCATACCTTGTGAAGAAACTTTCTCTGTTCGTTTAGTTACGTCTTGATAAAAGTAACCATTTGCTTGCAGCCTTTGATTGCTTTCTTCTTTCTCTTCTTGTATCAAGGTTTCGGGGTCCTTTTGAATATATTGGCCATCGACTAGTTGATGAACGGCAAACTTCTTCGGTCTATTAGGCGTAGGTACATAAGTAGTTATGGGTTCAAAACCACGGTGTTGTATCTTCCTCTTATTACCTAATCACTCTTTTAATAAACAAACAGACTTTTGTACACTTCTGTGGAGCATACCTTTGGTAGCTGAAAAAGACTGGGAAAATCCTGCCGTCATATGAAGAGAAAGACAAACTGCTTTAAGTCTTTCCAACTCTCTATTTTTTAGAGTTTCCTTGGCAACAGCACGATTGGCTTGTTTGATTTTACTGCGTTTACTTTTGGCCATAAGACTGAGTGTGAAGAATAGGGACAACAATTGATTGATTGATGGGAAGAATAGAAAAATAATTATGAGTCATAACAAAAGCCAACGTCACTTTTAAAAACAATGATACGAATGCTCGAATATTCTTTGAAACGTATAGTTTCTACTGGAACGTTGGCTCTTTCAAAGGCTTCAGATGTGGCTAACGCTTCTTCTCTTTCGAATATTATTGGGTTATGGCCTCGTTCAAACAGCTATCTTCAGTTGTACAAACAGTCTTTACTATTATCCGGTAACCATTGTTACTTTCATATGTCATCAATTGGTGGCCAAAGTTATCGTATCGACTCGTTTCACAACTTGGATAGATGTCTGAGAAAAGTTGTCAATATTCCACATCGAAGTTATTTTCTGAAACCACGTCAAGACGAATATATTCACTTTGGAGGCAGAAGAGAGACATTTTGGGATAGATGGTGGAGTCCAAAAGGTCTAACTGTATTTGTAAGTTTCCTAGCAAAAGGTTGTTTTCTCCTGATAACTTTTTTAAGGGAATCATCTTTGGTGGTTGTGGTATTTATTATTATGTTCATCTAGATTATGCTCCTTACACTGGAAGAAGAAGAATGATAGACCTAACCCGCAACCAAGAAGTGAGTCTCGGAACACAACAATTTCGTAAAGTATTGGCTATGGAAGCCAGTCACGTAGTTCCTTCTTCTCATCCACTGTCTGTGAGAATATTACGTATTGGTCAAAGATTAGCAAAAGTGGCCGATCAAAAGGACTTTCATTGGGAATTTGTTGTTATTGATAAACCAGTTGCCAATGCTTTTTGTCTTCCAGGTGGAAAAGTGGTTGTTTATACAGGTTTATTACCCATCACGCCTACTGATGATGCGTTGGCTTCGGTATTGGCTCATGAAATTGGACATGCTGTAGCACGTCATGGTGCAGAGAAATTGGCTTTTATGAAAGTTCTATTCATTTTGCAGTTTATCGTTAATATCGTAAGTCATTTGAGTTGTCTGCATCAGAGTTTAGTGACGATGTGACCAACCTTTCTTATTCATTTCAGTTTGTGAATACTCATGCTCTCAATTCTTTCATGATCAACATTCTTGCTAATTTGCCTTTTTCTAGAAAGTTGGAAACGGAAGCTGATTATATCGGTCTACAGTAAGTGAACATTCGTCTATAATTCATTCCATTTACAAGTCTCTTTATCGTTTTGTTTGCAAAATACAAGTTTGATGGCCAAAGCATGTTATGGTGAGTGGTATTTCCATTTGTATTGAAAAATGTATGTATCTTGGCTCATTTTATTAGATCCCAGAGAGGCACCGCATGTATTTGAAAGAATAGCGAAACGAAATGTCAACAGTCCTCCGGAATATCTCTCTACTCATCCAGCAGATAAACATCGCGTAGAAAGGTTACAGTCTTGGCTCCCACAAGTATTGCCCGAGTATGAAGAAAAATGTCCATTGAAACCTAAAAAGCAAAAAAGATTGGACGACTTTTCATCATGGTTTGGACGTGAAGGCTTTGCATAATCAAAGGTCAATAATGGAGATTCCCCCTCCAAGAAATTCCATTCTCTAGAGAATCCTCCTCATATGCATCGACCATTGGACAGTTGTTGATTTTTTTCGAAGAAAAAATGTCCTTCATTGCCCGCCTAAATAATAGAAGACTTGCCATTTTTGGGTGGTGGTGGGGACTAACAGCTTTCCACTTTGTGTTACAGTAAATAGAAAAATATTTCTCGTTAATTTTTGTATAGGGTTTATTATTCATAGTTTGTTTTTTCATAACAACGACTTTGTCGACGTCTTGTTTTGTTATTGAATATTGGGTGAAAACGCAACAAACCCCCCTATATTGGTATTATCTAAGTGTGTTGGGTTGAATAACTACGACAGAAAAAAAGGCTCAAGGATAAAGAGTATTGGTTGGTTTTATTAGGCAGGGTTGTCGTTCCCGGAGCATGTCCGATGCGTTGGAATTGAGTGGTACGGACCCATGAGTAGTTACAACGACATAAGAGAGCAAGAAATTGCACATTTTACGAACAGCTTAGCTTACAGAGAAGAAGAGAGAGAATCTGAAGCAGTCATAGTCTCCAATGCCTTGAATACTCTGGAGTGCCAACAAAGGGTATCAACGGCGGCCTTTGTAAGTCATTATGACAAAACCAGTAGCGACAAATGTCTCGACACCACTTCATCGACTACTTGTGGTAGAGGGTCTATGAGAGATTTTCAATTCATCAAACATCGGCCGTGGTCAGAGTCTTCGTCTAGTACTATGTATGGGAAAGGAAATAATAGAGAGGGGTCTTCAAGAAACTTGGCACGAAGTTTTACACGTTACAGTGTTATTTATAGACCTTCGTTTCGTTTGTGGAAGAAATGTAGTGCTACTTGTGCAAGAACGGTGACATCTGTGTCTGACTCGTATGAAATGGCTGAGCAAAATTATTTTCACAAGGACCGTTCCGTGTATTCTGGGCATCAACAAATACAACAAAGGAGGACAGCAGAAAGTCATGACTTGGGATCTATGAAGAAAACAGATAGTTGTTATTCAATCAAGCATCGTGATAATTGGTCGAATTTGCCTGTATTATCCTCATTGACAGAATATAATCTCAACAATAATATTGATAGGAGTCACGTTCATTTACCTTGTCAAGGGCATAGTATGGGCGCTAGTAATTTAAATGAAAATGAACAATCATTATTGGAAAAATCCGCAGCCATATGTAGAGCGACGAATGCTGCATTTGAGGCTATTCTTCCATACATATCTTTTGAGGAAGCACAATCCCTCCGCGACATTATAACAAATCAATCGCCTTCAGTTGCTTTAAATGCAGTGATGCAAGTTGCGCAGAGTTGTAAGAAGACAGCTGACAGGAGTCGAACGAGTCATTCGAATGAGAAAGGTTCGTTGCATAAAGTAGACAAAACTTGGGAATTGAGTCATACTGGTTTGGACCGTTCAAAGAATTGGAGCAAGTTAAGAGAACAAGATGCATGGTTTACCGATTTTTCCATATCACAGTCGAGTGCTTCTGAAGTTCCTGTAGGTTCTCCTTCTGGCTCATCATCTATAGGTTCTTCAGCTAGTGGACCAGTAGAGCCTTTGGCCACAACAAAGTGCATGGGTTTCTCCATTTTTATTGAATCGAGGTCTTGAACAAGCTAATGAGCCTTGGGATATTGAACATTGTGCATCTGAAATGGAAGAATTGGATTTATTGGGTAAGACTTTGAATGACGAAGCCAATTCTTTTGGAGAACATCGTCTCAATCGTCGTTCACGTTTCTTTCCAGTTTCAGAAAATGTCACAGATGAGGATTCACCAAATGAGCATCACAAAGGTGTAGGTCATTTTCAGGAAAGTGACGTTTCTTGCAGATCAGATCATGATGACATGAGGAATGGCCATGGTATATCTCATTAAGGTGCTCTTCATTTCTCTCTTTCTCTTTACATATATTATTTGCATATACTTGTATGGCGTATAAAGAAATGTGGTTTTATATATATATATATATATATCTGGGAAGGAAGAACTTCAAGGGTGGGAAATGTATGAATGTGAAAAATATGTTTGACAGATGATATTTTGATGGCGTAGGTTTGTATAGAGAATTCCTTTTTATACTATTTTGGCACATTTTAGATATCTCTTATTGGTAGTTTGTGATATGGTTTCCTTTTTCTAGGAGACTTTTATTCGAATGATAAAGTTAGTTGTTCCATTTTATCTATCATATGTTTTTTTGCTTGAAGAACGCCGTTTACTGGAATGATGATAATAAGACTGCGTTAAATTCTCTTCATTGTTTCTTCTTTTCTTATCTTGGTCACGATGCCCATCCTTTCTATCTCGTTGTTGTTCTATTCTCATCAAAGTTTCTCTTCTAGTCCAGTCAACATACTGTCCAGCAAGTTTTTCCATTTGATATATTCTCTTTGCTGTATTTTCAACTAGCTGAATTCCTTCTGCATTCACTTCGAATACTTGCCACCATTGTACTCTTTCTTGTGGCAAAGGTATCTCACAATCTTTAGCTGCCAAATGAATACAACCACAGGCTATATATTCTGGTGGTACTCGACAACATAAATCAGTACGTAGCATATCATTGGCATAGTTCCAAGATCGTTGCAAAAAAGACTTCCACTGGGGGTCTTGTGCTTCTATTCCAGAGTGACTTCTCAAAGTATTTAGATAGACCAAAATAAACTTGTGCGGATGTTCTACTCCCGTATGAAAACCCAATTCCTTTAATAAGAATCGTTCTGCTTTCACAACTTCCATCTTCCACTCATATCCTTGTGCACCATAAATGTCCAACAACTTCCCTATTCCAGTTTCTCTCTTGGTAAAACAATAATATACTACGCTAACTACTTCTCGTAACCTTCTCAACTGTTCTTCCACTTTACAAGCCAAAAATAAAGAAGCAGCAGCCATCCAAACGTGATTATACTTGGCAAGTGAACAACGATGATAAAATCGATGAAAGAATACTTGACCCGTAGCCATAACTACTTGAGAAAGTTTCAATAGGATACCACATTCTTGAATCATTTCACAACCATAGGCTCTTTGAATAAACTCTTGTGTTTCTGTTATATTGTCGTGTCTTGAAGGTGTTGCTGTTGCTTGTTCATCGGATAAATAAAAAGGATTCCTTACTACGCGAACCATTTATCCATACGACATTTTAAACGTTGAGCATCAACAATGCAAACTTCTACTACACCCATAGTATATGTTCCTGAAGATTCGGACTTTACTATATACAATCTACCTTATGGTGTCTTTGAAACCTCATCCTTAGATAAACGTTTAGGTGTTGCTATTGGAGAATATGTCCTTGACTTACGTGAAGCAGCTACTCAAGGCTTTCTATCAAGTCTTTCTTCTGAAGTAATATAGATCCCTAAATATAGTCGAATTAGTATTGATATATTTTATTATAGTATTTCCAAGGCACTGATTTCAACGCAATTATGGGACTTGACCGAAGAGCTTGGAAGGCTTTGAGAAGCGATATACAAGACGTTGTTTATGGAAAGACCAGTGAATCTATTAAAAGTCATCATTCCTTATTGTCCAAGGTTTGTTCCTCTCTTTACTTTGAATCTTTCTGCTTATTCTTTGTTAGTTGTTTATTCCGATGCACCAAGTTTCTATGCATCTTCCAGCAAAGATTGGCGACTATACTGATTTCTATTCTTCAAAAGAACATGCAACTAATGTAGGAACTATGTTTCGAGGTGCAGACAATGCACTCAATCCTAACTGGGTTCATTTACCTGTAGGGTGTGTAGTCTTTGGTCTATATTTAAAGGAAGGGATACTCACAAAGAAAACATAATGTCATTTATAGTTATCATGGAAGGTCATCTTCCATAATTATATCAGGACAAGATATTCGGAGGCCTTGTGGTCAATTGAAAGGCAACCAAGAACCATCTCCACATTATGGTCCCACACAGTAAGCATTGTTTTGGTTGGTTGACTCGGAAGAATAGTTGAACATTATATATATATATAATACTATAGAGCACTTGATTTTGAGTTGGAAATGGCTTTTTTTGTTGGACAAGGCAATTCCTTGTTCGAAAGTATTCCAGCTAAAACAGCTCGTGATTATATCTTTGGATTGGTATTGATGAATGATTGGAGTGCTAGAGACATTCAACGTTGGGAATATGTGCCTTTGGGTCCTTTTGGTAATTCCGTTTATCTTTTTGTTTCTTCTCTTTGGATGAGTTATAATTTTTGTTTTTTAGGAGCAAAGAATTTTGCTACTAGCATTAGTCCTTGGATAGTTCCTTTGGAGGCTTTAGAACCTTTTCGAGTACCTGCACCGACACAAGAGCCTCAAGTATTGGAATATTTAGAACGAGGTAATTATCTTAGTTTTTGAGACATTCATAGCAAATAAGAGAATGATAGGTCCCGATCCAACTACTTTTGATATTCATCTCACTGTATCTATTCAGTCAAGCAGCATGAGAAAACCTCAATTGATTTGTGAAAGGTAATCCAGTCAATATCTATTCATTCAGCAGCTAAAGATGTATCCGAATTGTCTATTTTTAATACAATTGTAGTAATTTTCGATATCTTTATTGGACAATGGAACAACAATTGGCACATCATACTGTGACTGGATGTAATTTGAGACCTGGTGATTTATTGGCTTCTGGTACGATAAGTGGTAAGAGTGGTAAGTGTATATGTGTGAATGCATTCTTCTTCCTATATATTTATTGTTATATATAGAAAAAAGTTTTGGTTCCATGTTGGAACTTTCTTGGGGAGGTAGTAAACCTTTGAAACTGGAAGAAACTCAAGAACAAAGAGTCTATTTACAAGATGGAGACCAAGTTATGATGCATGGATATTGTCAAAAAGAGTAGGCATATCTTATTCCATTTCTTTATTGTTATTATTGAAATGATGTGAAAGGAATATTCGCATTGGATTCGGTTCTTGTCATGGAAAAATATTACCTGCAAAGCCTTTGACATGAAGAAGAACGATTATCTTCGTTGTGTTTTACCCATTTTGCGTTTTCCTGAAAGTAAATGTTTCGGATGTTCATTATATATCGTTCTATCAGCTTCTCCTTTACGTCTTTCCTTTTTACTTATTCCACGTATTGCTTTACGTGCCAAGTGCAAAGCCTTTTGTTTCTGTTGATGATTAACAAAACCTTTTCCTGCTTCTGCTTTGGTTTGATTCCATCGATAAGTACTTGTCGAACGACTTTGAGAACGTGGCTTAGAAGGTTCACGAGATTGAGAACGATGAGATAAAATCTGTTTGGTTGTCATATCTACTCGTTCTTTATCCATTCCCATTTCTAACCATTGCTTTCTCCATTCTTGACTGCTTTTAGGATGTGCTTTCGTCATCTTATTCGCTCCAATTGGATTCCTCTGTTTAGAACGTCCACGAATCAATAACACCTTCTTATCTCGAATTCGTTGTAAACGTTGTTGACTCTCTTCGTCTAATCCTTCCATTTCATCATTCTCACTCATAGCTTCCCTAGCAACCTCTTCTTCTTCCAATGCTGCCAGTCTTTCATCAATATCCGTATCTATAAAGTCAAGTATATTATGTCCTTCTACGATTTCAGGCATAATATCATATTTCCATGAATCGTCTCTTAATAAATAATGCTTATTCCAATCACTCGAGTATACTCCCGCACCTCCATGTGCCATTTCTAGGTCCTTTTCCAAAATCTTTTGAGAATCCTTTCTATGATCCTCTTCTGAGGGTTCCTTCTCCTCCTCTTCCATTGTTTTATTCTCTTGTTTCTTTTTCCATACTGACTCGGGAATAAATGGACGACATAGTCCTTGTGATTCTTCTTCTTTCTGATCATCACAACTTGTATGAGTCATGCTAGCTGGTACAGCAACATGCAACCTATTCAATATACTTTGTGCTCTAGGCCCCTTTACTTTGGATTCCACTCGTTGACTTAACAATAAATCACATGCCGTATTCCTTACTTCTACAACTCCCGTTTTTTCCAAAGTAGACATTTTCATCCAACCATCTGCCAATACTGGCTTATCCAAACTATTGCTGTGATTGGACTCTTGTCGAACCAATGCATTCAATTGTTCTTCTACTTGTGACTGCCAAGGTAAATCGGTTTTGTTACATACAATGAGCAAAGGCTTTTCCACAAACAAAGGTTCTAAAGAATGAAATAGACCTATCTGTTGTTCCCAACTAAATCCACAGTGTTCGGATGGATCCAAAAAGAACAATATCGTTGCTCGTAAATGAGCCAATGCAGTAATGGACTGCATTTCAATAGTGTTTCTTTCTTCCAATGGCTTATCTAAGATACCTGGTGTGTCGATCACTTGCCAACGTAAATAACGATAATCCATATGTCCTACATACAGTGACTTGGTAGTAAAAGGATAAGGTTGTACATCCACGTTGGCTCTGGTTATCAAGTTCATAAAGGAAGACTTGCCAACGTTGGGATAACCTGCGATAATCAAACAACGCATATGAGGATCAATGCTGGGTAGACGTGCCATATGTTGTCGCACTCGTTCTAAATAACCAAACGAAGACGCAAGTCGCTTGACAATAGTACACATTCGACCCACCGCTGCTCTTTTCAACATCTTACAACGGTAAAGCGAATCACCGTATTTCAATAAACGTAAATATTCTTTGCTCAAATTGTCTATCAAGCTCCTAGCCTTGGATAACTGACCAAGTGCTAACTTGTAGTGGTCCCTATCGTACAATACGTTCAACAAATCTGCATAAAAGGGATGAATTTCGTCAACTTTAGGAAAGTCTTGTAATATTTGAGAAAGTTTATCGTGAAAAGTTTGTTGAGCAAACTTGATTTTGCGCATGTAAAACTGACGAATGCGGGAAATAGCATAGTGACGATGAATAACTGTAGGGGTCTTTCTTTGGGTTTTGGACAACACAATGTCGATGAGTTCCTTTGCTCCAGGAACTGTTTGAATCTTTTTCAGGTTATAAGTTACCATATTCCTTCTCCTATCGGCTGTTTTGAAGGAGGAAAATGACAAGGAATATCAACGACGTTGTTGGGTGAGAGAGCCAATGGAGAGTCGGCCGAATGGGGAAACAGAAGAGTTGAGAATTTCCTCCAAAGCTATTCTAAAGGAATGTAAATTTCCATTTCTTTATATATATATGTATATATAGGGTAGCAACAGAAACAAGGTGTAAAATACAACACTTTGTTTTCTTATGAGAACAGTGTAAAATCTATACATTTCCGAAATATATCATTCTCGTCAATCTGTTTATCTATTTGAGTAATGCACATATGAAGCTTTTTAACCCGATGAAGAAAAATGTTCTTTTCTACCCGCGCCTTTTTCCCATCATTTGGTAATTGATTCACTTTATTTTCTTTCTCTTTTTCTCTCTCTCTCTCTCTCTCTCTGTGTGTGTGTGTGTTTAGTGAAGAATGACTTTCTTGTTGAAACTCACTGTGTCTTCTTCAAGACCTCTCTTTCAACTCTTTCAAAGAAATATATCCCAAGAAATAGCAGAAACTGGAGCAACACGGAACTCTATCCCTCATTTCCAAACAAGCGTCGATAACAAAGCAGCTTTGGTACAGCGTTTATTGGTTGCGAAAGAAAAATCTTCCAAAACATTTGATCAAATAGCCAACGAGTGTGGTTTAACCAACGCTTATGTTGCTCAATTATTCTTTAGTCAAGCACAATTGAAACCCGAAACTGCACCCAAACTGAAAAAAGCAGTACCCGATATTTCCGACCAAGACTTGTTGGCTCTACAACGTTTTCCAATGAGAAGTTTTCAACCCACTATTTTACAGGTGAGTTGAGATGTGACATAGTTTTCCGTAGAAGCCTATGTATCTTTTGATAGGATCCTACGGTGTATCGATTTTATGAAGCAATAACTCATTATGGAGAAGCACTCAAAGCTCTAGTCAATGAAAAATGTGGTGATGGAATTATGTCTGCTATCGATATGTACGTAACAGTCGATAAAATAAAAGGAAAACATGGAGAAGATAGAGTTGTTGTGAAACTCAATGGTAAGTTTTTGCCTCATGTAGAAGGCAAAGCACAAGATGCTTGAGTTTTCCATCATGGAAGAAGAGAACGAAGAATTTGAACAATTTTTTTGTTGACAGAGAAAGGAGAGCATTTTTTGTGGTGTCTGTCGTATTAGAGAATGTTTTTTGTAACTAGTGATTATTGGAGTTATAAACGTTTTATGAAAGAATACCACTTTATTCGACTGAAAAGAACTTGCTCCTTACAGTGTAGTTATGGAAGTAAACCCTACATGGCCACTTCAACACCGGATTCAGCTGTTCGTACTGATTGGAAATATACCACTTTGGGGGATAGTCAGTTGGTTGTCAGTCAAGTTTGTTTAGGAACGATGACATTTGGTAAACAAAATTCCGAACAAGAAGCCCATCAACTACTGGATTATGCTGTAGATCAAGGAATCAACTTTATAGATACTGCAGAGGTAGAAATATTTATTTGTTACAATGGAAGATGGTTTTTACTTTAGTTAGTTGTATCCCGTTCCTGTAGAAGCAGAAACACAAGGCAGAACAGAAGTATTTATCGGTAATTGGCTCAAAAAACGAGCTCGAGATAAACTGGTCGTTGCTTCCAAAATTTGTGGTGCTGGGAGAGATATTCGACACATAAGAGGAGGTAGGATTACTATTGTATATATTATGATTAGTTTATAAAGAAGGAGTTTAAAGGTCCTCGTGTCGATAAAAGGAATGTGATGGAAGGAATAGAAGGAATATTGAGACGTCTACAAACAGACTATATTGACTTGTTACAGATTCATTGGCCTGATCGTTATGTACCTCTCTTTGGACAGTGTAGATATGATTGGAAACAAGAAAGACCTTGTGTACCTATCGAAGAGCAGTTGTATTATCTTCAAATGTTGATTACTCAAGGCAAGGTAAGAATAGTTGAATGTTCATGATTCATTTTTATGGGAATGATAAAAGGTACGATATATTGGTCTTAGCAATGAAACTGCTTGGGGCGTAACAGAATTTGTTCGTTGTGCTCGGCAACATGGATTAGCCAAAGTCATTTCCATTCAAAATAGCTATAGTTTGTTACATCGAGAGTTTGAATGTGCTTTAGCAGAAGTTTGTTCTCCTTCACATACCAATGTTCCTTTATTAGCTTATTCTCCATTGGCTGGTGGAGTTTTAACTGGTAAATATTGTGGTGGACAGATACCCAAGGCTAGTCGTTTTTCTCTCTTTCCTCAATATATGAAACGTTTTCATTCTTCTCTTGCATTGGAAGCTGTAGAACAATATTATCAGGTTGCTAAAAAGTATGGGATGACTCTTACTCAGTTGGCTTTGGGTTGGTGTAAACATCAGCCATTTATAGCAAGTACTATCATTGGAGGTAAGAGTGAGAGAGATGAAAAGTTGTTGAGAACACGTTGATGAAATAGGGTGCTTTTAGCTACCAATAGGAAACAATTGGAAGAAAACATTCAAGTATTTTGTAAAGATTGGATAACTGAGGTATGTATAAGAGGTAAAGTTGGATGTTGGAGAGAAATTGAAAGGATTGGAAAATGGAATAGGAAATAGAAGAAGAAATCAATCAAATATATATGCGATGGAAGGATCCATCTTTATATCCTTAGAGCTGCTTTTGTAAATGTGACATGGGAAGAGCGACAATTCAATTAGAGTTGTCGTTTATATATATATATATATATATTATAGATAGAGATAGATAGATAGAGAGAGAGAGAGAGAGAGAATGTACGTGATGTTCAATTAGCATTTTTTTTGGGGTTTTTTGAGCGCCATAATAAATCCATCAAAGTATTTTGTATTGTTTTGTTGTGGAAAAGAATGGAAGAGATGACCGATACGATGTGGTTGCAAAACCAAAACGAAACATTAGCAACACCAACACAAATATGGAAACAAATAAACTATGACCAGTTCAAAGAACAACTTGAAAAAATGGTAACTTGCGTTACTCTTCAGCGGAAGCGTACCCACTTACCTAATGTCAGAGTATGGACATGGTAGAAAAACAAAAAGAGTCCAAAGCCACTAGGAAAAGGTTAACAGAAACAACCAAGGAGTTCAAACATAGTTCTTCTGAAGAAAAAGCAAAAAACTTAAATACACTACTCAAATCCTATCAGAGTGAAATAGACCGTTTAACAACTAGAGCTGCGTTTGCAGAAAGTTGCTTTTTTCAAGTGTACCAGAAACTGTATGCTACTACGGTATGAAAAAGGATACAGTGAAATTCCGTATCAAATAACTTTAAAAAAGGATCCTTGTGTATTTATTGCAGAGTTGGAAGACTGGAAATGGAAATATCAACAGGTATTGGAAGAAAAGAAACAGATGCAGCAAGAATTGGACCAGTTCCACTTGGAGACGGCAGATGTGCAAAGACAGGATGCAACGGTTAGAGAACTTTTAAAGCAATTGAAACAAAAGGAAGAGGATACCGAAAGAAAGGTGATCAAGTGTTATGAAAATGTATGGATATTGGATGTCCACTCAATTCTTCTATTTGTGTAGCTTGCAGAAAAGTCGAAACAATTGGAGGCAGAATGGACGGAAACATTGAAAAATACAAAAGCACATCAAGAAAACCAACAGAGTATTTGGACACATGAAATAGAACAATACAAGGAAAAACTTGCCAACTTACAGACTGCTTATGAATCGGTACAAAATAGATTATTTCAAACAAGTCATCAGTTGGAAGAGGTATGAATCCAATTGAAAACTGAATTGAGAAACGCTTTAGACTCAAATAACAACAGTTGCGTGGAGTCAAAAATACAGAACATCAAATACTTTTACAGGAATTGGAACAAAGTCGTGAAGAGAACCGAGACTTGAATAGGAAAATCTCAGAGTTGCTTCATTCTAAAAGTTCGAATGTTTTGTCGTCAGGTGAGCTAATGATAGGATGATTTTGCGGAGATTGAATATTTATATAAATATATGCGCTTGTCATCATGGAATAGAAGCAAGTGAGTCGAAAGATTTTTATGCCAATCTAGCGTGGAAAGATGGAAAAATCAAACAGTTGGAAAAGCAGCTGGATGCTTTGAAATCGCAAATGGAAGAATATCAAATTTCCTATCGTCAAGAATTGGAAGATAAGCAACAAGTTATTACGAAACAGGTGAGTGAACAACAAGTAGCATTTGTTCCATGTTTGTTTAACGAAATGAAATTGTATTTTTGTAGGAAATGCAAATCAAGCAACTGGAACGACGCTTGGAAGCAGCTCCCAATCTTGATGAAGTACAGAGATTGCGCAAGCAGATAACCAATTTGCAAGCGTTACAATTTGATCATGTGGAGCAACTCCAAGAAGTACGTAATTTATGGCTGATTATTGAGTGATGCAAATTGAATGATTTGTAGGAAGCAAGTGGCAAGGAACCTACGGACTTAGAAACACTATTAATGGAAAAGAATCGATCTTTAGAAGATCAGTTGAGTAAATGGAGAGTCACAGTACAAAACATAGAAAAGGAGAGCATGCAGTACCAACAGCAAGCGCTAAGTTTAGAAGAGGCTTTGTCGGATCAGAAAGAAGTCAATAGGAAATTAGAACAAGCTCTAAATGAAGCCTTGAAGGTTCGTAATCCTTTAGGTGTTTCGGTCTCTTTAGAGAATTCTTCGAATGCATCCAAGCCAAGAATTCCGGAGGAACAAGGTATACTAGATATCGTCTGTCAACAAAGAGATCGATATAAACACAAGATGTTGGAATATGAGGTAAGTATTGTTGACATTATTCCATTTTTTGTGTGTGACTATATCTCGAAAAGGATCAAGTGGATAAGATGAGAGAACGAATTTCACTTTTAAATGCCACTGTGGAGACACTTAGAAACGAGTCAAAAAGAACATCTTATCAAGTGGTCGATTCCTCAGTTTCAGATAAAAGAGGAACCAAAATGGCTGATAAAGAGTCCTTATCTCTCATGTTGGAACAAGTAAGTGATATTGTTGGACTTGACTATTTCATATTCATTTGGATATTATAAACAAGGGAAATAGTAATACTTTAGCTTGGCCAGAAACAACAAGTTATGCTGGAGCTTCTAGAAGATGGCTTCGACAGAGAAGAAGTTTTGAAAGGCAAGAGTTTTGACTTTTTGAAAGACTGACTTTTATAAAAAGCTTTATGGACTTAGGTGGCTTTATCGTTGGAGCTTATTTATATTGCGAAACCGTTACGCTACTCTGTTTCTCTTTTTCTACATCTTCTTCTTGCATCTCTTTGTCGTGCTCATACTTTACCAAACAACCCATCAACTTGGAGATAACGAATCCCAATCTCTTACTGAAGCTGTTCAACTGGAATAAAACGACTTGTCACGAACTGTTTCGAGTACTATTTTCAAGTCGACATACAGTAACGGTCACTCTTGGCTTTTACTCTTTCGTCCAAAAGTTGTTCTTTAGTTACTTCTTTCTTCTCTTCCTTGGAAGGTTTCTTCTTTTCCACTCCTTTCAATTTGAGTTTCTTAGCAACAACTCGAGGTTTCTTATGGAGGTTAGTGTCTTGTTGTTGTTTACTAGACTGCATGGGTTTATCGGAATCTACTGCCATGTTCTCTCACCGCTATAATATTACTTCATTGATATGTAGACTCTGCTCTCTCCTTCAGAAGAATCGTTGATCTCCTATTAACTGGCCATCCCATTTTATGATGGGCTTCATGTCGAAAGATGATGTTTCAATCACTTACGCTTTCCATTCAAGAACTATTGCTTTTTTACTTCCTATTGGAAAACAAAGCTGCGTTACTTCTCGTTGTACATCTTTTTGGGGTTCTCACTGTAAATTATCTCCTGTTCTATGGCGACGAAATATCTTCAAAAGACAACCGCCACGTTACAACTGGAATACTCCTTGGACGATGAACATATTTTAACGTTTCTTTCGCATCGTCCGTGCCAATGTTAACCAACTATTATCTGGTATGGAAGACCCCGAAAAATTGATCAATCAAACGATGACAGATATGCAAAGTGACTTGGTAAAGGTTCGTCAAGCGTATGCAGAAGTGGCAGCTAGTCAAAAACGGTTAGAGAAACAACGTCAACAAGCGCAAGTAACTGCTTCAGAATGGTATAAAAGAGCTCAGTTGGCTTTACAAAGGGGAGAGGAAGGACTAGCGAGAGAAGCTTTGGTGAGAAAAAAACAACAAGAAGAAATGGCCAAGTCTTTGGAAGAACAGTTGGCGTTACAAACAGACAATATGAATAAGCTTTATTCATCTATGCAGCAGTTGGAAGTGAAAATCAATGAAGCAAGAGCAAAGAAAGATCAGTACATTGCTCGAGCTAGAACTGCAAAGACATCACAAAAGGTGAATGAAATGCTTGGTTCAGTCAATACTAGTTCCGCATTGGAAGCTTTTGAAAGAATGAAGTCAAAAGTAGAAGAATTGGAAGCTAGTGCTGAAGCAAGTGCTGGTATGATTGGTTCTGGTGATGCCAATTTGGAAAGACAGTTTCAGGCTTTGGAAGGAACTTCAGTAGATGATGAATTGTCCCAGTTGAAGAGAAGTCTTGAGTCTTCTTCTCGTCCCAAATCACTTCCTTTTCAGGTAATCGATATTTATTCAGTTGTATTTATATTTGTCATGTCCATGAACAATATCATTCTTTTAGGATCCCAACGTAGAAGCAGAACTAGACCGAATGAAAAGAGAACGAGATTATCCTTAAAAAGTCATCAGGGGAATGAATATATAAAAATATAGGGTTATCCATGAAAGTAACTCAAGTACTCCAAAGAATGGGACTTCTTTCTTTTGAATGATGCCGCACTTGTTGCCAATCCAGTGCCTCGACTATTCTGCATTGAGCTACTCTTCTCATGGCAACTTGTAAATCTTTCCATTCCACATGATCGCTATTCAAAATATCCAAAGCTTCCTTTCTTATTGTATCAAACCAAGGATGTTGTAAAAGTTCTTGCGCACTTGGACGATCATCTGCTTTCAATTCTAGACACTTTATCAAAAAGTCTCTACCTGCTATACTCAAGTCCGTATCTTGTCCTTGCATTTGGTTGATAGTTACAGGAATCTTCCATTCTTCCTTATTGAATGAAAAAGAACATCCTTCGGCTACTTCAGCTGCTTCTAACCGAAGAAAGAGATCCAATTCCGAAGTACTTTCTTCTAAAATAGAACGAAATGGATGACAACCACCTAAAGACTCTCTTATCGTCATTCCTAAACTCCAAATATCAATTTTGGTATCGTAGGCTTCTCCTCGTAACATTTCAGGTGCCATATACAATGTAGTTCCAACAAATGTATGTTTCTTACATCGATGACAGCCTTTGGAAGAAAATCCTTTACTCGCCAAACCGAAATCGCATAGTTTCACTTGGCCTTGAGTACCAAACAGAATATTGCCAGGTTTGATATCTCGATGAATACACCGTATTTCTCCATGTAAATAGTCCAACGCACAAACCATTTGAAAGGCAACACTTCGTGCAAAGTTCTCATCCACTTGCTTCTTCAAACTCAAGATATGTCTCAAAGTACCCATTGGCATATACTCCAATCCGATAAATACTTGACCATCTAAAAAACACGCACCATAAAACTCAACAATATTGGGATGAGGATGAAAGTACGTATAAAATAATACTCGCAATTCTTTCAAAAGAGATTTGCGTTGAGCATGAGAAGTAACCACTTCTATCACTTTCACAGCAATTTCGCTATCTGGATATTCTTTACGACGTGCTTTGTAAACAGTACAAGTTCTGCCAATTCCAATAGTGCCTTGAAGCTTTAAAGAATGAAATGGAAATGGACAATAATGTTCATCGATCCAGTCTTTGGGAGTCATACAACTGCTGCCTTCGTCATTCGCAATAATCCTTTTGGTTCCTTCCATCATCGGATACTCTGCTTCTGTTTGCGAATATTGTAAGTGACTATCAAAAAAGGCATCTTGTGTTTTATATCCACTATTGGGATTGGTATTGGTACATAAACTAAAATCTGACAAATTACATTCTCTCGTAGGATCTTCCAACGACGGACTCCAGTTCTTCTGTACCGATGGCTGTTCCAAACAGGAAACATGACCAATCATTTTCTGAACAACAGGAGAAAATAAAACTTCACCAATGACGGATGAGTGATTGGTTTCGTCTGTTATCACAAGTTGTTGTTGTAAAGATTCACATAAATTATTCTCCATGACATCTTGTGTCGATGGTCTTCCCCATTTTGAAGAAACTACCTTATTGTGCTGTTTTTGTGGATTGGATGTTGCAAAACGTAGCTCTTCGAAACAAGTCACATTGCTAGACAGACGAATACCGTGATGCGTGATGCTGAAAACACGATTATCCCACTCAAACTCTGTTAAAAGCTCTTGTGGTGAAATACAAGAGTTGGAACATATTTGAGAACCCTTTTCGCGTTGTTGGACATCCGTTGGCATACGAACCTCAAAAGTTCCCAATGCCTCATAATGATGAGACGATAGAAACAAGTTTGGATTTGAAAGCTGTAAAGGAGGAGGTTTTTTCTTGGAACGACGTTTGTTGTGAGTTGATTCTCGTTTAGCACCAAGGCTCTGTTCGTTGTTATTATCGTCTAAAACCGAATGGTTTAGCAAATAATCAATAATAAAACTTGTATATCATCTAACCAACGAGCACTTACCGTTTTCAACAACTCTCAACTCACATGGGTCACTTTCTACGAGTAGTGGTGCGGTATGAACGGAAGAAGCGTTTGCAAAACTCTTTACTGGTGTTCGTTTTGCACTCGTATTATCTACTCGTCCTGATGTATCCAACTGTTGCTCTTTTTCGTACTCGCTATTTTTTGGTTGGTCGGCAAAAGACATCGTGTAAGCTTTAGCAGCGGTGATGACTAGAATGGCGCGATGAGCAATAGGTAAGGAAACAAAAGTAACGCTGAATATACCATTCAAAAACTATTTCTTATGTTAGTAAAATACTACCTTGCTTCTAAATGAACCCAACTCTGTAACAGTCTTCTTCTCTTCAGACCACAAACACTGATGCTCGACAACTGGGTCAATGCAATCCGTTTTCTTTGACGTGGGCAATTTACAAGACAAAATTGTTTGAAATCACATCGTGACCTGGCCGCTCTCCCTAACGAAAGCAAGAAAACGACAATAAGAGATGCACTGCTGCTTGGAACACTAAATTCAATACTGGATGATTTTCTAAATTTAAATAGCATTTTTAGGCACCAAAAATTCTTCTTGATGACATGTATTAAGGAAGGATTACCCAAATTAAATCTAGGTTGCAGTAGAGCAAAGACTGCATCATCATACATTGTTGGTAAAAACAAAATAAAGGCAACAGATAACGATATCATCTCACACTCAGGTCGCGATTAGAAAAGAAACAAACGACACACACTTATTGGAGCTTTCTCCATCTTTGAAACATCGGCCAATAAATGACCTTTCGTATCTACAAAATAAGAAAAACTAATGACCGAGAAGAAGATTTTATCGAGTACTATAAAAAATTATTTGTATGGAGACTTTCCAGCGTTTCCTATCCACTTTGAGTAATTTTATAAATTGTTACACAAGGGCAACCACTTTAAAAAAATTGCAAAAAAATTATTTCAATCTAAATGGTCACCAATCAGCATGACCGAAAAACAGGACTGTGCTTAAATCAAAAGAGTCAGCTTTCTTGACTATCTAGAACATAACTGGATTCTTTTATTTGATATTTTTTTAACAAATAAGCGCCACCCTAAATATATGTCCTTTTTAATTTAGTCAAGTTACACTAAAGGTCAACGATTAATAATTTATGTTCAACAATAAACGGAACATGTAAGTAAAAAAAATCACAGGTACCAAAAAAAATGATCCATTCACATTCATTAAAAATGACATTCTCTCATTCATTAAATTTTAACTATTCATTAACTAGAATAAAAATTAATTGGACTTGAAAATCCATTAAATTCTCAAATAATAAGCGCAACTAGTAGGCTAAATAATTTTGCTGTGCTTACTTACACAGAATTTTTCTTAGCTTCGATTTTATTAAGAATAAGGCTTTTCATAAAAAAAATAAAATTTTTTTATAGAGTTACAATTTTTATTTTATTTTTTTTGTAACGTGGGTGTAGAAAATTTTCTTTTTCGATTATTTTCAGTGTTTTTAGAGCTTTCTGAACAACTGCTTTGTGGAAAAGGCCTTGGATTATTGCCTTGTTTTGCAACCAAAGCATCTTCTTTACACTGTCAGAACAAATATTGTTGGAATGTTTTGCGAGACTTTTCAAAGCGCAAAATGTCAGTGCAGCCTGTTGTTTAACTTTCTTTTTTCTGCTATCATCTTTGACTATTGCAAAGTCTTTACTCATTTGTTCAAATGTTGGACGTCGAAATTTCTCCATTTTTATCCTCTTTTTTAAGCTTAGTTTTAAAGGCATTTTTTACTCTCTATTCTAATATATTATAAAAGTAGATGGTTTTGTATTTCCACATTTTGTGGTTGCTTTGCTTTGGTGTAGGAAACTCATGATCGATTCATAGCTTTTTTTCATTATTGGTTGATATGATGTGGAGACGTCTAGGCAAAGAGGTTAGCGTTGTTGTTTTTCGTTTTATTATTTGTTGATGATATCTTACTCCACGACTAGTTGGTTTACTGGAGTATTGCAGGTGCTATTTTTTATGGGTATGTTTACAAACCCGACCAAGAGAAAAATAGCAGTGGTTGTAGTCCTGTCAAAAGTTTAACGGAACGAGTTGGAAAAGGCAAAGTGGACAACAGCACAGGTGTATCCTCATCGACGTAAAGTAAGCTGAGTTAGGTATTCATTTATTATATTCAGTAAGTAACCAATAGTCTAGAATAGTTGAGGAGCAAAAGCAACTTGATGCAGCATCATAAACGTCCATTTCGGCCAGGCTTCTTATCACCAGGTACTAACAAGTCATAGTGCATTCCATCACTACATGAGAAAAGCGAGACAAGATGGAGAGTTCAGTGAATGGAATCGCTTCCTCTTATTATTCTCTTGCTTACCTATAAAGTAAATGCAATGGCTCTCCCCTAAATTGTCTTCCATAAAGCTACAAGAGACATATGATCAATGTCAAAGGGTATCTCTATATGTAGTGGAACAATACTTACTTGTATTTGACGAAACGGACCGGTATCCATAGACGAAGCTTGTGAATCATATACATACACTGCAATAGGCATATGCAAAATACTAGCCAACAATAACAATTCTGGTTCACCCGCATATCTAAAGTATTGTAACAAATATATATATATATATACATTTCAGGATATATAAGCAACATCAACCTACGTATACGTTTTCGCAATGTTTTGTACATACTCATCAAAATTTCCTTCCACTACACAAAATTCGGTCAACAAGTCCTTTCGCTTTTTCAATTCGGCAACGACTCTGCTTCGCAACTTGTCTGCTTCATCTTTTTCTACCTTTTCAGACCAAACTTGATGATACACCGTGAGTTGTTTCATTCTTCAATCATCGAAAACAAATACTCACGATTATCGATCCCTATGGCATAAGCTCTTCCCTTTGCAACTGCTCTAAATAGACATCTACCATCACCTACTACAGAACATCTCGACAGTCTTCTGGATACTTCTGTAACAGCCCTATTCCATCATCCATTGTTACATACAAACAAAACATGGAAAGGAATGAACACTATTTACTCTTGACGTCTCGGAGTACCCGAATCATACAACATGGAAGCAAATGATTTCTTCTGTATATTCGCAACATCTCTATGATTGCTGTAATTGTTATTATTGGGTACAATCTCATGATTGACATTGTCCATTTCTCAATATAAATTGTCAATACAAGAGATTAAAAATCGAGTCCATTATATACAACTTACCCTTATTCGTATATTGTTTTGCTAATAGATCCAAAGATCGGGATCGAGAGTTTTGTAATAAAATATCCCAAGAAGAACGTGAAGGAGAATCTATCCATCATCATGATTCATTTTCTTCTTGTCATGAATACTCATCTATCTATACTTACTTTGGATTCCGTAAATAGACTCCAATTGTTTTCTAGCTTCCTTTAAAATCTTATCGATATTATTCTAATCATACCCAAGTTGAGTTGCTTTATAAAAGTAAATAAGCGATGGAGTCTTACCATTTTGTCTTTGAGTTGAGTATCCATCAATGCTTCCCATCTTTCTTTGAATATACGAAAACTTAACATCAATTCTCTCATATTTCTTGGCAAATAATCATTCAGGGAAGTTTCCTTGTCTTCATTCAACTAATAGAAAGAATGTACCATAACCAAATAAGTTTCTCATCTATTCACACAAGTAATGACCATACCTCTACTAGAATTTCCTTGGACTCGTCTTCAAATCTATCCAATTGACTGGATAGCATTTTAAGATATTCTGCAAGTCGTTCTTCCGTATCCGTAAAACTTTTCAAAACTTGTTCGATATCTTCCGATTGTATCCTATACTCTTATAGATTATTATCAAGTTTCTCACATAACCATTCCTACAATACCCTTTCAAGGAATAGGTTCCCACTTTTGCTTGGCTCAGTCTTTGAACTTTTTCACGTATATCGTCCTGCAGCGACTTTATTTCAGTCAATACGTCGGGCAAATCGGTATCTGTTCTTCCATCCTTTTCGGACCTTGAAAGAGTTGATAACTTGTGTACAAAGAAACGAAGCTAATCTTACCTTGCCCATAGAGAACTTATTTGTGCTTCAGACAACTTGACTTTGGCCAATATATCTCTCAAAGTCGGCATATAATGGGAATCGCTACTTTGGGACTTGCTATATTTATAACCGTTGAGTGAGTTGATGATGAGTAATAAACACTCAATGGCTCACCGACGATAAACAGAAGGAGGTTGTTTTGGATAACGCTTTGGTTTGGGTGGTGGAACAACACTCGTCTTTCCTGTAAAACAATCTCCACAAACACCAACAAAGTCCGAACAACCGGGTTTAATATCTTCTTCAAGGCTATGATATTGCATAAGTATAAAAGTGTTTTCTTTTTCCTTTCAAACAATAAGTTTTCTATTCCATCATCCTGAACAACAACAACAACAACAATTACAATGATGATGATGATGATTAAGAGATATTTTGTTCTTGTCTCGAGAACAAAGTGAGTGTATTGTTCCTTTCCAAAGAGTATATATTCAATAGTAGTAGTAGTAGAAGAAGAAGAATAAGATTCTCTCAAAATATGGCCAATGCACCGGACCGTTTTGAAGCCGTCGTATTACCTGATGGAGTTGCCAAGTTGGAGTATCAGAAAGATACCAAAGTGCCTCATTCAGCTATCGTCAAAATAGAAAGAGAAGACCATACTATTGGAAACTTGTTACGAATGCAGTTGCTGAGGGATCCTAAAGTGATATTTGCTGCTTATCGTGCTCCTCATCCTTTACAACATCATATTATCATAAGAGTGCAAACCAAAAGTAGCGATAGGGAGCCTTATACACCCATAGACGCTTTAGCCAATGCTTTGAGTGACTTGAATACTGAAATGAGTTTGCTATCTGAAAGATTGGAAGAGGAAATACAAAAGCAACAGTTTCGAATGGTATATAGTTGAGAACCAAAAAGGGAAGCTCTTTTTAGAAGAAAGCCAAAGATATACGATCTATAGAATAAGGATCTCCCAAAGCATCTTGAGCATATTCCGTAACAAAACGATAAAGGTCACGAATACTCAAAGTACGTGGAAGATATTTGTTATTCTTTCTCTGTTCATAACAACAACAGCATAGGATAGGTTCTCGTGTTCCTTTGATGATATCCAAAAGATGAAACTCCAAAGCATGAAATAAATCAATCGTTGCATCTTTGTCTATTTGATATATTCCATTTTCTGCAGCTATTTGTTTCATTCGTTTACTTATTCGATTGATAAAATGTTGTTGTATGGCATCTTTCCATTGTTGATAAATAAAGGTTGGCGTCATCTCTTCTTCTCTCGAATTCCGAGCCATATTATCTTCTACAATATGAAAAGTAATTATTCAAACTATGAATTATCCAATCCATCATCATACCTGCTTTTCTATCCAAACTTGGTTTTGTGATAGTCTCTCCTAACGAGTCCTTGTCGTGCATCATCAAAGAATGAGCACTTTGTACTTTAGCCATATTATTTCTTTTACGCTTCTTATTTCCTGTGACTTTACTCTCAGGATAAGACTCTTGTGTATCATTCCAACAAGTTATGCTCTTAATAGGTCTCTTTACCAATAACCTTCTTTTGAGATATTTCGAGTCCTTTTCATGCGTCGTTAAACTAGGAACAAGAGTATTCCCTCCTTGTTGTGCTTGTTGTAAAACTTGTATAAAAGTCTCGTTATGAACTTGGATAGCTTGTGGCGATAACAAAGACTTTAACTTTTCTTCCAACTGATATTTTGCAAGTTTACCCGTAAAGAATTGACACAATATTTCGTAATAGTTTTCTACTCTTTCAGGTGATACTCCAATTTGGAGAAGGCTTCTTAATAAGGTTTGTTTTCCTGTTGACTGAGAGCAGTGGATATCAACTCCTTTTGTAGTCACCATTAACCATAAAAACCAGTTTTACAAGTCTTCGGTTTCTATGAAGAGTAGTCAGTATGTCCATTTCTTCTTTTCAAATGAGCCATTATTCTTTTTGGAGGATTTAATGACAAGACAAGGTGGTTTATTATGGGTTGACAAATATCGACCAAAGACACTTGAAACTTTAGATATTCATCCCGAATGGACTGAAAAACTTGCTAGGTAAGTTGTCTATAATATATTGTCAAAGGAGGATGTTGATTGGGGTTCAGTTTATGTGAACAAGGAACTTTACCTCATTTGTTATTTTATGGGCCTTCAGGTGTTGGAAAACGAACTAGAATATATGCTCTATTGAGACAAGTATTTGGAATTGCTATTGAAAAACGTCAAGTGGAACATCGTTTTTTGAAAGTGGGAGAACCACCCAAGGAAGTGGAACTAACTACCATCACTTCAGCACATCATATCGAACTTTGTCCAGCAGATGTTGGATATAACGATCGTTTGGTAATACAAGAGATTGTAAAAGAAATAGCATCCTCTAAACCTATAGAGTTGGGTAATGTGCATCGTGGATACAAAGTGGTTGTATTGCATGATATAGATGAGGTATCCAAACAAGCTCAACAAGCTTTAAGAAGAACTATGGAAAAATATACAAGCTGTTGTAGAATCATAATGAGTGCAGAATCAGTAACGAGAGTTATGGAACCTATTCGTAGTCGATGTTTAGGTATTCGCATTCCTTGTCCTAAAAAGGAAGAAATAGAACAAGTGTTACAAAAGATAGCCAAAAAGGAAGGACTTGTATTACCTGATTGTTATGCAAACCAATTGGTGACTCAATCAAAAGGTAATTTGCGCAAAGCTATTTTATTATTACAAGTAGGTAGAGCCATAGCCTATCCCTTTTCACAACAACAACAAAAGAAGAATGAAGAAGAAGAAGAAAGTTGGATATCCTCTCAAGAAACAGGTTGGGATTGGGAACGATTATGTTATGATATTGCCAATATTGTGATAAGAGAACAAAATCCTAAACAATTATGTAATATTAGAAACAAACTTTATGAATTATTTTGTCATGCTATACCAGGTGATATGATATTTAGAGTAAGTATAAGTATACATTGAATGATAATAATAATATTATTAATAATAATCATCGATGAATTGTCTCTTTAGAAAATAACTTTACATTTGTTAAGAATGATGGATGAGGAAGTTGCACCGCAAGTTTGTCATTGGGCTGCTCATTATGAATATGGAATGAAACGAGGATCCAAAGAAATATTTCATTTAGAAGCCTTTTTAGCCAAAGTGATGTATATCTATTATTCTCATATTCATACTCAATATTCTATGGCATGGATGGATGATTAAAACAAAGTATTCAAATTATCTTGAATAGTGGACTGCAAATGTGCACTCAACTCATTAAGTTTTGTTTGTATGACTCGAAAAGTACATCTCAATACATCTTGTGAAGATAAAGCACCAGTCGTTTCTAATGAAAAATAAAACCTATGGGGATCATGATTATATTCAAGTACTGCAGAAGGATCTCCAGAACAATCCAAAACCAACAGAGTCATCTTCTTTACACAATCCAAAGGTAAAGAAATTCTTCCCAAAGTAAAAGCTGTCTCATATATCAGTTGATTGCTTTTGGGATCGATGGCCAAACACTCGTCACTTGATTTCACCAACGCTCTTTTGGCTTCCTCAGAAAGCAAAGTATTCAGCTTATTCAAATTGAACTGCACTGATGGGTCTGTTTGATAAGAAATAGTACAAACAGGAGACCATTTGGCATGTTCCTTACCCACTCCTTTCTTAGCTATGGCTGTCAATTGAATTCGTTGTCCTTTTGCCAACTTTGCCAAAACAATACCATTCAATCCATTTTCTTCCGATAGAGTTGGATTGTATTCACCTGAAAAGTGAACAGGTTGAACACTAGCAGCAAGTTGACTCTCATGGGCACTCTTATTCACCAAGTCTTGAGAAGTCACTGTCATAGCTTCTTCTGTACATTGTACGTCCAATTCAAAAGTAACCGAACAGTGTAAACAGTGGTCACTACAATAAGGACAATCTCGAGTATATTCAAACTCATCCACTCTATGACTTGTTAAAGGTATCAAACCCAGTCGATGGGCTAACAACTCATCGTGTAAGGAAGAAGTATTGACTTGCATATGTATCAAGTCTATAGCCATAGTAGGAACTTGTGCAATAGCTACTCTTCTTATAGCGTTTGCTACAGAAGTATCTGTATCTGTTATGATAAAGTCCATTTCGTTGAAAGTTTGTCGGTTGATATGAATCGTAGGTGTTTTAGCAAAAGGCATATGAGAAGAAGAAAGAGGAAGAAGAAATGATCATTTCACAAGATGATGTCGATTCTTATGGAAGTATTGAAACAAACAAAGTTATTTCACCAACACCACCAAGTTGGATAGTTGTACAAATAAGACGTTTGGAACATATTTCATGGTGGTGGAAAATATTATTTTTATTATTTTTATTTTTATTGCCTTGTCTTTTAGCTACTTGGATATGGCACTGGATATCCTTGGAAACCATTCAATGGTTGGAACACTGGTCACGTCAACAACGAAAACAATGGCAATGTTTATTATATTATCTCATTGAAGTGAGTTTTGTATTACTTTGTTTTCCTGCTGCAGTGTTTTCTTTGGGTGCAGGCTTCTTATTGGGTCCTTGGTGGGGTGCCTTGATAAGTGTTGTTGCTCTTTCTACGGTTGCTTGCATTGCCTTTGTATTGGCTCGATATATTTTCTATTCTTTTTTTTATGATGTTGCAGTTGAATTGTTTTCCTTGAATAGATTGGAACAGTGGAATGTGGTTATGACCCATCGTGCCTTTATGATGACTTTGTTGATACGTGCTTCACCTCTATTCCCATTCACTTTATCCAGTTTCCTATTAGGCATAACAGATGCTTCCATTGCCAAGTTTCTTATGGCTACTAGTATAGGCACTTTACCAGAAGTCATATTCTTAACCCATATGGGAAGTTTAGCCCATTCTTTGGTACAAGTTATGACACTGAAAACTTGGCATCAACATCGATGGTATGAGTTGATGATGGGTCTGATTATTTCTACTTTGATAGTTTATGTGATTACTCGAATAGCTAAGAAAACATGGCAACAACAACTGATGAATGTTTCCCTCAACCGTATTATAGAGGATGATTGAAGATTCTTTTTATTTTGTTTTCATACGTTTGGGTTGAGATGTTATCCATTGAGTAATATATCTTGTGTTGGATATTCTATTTTTGGGTGGTTGCTTTTGATTCTCAAGTTTTGTTGGATGTGTAGTCATATCCAACACTTTTCCCAATTCATCCGACTCAAAATAGATAACCGAAAGATAACCATCCATTGAACAAACCAATAAATAATGGCCATCTTGAGACCAACAAAGATCGGTAATAGGCTGCCAATGCATTCCTTTGACATATCCAATAGGAAATGGTTCATCGATATTGTATAGAAAAACGGTATCCAAAGTAGCAATAGCAAAAATAATATAATAAGGCAATTGAATTGTGTCATCTTTCTCCATTCTGTATGTTCTTTCCCATAATAAAGGACATACTTTTACTATCATAGCAGGTTGGTCATATCCTAGAAACTGAAAAATAGGTGCTTCCCAATATCCTCTGGCAAATAATAAAGCTGCATAAGGTTTATCATATCCTTTTTTTTCTTGTTGTTGTTGTTGTTGTAAATCGTTATTTTGTGCTGCAGGACAAATCAAAAAGGAACCATCAGGAGACCAATCCATACGACGAAACATACAACGATGACTATCATCCAAGAAAAGATGTTGTCTCAAAAAGAGTGATGAAGAAAGACAATCTTCATTTTCTATCTTCCCAATACTTTTCTTACAAGGAAAAGAAAAGGAACCATTCTTATTCTTTGTTTTTTGATATATTCTCACACTTCGATCAGCACTTTGACTAGAGAAATATTCTCCCAATGGGTCTACAGCTACTCCTTGTACAAAATGATGATGACCTTCCAACACTCGAGTGGCATTCCAATGATAGATATCCCATATGATCACTTTGTTATCAACTGAGCCAGATATCAAATATCTACCACAACAACTCCACTGAAGATCCAAAACATCTTCCAAGTGCTTTCTTAAAATATGGTGGATTCTCCAACGTTCTAAAGTTTCTTCTATTTTATGGTCCACAATAAGGGAGTCTTCTGTCACCCTTTCCCATAATACAATAGTACCACCATCACTTCCTGTTGCTATCAAGTCTTCGTCATATCTTCCTTTATTTCCTTTGGGATTGAAACGACCCACGTTCACAGTACTATCGTGTCCTTTCAAGTCACCTATCCACTGCAAGTTGTATTCAAGTGAGTCTTGAATAGTAAATAGCCATAAACGACCCACTCTATCACTACCTGTAGTTAATAAACGACCAGTACAAGGACTTATATCTATACTCCATATAGGCTGCTTCTCATGCCAACTTACTTGTAATAGCTTCGATTTCATAAATGCATTAACCCGCCTTGTCATTTTCAAACAGTGCTTTTGTATACAATCGTTGTTATCCAACACAACACAATACTCAAAAGAATATCATATTCTTGTAACAAAAAATAAACCAATTGTTTGAAATAAGTATTCAAATGTAACCAAAATACACTTTGAGATATAGTCTCAACCCATGGAGATATATCTCTCCAAAACATATTCATCATGAAATAGGCCATCGAGATACTTTGTAAACCATACAAAAGGAGTGAGTTGCACAATGGATGTTTCCATTGTTGATAGAGCTTACTATCAAATGGATGATAAGATGTTTGATGCGCTATTTGTTGATAAATATGAATACATTGAGAACATGGATAAAGCCCTATCAGAATGAAGATGATCCAACTGGTTACATTCAAACATAATTCTATATGAATACTACTACTAGGAAGAGATATCCAACCAAGTATTCGTATTACCAAAAATAAGAATACCAAAATATTTTTCTTAGAATAGGAAAACCTATTCTTCCATCTTTGATAAAAAGAATTGAAACGAATAGAAAAACGAGTTGAATGACCATTGCTATTTCCTTGAAGAGTATCCAAAGATGACAAGTTATTATCTTCCAAAGATAATGTTGATATAGCTTGAGGTAATGGATACAATCTATCAGTCAAAAGAAGAGTATCTGATGAAGAAGAATGACTCCAAGACTGTGATAAGAATGATTGTTTCTTTGTACTCGTGTTTCTTCTTTTCCATAAAAGTAACAAGTAAAGTCCACCTATCCCTATTTCATATATCCACCAACTTGTCCTATTGTACCATAACCATTTCTTATACAACAAAATACTTGATAATATACAATAACCACAAAATAAATAAGGATATAATAATGGACAATATAGCCACTTGTAGATACTATCCATGATGAGCCAAGGAACTAGCCGGAATAGAATACTGCTACTCATATATAACTGACTAGATAAGATATACCCAATCATAAAAAGAACTAATGCTATCAGATTATTCAACCATAGAAGGCACGATTCTCTCCTATTCTCTCTTTTACTATGAGTTGTTCGAGAAATGGAACAACGAGACATATGAAAGTTGAGATACCACTGACTGGATAGTTTTTGGTCCATCCACGATAAACGTTGTTGCACAGTAGCTTTACAAAACTGACACAAGTCATAGCTTTGTTCAATTCTTTCCAATTCTCTTTTCTCGTATCGAGTCAATTGCATATCATCAGATGGTTGGTCATCAGAGCAACTATGGATATTAGCGATAGCTTTTCTCCATAGTTCTTGTTTCTGATAACACTCCCAACATAGAAAATTCCGGAATGAATGTTGGGTTTGTCGTAAAGGAACACAAAAGCGCTTTGGAGAAGAGGAGTGCTTCGGTTGTTGTGGGGGAGGTTGGTTGTCTTCCACTCCATTATATTGTTCACAAACTGGACAAATAAGAGAATGGGGGTCTATTAGAGTTTTCTGTGGACAAAAGAAACAGTAAGTCGTCCTAGGCTTGGAAGAATGACGGTTCCAATACCATTTCATTCTGAACCAAAGTGATCACGACGAATGGACGAGACAATTCAGAACAATTGCATTGCCAATAGAAAGGAATTGGCGGTTTATTTTGAAAATCTTTTGAGAGATGAATGATGAAAACAATTCCTTATCTGAACAACTTATTTTAGGAGAAGCACTATTGGAAAAGTATTTTGGTCAAGATAAAGTATTATTTGATCAAATCACTATGGAAGAGGAGTCTCACAACAACCGTGTTTTGAAAGAAAACAGGGGTCCCTTGTCTTCAAATATTCAAGAAAAAGTAGAAAACTTGAATAGGTTCTTATTGGCAGTTGGTTATACTCCAAAACAAGTTATAGAACAACACAGTGACCAAGAAGCCGCGTTGGAATCTGCTATTCAGTTGATTTACGAGTTGATACAAAGAGAACAAAAACAAAAGAAACAACAAGAGGAATGGCTATTGAGCTTCCAACAGTTGGAAACGAAATATAAACATACTCAACGATGGGTAGAAAAACTGCAAAGAAGAATAGAAGAAAAGGATAAACAATATCATGTTGCCAAGACTAAAGATGAGAGACAGATTCGTGAATTAGAACAACAGCTACAAAAATGTATGGAAGAGTGTACCGAATGGAAGATAAAAACTGCCAACTGGGAGCAGTTACAATTACAGTTTGGTTTTGAATTGAGAAAGAAGGACAACGAATATCAACGTTTGCAACAGAAATTACAGCAAATCATGCAACAACACTCAAAAGTTGGCAACAATAGAAAGGGAGAGAATGGAATATCTTTATATGGGAGACAATTACAATCATCATTGGAAAGCAAAGGATTATGTGGGGAAGATTGGCTAGAGAAGGAAGCATATCATATGATAGAAACTTGTTTCCAAGATAGAATTCAAAAGCTGCAACGAGATAATGAATCTCTACAGAATTTCATCCATGAGATATATCAAAAGATGGAAAGTAAGCTCTGTTATGAGTCAACTCATACACAAAATAGCGAATGGGAAGATGAAGAACATGCGCATACTCCTTTACGTTGGAAGCTTGAGTTGCCTTTTGAAGAAGCAAAAGAAGATATTCAAAAGTACTTTGATGAAAAACTTGACCAACTCTTATCTATGGGTACTCTTTTATGGAAGAAACAAGAAATACAAAAGACATCGAAAAGGAATGAAAATCAGGATGGTTCGCAATTGGCTTCACAAGTAGCCATTGTTCATTCCAATGAAAGTACTCTATATTCCAAAGATGGTTGGAAAGAACAAATTGGACAATCATCTGATGAGTTTATTTATCAAATGGAACCAAAAGATGATTCATTATCAGCTTTTGTTGAAGATAAGGATGAAAGTAGTCTACATAATCTGAATGAATCACAAGAAACAGATAATATATATATACCAAATGTCGAAAGATGTACATTAGATGAAGCCAATGCTGACGAAGAAGAAAACTTGGACGATTATCTTGGATAATATCAAATATATATATATATATATATATATATATATATATATATATATATATATGAAAAGGAATGGCCATTCTCTTTATCATATTCTTAACAAATCATAAAAAGAATTTACTTTTCAATCACTTTTTGATTTTCCCCGATTTCTTTCTAGTCCATTGGAACTTTCCTTTTTGTAAGGAACTAACGAACATACATATATATATACATATATATATATAATATTACATGGATACTCGAAAGTTGGTTTTGTGTTTTTGGGTTTATGTATTTGTTGTTATTCACTATGAATATATAGGGCTAAATATTGGGGAACTTGGTATCAAGGTTATGAAGGAACTTGGTATGGAGAAGATGAAAAGGACTCGATTGCTTTGAAGCACCAACTTGATCTGTGGTTACAAAAAGCAAAAGAAAATGGTCAGAGGATCCTGTTGACAATTGAAAAAACTTCTCATCTTTTCTAGTGGGAAACTTGGAGCAATATAGCAATGGCTTATTAAAGGCTGTCATTGTTCCGCACGCAGGATATTCCTATTCTGGAGCAACTGCAGCACACTCCTATGCTCGTATAGATCCTTCTCTTTATGATAGAGTCTTTATATTAGTAAGAATTATCTTTTGAGATACTCTTGTCCTAATCAGAATTGTTTTCTATGAAAGGGTCCTTCTCACTATTATCGAATGTCCGACTGTCGAGTGACTCCTTTTGAGCGATTGGAAACACCTTTTGGACCCTTAGTCATCGACGTTCAGTGTTGTGAGTCTTTAGTTGCCACTAAAAAGTTTACTTTTTTGGATAAAGGCGTGGATACTCAAGAACATAGTTTGGAGTTGCAGTTTCCTTTTTTAAAGGCAGTTTTTGGTTCTTCCAACGTTCAGTTGGTGAATATTATGGTGGGTGTATTGGATAAGGCTGCTAAAGAAGAATATGGAAAACTATTAGCTCCTTATATGAAAGACCCTCGAACCCTGTTTGTTATTTCTTCCGATTTTTGTCATTGGTAAGGACAACTAGATAAAGTGTTGTTAAAACTGATAAAAGAGTGGCTTAGGGGTAAACGGTTTGGTTATCAATATCATGATGAAGAAGATGGTGAGATATTCAAGTCCATTGAGAAATTGGATCGTCTTGGAATGACTGCTATCGAACATCAAAGTGCTAAAGAATTTTCCAGTTATTTGGATAAGTATCAAAATACTATTTGTGGTCGCAATCCAATTGGTGTGTTGTTACATATGATTGAATATTTGAAGAGAACAGAGTCTATGCAATTGGAAACTTTGTTTGTTCGATATGACCAATCGATGAAATGCAAAACGATGCAAGACTTATCCGTAAGTTACGCTGCTGCATGGACTATTCAAGAAAAGTGAGCCAAATAAAATAAAAATTCGTGAATGAATTATTTACCTTTTCAAATGGTTGCCTTCCATTGCAACTTGGTTTGTTTGTCTTGGTCACTGTGATCAAAACTCAACTCAAAATGAGGTGTGGGTGGTTGAGCACTGACCCAATCTCTCAATATCTTATATTTCTTATTTCTAGCTGTAAGACTCTTTAACCATCTTTCATAATCTTTGTTGTGGAAGAAAAACTTGACAGAAAAGGTACGCCGAAAGTGAGGATTCATTTGGATACGAGTTGATAAATGAATCATATGTTTTCTATCATTTTGTGGTTGAGTTGCTAGGCAACATAGAAAAATAGTATTTAGGTGAGGATACATTTCCATGCAATGAGATAATAATACATTCAATCCTTGATTCAATTCTACAGTTCCAAGTGTTATACCATATATACCATATTGACAATCTTCATTAGGAATAGGATTGAAAGTTTTCTTACAAGTCAAACGAGATAAAATGGTCTGATACAAATGATCATATGTCCTCCATTTCAAATGAGAGTCCTAATACCAATCCATATTCTTTTCTTCTATATTTGTGTGATGGATGAAGATGGGTCTCTTACCTGAATACAGTTGAATCGATCCAAAACGATGCATCGATATTGAACAACTTGTGACATAATCCATTCATACAATTGCTTTGCTATACAAATTGGCCAATGAGATAAAGCTTCATGAAAGCATATGGAATTGATAGGTTTCCATTCCAATATGGAAATATCCAAAATGGCATAATATCGACGAATATCTTGTTGTCTTAGCAAACTGCTTCTTTCCATAATGTCTATTCCTGATTTGCTGTTCTTCAATCCTCTATTGTAAAGGTCTCGTTTTAATATACAAGTTGTATAACGAGTCTGCGTTATTATCAAAATGCGAAAAGGAATGTTTCGAAAGTTGGGTAAACATTTTCGATGTTGTTCATAGGTCTGTTTCAATTGCTTCGATATCTGAATAATCAAATCCGTCTTGGGATGTAGCAGCTTATCTACTTGTCCCAAGTCCTCCAAAATATCTTGTAAGGCTCTCATACAAGGTAACATAGAACCATAGCGGTTTTTTGCTGTTTCCAAATATTTGGATGCTCCAAATAATCCATCATGTTGAGCATAATCATACGCAGTTCTTAAAGTATGAAGTGCTATGAGACATTGAATATCTGATAGAAAAGTATCATTCGATGTTGTTTGATATGATAAATGCGAATCATGATGATAACTCTTCTGAGGCTTATGAGCTTGAAGAGTTTGAAAATGTCCCTGAACATGATGTCTAGCTTTGTACAAAGTGTTCTCAATACTAGTTGCACTTAAATCAACCAAGCTTACATTACAAGGTATGCTTAAATTGCAACTATCTTGGAGTTGTTGAATGTATGTATATGCATGTTCTTCAATCATTTTCAATCCTTCTATTTGATATCCAGATGGTTGAAAAGCTATCCATGTTTGACGAAGATGGTTTAGCAAATTGTCTAACTGTGTATCTTGTACATCTACGATACGCATATTCGAACTTGAATGGTTCAGCATGGAAACAACTGAATCAATATCTACAGTCCCTATATTCGTCGATAGAGGATCAATGAGACAAGCATCACAAGTTTCTATAAAAGGAGAACAAAACTCCCAATACATCTTCTCATTCAAACTCTCTGTTTCAAAAGTAAAAGATTGAACAGTGTATACAACAAATGAAAACTCTTCGTCTCTTGGTATTTCCGATAAATGATGGACATGACATAAATAGCAACAACTTTTATCCGAGGATAGATCGAAAACCTGAAAAGAAATCAGAAAATATGAAAAAAATGAAAGATATGATATGTGTTCCCTACCAGTTGAGGTCCGATGCAGTCTTCCAATAAGGCAGCAACAAAAGGATATTCATCTTGTGCAATCCAAAGACATTTTTGTCCTTTGTAAGTCGCTAATGTCAAATAATGATAAACCATAACTACTCCCATGAAAAGTATTTCCAATGGAGGTGGCAGTAATACAAATGACTTGCAACCCATCAACTGTTGAATCAGCGACATAAAAGCAGCAGAAATAGAAATATTTTTGGGAATATTTAAACGAAATATTGGATCTAAGGAACATGGATAAAGTGATGAAGACTTACAAATCGATCATACTCACCAGTCTTCTGTTGTATAAAATTATTTACAGTTTTCTCTGTTTCTTCCTCCTCTGGATGATACTTTTGTCGAATTCTATCTTGAGTTTCATTACCAGCAATGTCAAGAAAATCATCCAATGGATCAGTATATTCAATGTTGTAGAAATGTACAAAATTTTTATGGGACACTGAGTCCGTTGATTGCTTATTATCATTTTTCCATTTCGAAAAAGTCTGCAAAGATATCATTTTCTCTTTTCCATAGAGTTTTGAAGATATTTCTTCCAACTCAAAGGGATGAGATTTGATAAGGTCCAAGCCATATTGATGACGATATTGCAATTTCCAAGTAATGTAAAAATGTTGTACTAGTAACTGATAAGCTTCATATGTTTCCTCCAAAATATTTTCCAACCAAGTTGACCACTTGATATGATTAGATTCTGCATTCTCAAAACAAGGAATTCCCATCCAATCCAATATCATTTGAAAAATTTCGATACCAACCGCAATGGGTTTATCCAAAAAACATGTAAAGTCCTCATTTTTTGTTTTTCGCTGAATGGTTTTCAATGAAGGATTCAACAAGCTCGCTTCTTGAAAAGGGTTGTGCAATAATGTATCAGCTTGTTTCTCTATGAGAGGACAATCTTGTTTTCTTGTGGTCTTCTGCACGCAGTTCCTTATAGCTAACTTGCTTATAGAAAGTTGAGAGTGTCGGTTATTAAGAGAAAAATTGTTTGTTTGATTCCATTGATATTCCTGGAACAAAGTATTTCCTAGTTGATATAACAAGTCATCCATAGCAATAAAGAAAAGTGGAAGGATAAACAACTCTGCTAATTCTTATTATAGTTGTTTGGGTGTGGTTGGCATTTTTTTCCAAGAAATGGCGCTCATATCAGATAGACTTGAGAAACTTGGTTTCTTATGTATTCCTTTTCGTACCTGTGCACTGATTACTATCAATAGTCATATGAGCTGTCATTATTGTCGTGATCACTGTCAACATTCGGGACCACGTTGGCAACAGAAGAAAGCACCACAACTGTGCAGACGCCATTTCTTATTTTTCAACAACCAGAGCAAAAAAGAAAAGAAACATAGTTTCTCTATATATTCAACTGCCAGTAGTCAACCCAAAAATGAAAGCGAATCATTGGAAAGTTCTGATAAACCTCTTCGACTTCCCATCAAAAGACTCAAGAAAGCGGATACTTTGCAGGATAGTGAGTCGCGAGGTTATGTGGTCATTTCTTCAAAAGAACGCAAAATATTGGAACTCATCAAGAATTCAAAGCCTCAGGAAGCTTACAATCTGTTTTTACGCTATGCAAAGCTTGTGATTACCGTTCCTACTATGAACCAGCTATTACAAAAGTTAGGAAACTGTAGAAAGGGTGTGGAAATGTGGGATGTATATGAAAAAGCTCGTTCAAGAGGAATTCTTCCTTCTATTCTAACATTTACTATTTTATTATCTCGTATTGGTTCCATTCCACGAGATAACCAACAAGTAGTGGTTCACACGCTGCATCAACAGTTATTAAAGGAAAAGGATCAACTTGAGATGGATATTCGTACTTTAAATTCTCTTATGTATGCCTATTGTCAGTTAGGAAAAGTGGAATCTGCATTTGAAGTTTTTCGGAACTTGAAGAGAGACTTTGACATGTTTCCCAATGAAGTATCTTGTAACATTCTATGTAAAGGTCTTATTCAGGCAAGTCGTTTTTCGGAAGCTTTGGAACTCTTTTCAGTTGAAATGCCTGCTATGGGTGTATTGCCTTCTGTAACATCATACGCTATTATTTTTGAAGCGTTTGGAAGACTAGGAAAATTGGATCAAATGTCTCAGCTTTGGAAACAAATGTTACAGAGAGGACATCAACCTACCGAAGCTGTCTATTTTAGTGCAATGTATGCTTGTGCTATTCACGGGGATTTGACGTCGATGTTTGAATATTTTCGCAAAATGGTGGAAGACGGCATTCATCCCAACATCAGAATGTATGGAATGATTATTGATGCATTAGGAAAAGCAGGAAAATTGGAATTGGCTTTTAGTTGGCTACAGAAAATGACAGAAGAAGGGATTGCACCTAATGATTACATTTATACTTCATTGATTTATGCTTGTGGTAATGTTGGAGATATGGAGCTTGCTATGAATGTTTATGAGAGTATGCGTCGTTCTGGTATATCTGGAAATATTGTAACCCTATCGACTCTATTGCATGGATATTGTAAGAACAAATATCCTTTGGAAGCACTCAATATCTTCCATAAAATGTGCAGAACAGGTTATCGATTGAGTAAATCACAATTCCACGAGGTAAAAGTAACCTCTAAAATACGTTTCTTGAATGAAGCATTTTGGAAAAGCTTTTCTACTGTTTAGGCCAATTTAGGATGATATCTGAAACCTTGCAAGTGTTTGAAACTTTAGTCAAACAACGTCTCAGTTGTACCACCGATGATTTATATGATATTCTTTGGAATATGTCCTTCGCAGGGAATGATAATCTTTCTATTTTGGTTTATCAGAGTAAGTATATTCTTGTTTTGTGCATCCACGAGAAGTAAAATTCTCACGAATCTTCATTAAGAACTGGAAGAAAATGAAGCTTTCGTAGTACAATCCGATGCTTTATATTTGTATAGCCAACGAAATGAACCAAAAGTTGCTTTGCATTGGGGTTTATCTAGGCTTAAGAAAATGCGTACTCATACTCATGTTTATGTTGCAGAATTTTATCATACACTGCTTTATATTGCCAGCTTATGTGGCGATGAGAAATGCTTTTTCTCTTTGTTGGATGAAATGATAGAAAATCAACTAGCTAATACGGTAAGAAGTTGTATATTTGGCAAAACAAATTTGACTGTACTGATTGGTATCCATCTCTTCTGATTCCGATAATGGATATATTTATAGCGTACTCTAACTATTCTTATATGTGGTATTGCCCAAATGATGATGAGCATGCATCAACTTGTAGAAGCTAATACTTGTTCACATATATTGGATGTGGGTATTATATGTTGTGACTCACTTTTTCATTCCGCTATGGATGAATTCTTTTGTTTACCCTTATCATCCTATCCCAAGGATTCTAAAGAGCCTTATCCTGAACAATTGCCTTGGCAGTTATTGGATAGATTGCAACCCTTATGGAAAGATGCTGTGCAGTCTCCTCTCATATCCAGTTCATGTCAACCCTTGTTATCCATTTTTGATATTTGTGATAGCCAAAAGATTGCCATCGATCGTTTAGGTATGTCTATTCGTATTCTTCTATCTCTAATAGATATTGAAATGTGTCTACTCCATAGCGTACAATGCCACTTTTTGGAGTTTGACGTATACTTGTCCATTTGATATCGTCGAAAACTTCTACAAAAGAATGGAAAGAGATGGAGTTGGTAGCAATTTATGGACTTTTACTATTTTAGCATCTTGGAAACTTTCTCAAGAGAATCCTCCCATTGAAAAAGTTATGGAATGGATGAATCAAGTACCTGATGGCATTGAGTTGTATAATATCTTGTTGAGTTTTTATCGTCGACAAGGAGAACTGGACAAGATGTTGCAAGTATTTCGTGAAGTTCGTTCTAAAGTTTCGATGGATAGGATTACCTATCAACTATTGGTGGAAGCATGTTTTGAACAAGGGGATCGTGTCAAAGCATTGGCAGCTTTGAGACATATGAAAGAAGCACAAATACAATTGGTTGGGTCACAATGGAAGCATTTGAGTGAAGTTTGTAAGCAATCAGGTTTCATGGAAGAAAGTCATTCATTTCTACGACAAGCTTTACAAATAGAAAGCGAACAAATGGAACAACAACGTTGTTATTTAGAACACCTACATATGTTGTGCCAATCTACTTGTGTACAGAATGATACGAATCAAAACAGACTTTGTTTTCCATAAGCAATAGAAAAGAGAGAAAGAGAGAATAGGGAGATGGGATGGATGGACAAGAGGAGGAGATTAAAAGTTATGGATCCAATATTTGGTTTTATCCCAACTTGTTCTCGTTGTCCTTTTGCTTCTTTCTATCGAATATCTTTTACACGAAAAAATAGAGATTCCTTTCCTCAACCTCGTTACTTGTCACGTTTATGGGTCCTCAACACCCGACTAGGTTCTATACGCCAATCAAGGATGATGTCTACTTTTGAAATGCAGTCAGAACAACGTTTTGGTATTCATTGTGGCGATCTTGTTCAAGTGAAGACAGATCTTGTGGTTTATCATGTTCCCAAAATGAAAGGCCAAGGTATTTTATTAAAAGACAAGGTTGGAAAGGTGATTGGTTTTTGTGATGTTTATAAAGGAGAACCTATAACTGCCAATTATCCCGTTGTTGTAGAGTTTCAACATGATTCTTTGGTATTTACGAGTCACTTGGCAGTTGAAGAGTTGCAACGAGTAGACAAGGCAGATTGAGTTGACGTTACAAAATGGATATGACAGCTCTGTTTTATAAACGTAAAACAAGATTGCATAGAAAAGGTTGATACTTTTATGAGTATGGGAAACAAAAGAGCAAGTGTGTGTTTATCTCTTGGATGATGATCATCTTTCTCACCACTTTTATCCAAGTCGTTGTCTCCGTTGTCGTTCACGTTCCAATAATTCTTTACCTAAACGTTCGTATTGGATATCATCATCATGTTCAAATCCAAATTGTTTCAATCCCAAAGAAGATAAGAACCTCGTCCATAATTGAAAACTGGTTCCCAATACGAATAATAACAAAACCACCGGAAAGAATGCATTGAAACTATTTCCTAAAATAGGCAACACTTGCATACTTTGTTCCACTTTACTAAATGATGTAGTGGGTAACAAAGAAGCAGGTATTTGAGGATACAACAAAGGTACAGCAAATGAAGTTTCATGTAACAAAGTTAAAAAATTATAACACAACGGAACAGTAAAACGACAACATAACAAAGCATTGAGAAATAAGGAATAAGCATCGGTGTGTTGTGGAATGAGTTCATAAAAACGATACAAATTGAAATGAAATAATGAATAATAAACACACAATGCCAAATAAGCAATCGAAAATAACGATATCAACTAGATGCTCATGTAATGTTCTCTTTCCATGTTTCATACAACACACTTACTTGAATACTATAATTGCTCATTCCTTGACGATGAATCCACAAAGATAAGGGTGATAAATCCACATGACTGGATGTTTTCAAACTCCAAATGGTCGTCTCACTCCAAAGAAATAAAATAGAAAGTACGATACACATGAAAGCAAATAGTCTACAAATCAGTGGAATATAAAAGGCATACCAAGAATGACTATTCGGTATCCAAACATTCTTCCAACTCTTACAACTCTTCCAAGTCATCCATTGTTCCAATTGAAATGCTTCATCACATGTACGACCCCATAAATAACTCGACTTGCGATATTCTATGACCTATATCAACTTATCTACACAAAAGATGAAAAGAAACAGTCGATCATTTCTTACTCTTTGATTGAGTCTTTGATGTAAGAAAGCTAAGAAATTTTCAGTGATAGTTTTGGGTATTTCTGCTGTTCTATCGGGAACAGGTAAAGCAACTCGTAAATCTTCTTTCGGTATTTCACTTATAATGACTTGAATAAAGTTGATCAAACGATGCCTTTTGGGAAAAGAGGATTGGGATATTCCTGCTTCCTCTACATTCGTCCCTTCATTATCCGTGGCTGATAATAAATGAGCAAGTTTCTGTTGCACTCTTTCAATTTGTCCCAATATCTGAGCCAAATCTGCTCTCGCTTCATCCATACGATCGGTATATTCGGTTACTTTGAATTCACAATATCTTAATCTTCTACTCAAGTCTCCACGATGCCATAAAGCTCTAGGAATTTGTACAATCCCATATCCAAGCATACATATAACACCCAATAATCCGAATGCATTGGATAATCCAATCAATAAACCCATCAATGAATAGGCAGAAAGATGATATCGAATTCCCATATATATTCCAAAACCTATAATAAACACTCCACAAATAGCATAAAACAAAGCATTGGACCATAAAGCCGTTTGTAGGCGCTTGCCTATGGAATAGTCACCAGCAACGGCGTATTGTGAAAATATGGGCAAAAATAGCCACGTCAAAGCAAACGATATCCAATAAATAACCAACCATAGAATAAATACAAAGCCTGGACGAGTTTCGTGAATAGGACAATCTCCTTTTTGATAACCAGTATATTCGGAATAAGATACTAAGACTTGACAACGGTCGACAAGGGTTTCTGCTAAATCCAAAGGAACCAAGAAAATAACCACCAGACAAATAAACCAAGCTATACCAACCAATAAATAGACATACCAAGAAGTAGCACCTCTTTTAGCACTATAATAAAATAATAAACATAATACAACTAAAGCAATGATGGGAACTTCAACTACAAAAAACAAAAGTTGGCCAAGAAATAACATTTCTTTCTAACAATTATTCTCTTTAGAGGAGGCCGTGAGTCCAAAAATAGGTTGTGTTGTGGTAGTCAACAAAAGTGAGAAATGAAAGATACTTTGTGGAAAGAAAATCACTTCCAAGATAATATACCAGACGCAGATTCTATTCAAGTGGATGATATTCAGACTCGTGCAGAAAAGTTACGTCAACAGGCCAATGCAGCTGTTGGCGCCAAAAAGTAGGTAGAATAAGGTGGAGTGAAACACAGATGAATAAATGGAACAACAACTAGATATGCACAAGCTTGTGAGTTGTATACACAAGCTATTGAATTGAGTCCTTGTGCCATACTTTATGCCAATCGTGCCCTCGCTAGAACCAAGATGGAAGCAAGTATATGGATGGCGCTTCAAAATGATTCATTGTTGTTAATTTTTGTGGATATAGGAATATGGATATGCTTATATGGATGCTTGTAAAAGTATCGAATTGGATTGCCATTATCCTAAAGGCTATTATCGACGTGCAGTAGCCAATTTTGCGCTTGGAAAGTATAAAGCTGCTTTAGAAGACTTTAAAAAGGTATTGCAGTTGGTACCGAATGATGCAGATGCAATGGCTAAGAAAAAGGATACATATATATATATATATATATAAATATATATATATGTTGACATATTGTTTTTGTTATTGATGCATATCAACTTGTGAGAATAGGAGTGTGAAAGGAGAATTCGAGAACAAGCTTTTGCCAAAGCAATCGATTCGGATGCTGTGAAGCCAGTTTCTTTGTTTGAAACCATCGATTATGAGTCCATCATAGTAGAAGATAGCTATCAAGGTCCTACATGGGAACAAGAGGATATTTCAGAGTCTTTTTGTTACGAGTTGATAGAATATTTGCGCAATCAAGGTAAACTTCATAAAAAGTATCTAATCAAGTTATTGGTTTATGCCAAACGATATTTGGGTAAGTCTTCCAAAAAGTGTGTAGATGGAATAATCATGTTTTGATATTTGGAATAGATCAATTGGACAATATCGTATCTTATCAAGTAAAAGAGAGTGGAATTACAGTTTGCGGTGATACTCACGGACAATATTATGATTTATTGAATATTTTTCAACTCAATGGCTATCCATCACGTGATAATCCTTATTTGTTCAATGGTAAGCCAATTGCTTCTAAAATGGAATGACTGAATGATGTCCATAAGGTGACTTTGTTGATCGAGGTTCCTTTAGTGTTGAAGTTATTATCACTTTATTAACTTTTGTTTGTTATGATCCTCTTTGTATGCTACTTAATCGTGGCAACCATGAAAGCAAAAATATGAACAAAATTTATGGATTTGAAGGAGAAGTGAAAACAAAATATAATGAAACCATTTATTCATTATTTGCTGAGCTTTTTGAAAGTCTTCCATTGGGACATTTATTGATTGGAAATGAAAAGGGGTAAGTGTATGGAATAGTAAAGGTTGAGATGGTTCATTTTTGTTTTTGTGGTTAGAAACAGAAAACAAGTATTGGTTATTCATGGAGGATTATTTAGTCGAGATGGTGTCTTATTGGAAGATTTACAACATCTTGATAGGCATAGAGAACCTGATCAAGGTCTTATGGCAGAATTATTGTGGAGTGATCCTCAAAAGGTAATATCAAAGAGACTGTTTGTTAGAAAGATATTCATTTACCTTATTTTTAGGAAATGGGTTGGGGAGTATCTAAAAGAGGAATTGGCGTATCTTTTGGACCAGATGTTACTTGTAGGTTTTTAGATGCCAACCAAATTGCCTTGTTAGTTAGGAGCCATGAAATGAAGGAACAAGGATATGAAGTAGAAGCAGATAATCGATTGATTACTGTGTTTTCTGCTCCCAACTATTGTGACCAAATGGGTAATCTTGGAGCTTATATTCGATTTTCTTCAACATTGGAACCTCAGTTTTATACTTTTGCACAAGTTCCTCATCCCAATGTTCCACCCATGGCTTATGCATCCAATGGTTTAGGTTCCATGGGATTGGTGTGAGGAATCTCCAACAAATCGATAGATTCAAGTGTTCCTCCCCATTCTTCAAAGATAATCAATTCATTCACTGAATAGACCATCGACTTGTGAATAAAATAGAAACGTTGTGTTTCCTTAGATTGACTTTGTCTTATCGGAGAAGAAGAAATATCGACACAAGATGCGGGAATAAGCCAATAACGACCCAAGTCTTGCTTATTCCACCAAATATGGCCTTTCCATAATCCTTTGCAATCCAATAATAAACCACCATCATATTCCTATCCGTTTATATGAATATTCTCTTCAGTTGTATGTAATAAACAATATTATGCAATATACCTTGTCAGATAATAATGAAATGATAGCTCGATACCAACGAGGTCCTATTCCATCTTCTTCTCTATCGAAGAATGAAATATTCCAATCTTTCCAAGTCTTCTGATGAAGAAAATGACTTTCAACCAATGGTGGTTGCATCCATAAAGGCATAAATCGAAAAGTACTTTGGACTTTTAAAGGAATGGTATGATCACTATCCTTTCTACGTACTTTCCAAGCTATTTTGGGTATTCCAAATATGCCTTTTCTTTCATCTTTCATATTCCATCCACGATCAAGTTGCCAGTCTCCTTTAATCATTCCTAAAGAAGACACTAGAAAAGAAATACAAAATATAGAATCCTTCAGTACTTGTGAATGTGTAAATTCCATATGTTGATGAAACCCTACATGAGGAGAAGCACTTGTCTCATTCCAGGAATTGGGAAATCTTTCTTCTAATAAAGGCAATGGAGAAGATGTCTTATAAACGCCATTCACATAAACTTGAACATAATCTGCAGCTTCCAAATCCACTTGTCCTCCAACCCATTCTAGTGCGTCATCACTAGTCCATTCTATTTGAGGATCGATTTGATAATGAGCAATATACCAAGCGTAATCAGTCGCAGTTCCTGTGTAACGCAACATTTCTACAGGAACTTGAGTTTCTATTTCAGTGTTAGATGATAATGATGATATTGATGATGATTGGGAAGCTGAACTTGTTATATCAGTGGTCGGAATATTTTCCTTATAATATTGCCAAGTCCATTCTTCAGTTGTCACAGAAATGGGCTTCAACTCCTTCTGAATAAGTTCCTCATCTACAAATAGTTGATCACTCTTCAATATCAAACGATGATGATCGACCACCATTTGTACAGATAAAGGTGCTAAACAATATTCTTGTTCTTTCCATTGTACTTGTTTGGTTGAAGTTGGATGATCATTACAAAAAAAGATACAATTGGAACCTTGCTCTTCCCAAATAAATATCCAAACATAATTATCCTCATAGGAATGCGCAATGGGTGCTTCTAACTTTAATGCTAATGAAGCAAAATGTTGTTCAAGTTGCCGATGAATGTATTGTAGACCAAAATACTTTTTTGTTTTTCTTCCGTATTCATCAATAGGAGCATCATAGTCATAACTAGTCGTCTGTAGATACATGGCTAATTGATCATAGTTTGTACCACCATGAAACATATAATAATTGATTCCTTTTCCTCCTTGAGCAAAAAACCTCAGAACTGCATAAAACAAATCCTAAAAGGAGATGAAATAGAGACTATTTGTATTATAAAAGAAACTTACTTTACAGGGTCGAATATGATGAGCACTACCCCAAACATCATACCTAAACAATTGACAACAATGAATATTTAACTCATCAAGTTTCCATTTTACCATCCTGTCCAACATTCTGTCCAAATTGCAGGTTGATTAGGATACTCTCGATGATGATTTTCCATCTCTTGATGACCATAAAAGTCATTGATAGTTTCAAGCACATTCTATTCATATTGTTTCAAAAAGGATAAGTCATAAATATCAACTGAATGCGAATGTTATTCACCTCAATACTTCCTTTGCACATAAACAAAGGTACCGGTAACTGTAAATCTTTCAAAACAACGCGTTCAAAAAAAGTCCAACAAAGTCCTTTAAAAAATAGAAAATCGTACCTTTGGCCAATTCTGAACACCACTTTAGATAATTCAGTCCAGCCTCTCCATAATTTTGTCCAATCAACTTGTACTCATTCTCAAACTGAACCATAACGATGGGACCTCCTTGACTATAAAAGCAATTATTGCTATTCAGCTTTTCTACCAGAAAGCGAACCCAACGACTCGATTCTCTTTGAAAAGGTTCATTTTGGGTACGAAACTCTATTCCTATCCACAAGGGTTATATAGAAGAATTTTTTTCATTTTCTAATCTACTGTTACCATCGATATCTCTCAGCCAGTGTGGAAATCCTCCAAAATGAGTCTCTGCACATATATAAGGTCCTATACGTAATAAGGCATATAGTCCTGCTTTGGCAATGGTTCGTATAAAACCAAAAAGATCCAAACGACCGGAAAAGTCGTATACTCCTTTTTCCTTTTCGTGTTGATTCCAAAAAACGTCTTCAAATAAAATTCTTCAATTTGCTCCGAATAAGCTCACGAAAGGTTACTTACAAGTTTCGATACAGTTTATACCAGCTTCTTTTGCAAACTCAATCAACTGTTGCCAGTCACTAGGCTGACAGCGTGGATAATGAATACTTGCACTAAACAGTAAAACACGTTGAGAACCAATAATCAACCCTTTGCGGTCATATTCAACAGTAAGATGGGTAGTCATCTCTTAAAAATCACGGAAATAAAATTCGATCTTGTTGAGCCTTTTGTTCCAGCAATTGAATATGTTTCATCAATTTTAGCATTCCTTGTTCCAATTCCTGAATGCGACTCTTCAAAGCTTTTCATATACAAAACAAATAGTAAAGATAACCAACAAACTTACGTGTTGTTCTTCAAAATTGCGAATGACATCAATGTGCAGATTTTGTATATGTTGTTTGATTTCTCTATTACTTGCATATTGAATATCTTCTATGGATTGTAACAAGCCTGAATAGATATTATGAGAAGCCAGATCCTTGTTTTCATTTTCTAACTGCTCAGAACGTGAATCATAGGAAGGAGATGCGGAGTCTTGTAGAAGACACTGAAACGGATTTGGATAAGAAGAGATAGATTTTGGGTTTTGAGTGACTGTTTCATCAAAAATTGAGCCATTCTTTTCGGAATTCACATGAACTTGTTGTTTCGAAGAAGATATAGCTAAAATAGGAGTTTCGTCCCATGAAGTAGAAAATGGTCTTGAAGAGTCTCCTTTGGTCGGCAAATAGTCACCGTCAACTTCTTCTTGCAACTGTTTCCTCTCAGAGAGGTGTTCTCGTCTTTGCATGCTATTGTCTTTGGAACGAATAACTATCATTGACTCAGAAAGGTGATTACTTAAACAATCCAATGAGTTGCTTTCTTTTGGTGGGACTACAAGTTGTGTTGATCCATTACGTAATAGAGAGTTGTCTAGCAATAACTCGTCAGTCAAACATGAATCTTCTTCCGTTGTATGAGAAGACTGGAAAGAATCTTGCTTTTTGCTGTCCATTCTATTAGAAACAGAGTGAATGTTTTCTTTTTCTTCATCAACTGCTTCTGATTTGTATAAAGTAGGCGGAAGAATCCTATTATTATCCCTTTCATTCCTTAATGTTGTCTTTTCAAACACTGTCTTGTCCAAAATTGTAATCGATTCAATGACTTGGCTAGTTGCTATGGATGACCTTTCTTGGATTCCACCTCTCAAGTCAAACAGACTCAAACGACCTTGTCGAAAGCTAATAATCAGATGTGAACCTGAATTCAAGAACTGCAAACTTTCACAAAAGTCATTCAACGAAAACATTCGAATCCTTTTCTTTTTCTTTTCCATATCAAAGAAGCATAGACGCTTATCCAAACCAACTGAACATAGAAGACAAGAATTGGTAGGAGAAAACGCAATCAATGATACTGGCGAAAGATGTGCCGATGAAAACTGAATTTTCACAAACCTTTCAGTAGACTTGGTATCGACAACAGTTACAGACCCATCATCACCTGCAATAGCCAACAAAGAATGATAAAAAGGTGAAAATGACATATTGGTAATACCAAAATCAAATGGTTCCAACGTCCCATTCTTAATAGTTCCGTCATCTTCTAAAGATACGATTTCAATTCGACATTCATCAAGTTGAACCGCAAGAAAATCGTCCTTCGAAGCAGTCATACGGGAAATTGGACTGGAACCCAACATCAATGTTTTCAAATGCTTTCCATCCACAAGTTGAAATATCTTGAGTTGTCCATCTTTGGTTCCTAGCAAGAATCAACTATGAAATAGCAAACACAAGCAATGAGCTTAGTGATACCTATGCAGAGAAGCTCGTCGTGGTGTAGAAAACAAATACTCGTGATATCATAAGCTTGCACTTTTCGAATAGGCCATATAATATGATGCTGAGCAATATCAACAACATAAAGTTCGTGTTGCAAAGTGACACAGGCTAGCCTTGATGATATCTCTTGTCCCGAAGCACTTTTTTGTATAGCTTTGTTGAGATGACTCTGTTTCCAGTTGTTGCAAAAAAGAAGCCATTGTTGTTCAGCGTTTTTTGTAGGAAAATCTTGTATTTGCCAATCAAAGGTATTCAGTTGCCAAAACGAAAGGCCTTGTTTACTTGTCGTAAATAATATAGCCACATCGCCATTCATTTCCTTTTTGAAATCCTTTCAAGAAAAAAAAGCAATTTGGCGCCATTTCTTATAATTTCGATAATTGTTTCTTTTGGAGGGATATGGAGTGGATTCAGTTATTGATTGGAGAACTTCCAGGAGTAGGTACTCTGAACGTATATTTATCATCTCAAGATACTGTCCGTGACTTGGAAAAATTGATATGGAAAAGGTTAGGTTATAGTTGGCCTCTTATATTTCTATATGGCGGCAAAATAGTTGCTGCTGAAGAAAGACTTGTTCGGTTTGTTAGCGGTTCTTTTCTACAAGCAAGACCTTTAGGTGTTTTAAAAGGAGGTAAAGGCGGTTTTGGTACACTTTTGAGAGGCCAAGCAGCTTTTCGTAAAAAGTCTCGAAATGTTTCGGCTTGCAGAGATTTGGAAGGTCGTCGACTTCGTGACGTGGAAGCAGAAAAGAGACTTACCAAATGGTACGCAGAAAGAGAACAAGGCAAAAGTCAGATGGGGAATTCCTATTCACAACAAGCAAGAAGAAATGAAGAAAGCGAACAAACCAAAAGGCAACACGAAGAGATAAAAGCACAAGTTGGCAATACTTGTAGAACAGTGGAAGCAAACACTGAAAGTGCTGTGGTCAAAGGTCTTGCGATGGCCACAAAACGAAAACGAAACTTTACAGAAAGTAGCAATGAACAGCGTGGAGAGAAAAATGTAGCAGACCAGTCCAAAAGGAGATGGATACTTCCAACTTTCGAAGACTCTAGTGACGAAGATGATAATATTGAGTCGTCAACTTGTGTGCAAGGGAGTCAAGAAAACTCAGTGGAACTTGACAATTTGTTATCTTCATCTCTACCTATAGCGAATATTTCGGGATAAAAGCAGCCAATAAATTTATCTGACTTTGATAATTCCAATTTATGAGAAGAGGCATTGAGGAGGTTATGACTTCGAAAAGTTCAGTTTCTGCTTCAGAGTCTTTAGAAGAAGAGCGAGACGTAGAAGATATGATTGACAGTTCCATGTATGTTGTATTCTCATTGAACTTTCAAAGTCAGTGACAAGAGAATGTAGATGTGCTCAGGTTTACCGCAAACTAGAAGATTGTCTTGCTGATAACGACCGTAACTGGTCAGCTTGTCAAGAACAAGTCAAGGCCCTTAAAGAATGTTATAAAAAGACAACTTTGAGGTCTCCAAAAGTTGACAAGTAAGACTGGTGATATATTTTTTTACGAAGAGAAAGTTTTTGTAAAATATTTTGGAACTTGTAAGATATGCTATTCTTTGTTGTGGACAACTATAAGTAAGAAAAAGAAGCATTTATCTTCGTATTACTATCAAAAGCAAAACACTTGCTATGTTTTGGGTATCTTTTCATCAACTCAACGAAACGATACTTTCAGCAAAAGATTATGATAATGCACACTCCATACTATTCTATATATACTAGTACTACTTTTTAAACAGCAAGTACTCTTCAGAATCCTTGAAAATTCTTCGGTTTTCTGGGTTCCTATCATCAAAGCTCAATAGAGCAAGTGAAGATTTCACTTGAGACTTACCATTCCCGTATATACTGCATATATTATGACACTTGCAATAACCAATACCAAACCTGCCACTACAAAAGCAGGACCATGAGGAGCATCCCATTCTGTACTTTCCTTTAAACCCAATCGTAGAGCTCTTCTTCTTCTGTAATAATTGTATAATCCGTATAATACAAAGCTTAGAGCAATCAACCAACAAAATATAACCAATAATAACTTGTAAGGATCTTGTGACTCTGAGAAGAACGCCAAAATAAATGTACCCATAGCACCAATATGAAAACCTGTGAATAGCCATTTAAAGAAAGTTCTTTCGTTAGCCATATGAGTTTTAAGATCATCATCTTTCTTCTTCTTTCCCAAGTCTTCCTTTTTCCCGCCTTTTCCTTTTTTGGTTTCTTCAGCCGTGATAGTCATAGGGTTGGTATCCATCAACATAGCTCCTAACACAACTTGAAGACATATACAATACAACTATTCAGTGTTCTAACCGTTTTCGACATCTGAATTACCACGAGGACTTCTGGTGCCTAATAATAATGTTTGTTCTTCTGGTGATTGCATTTGTTCCATTCTGTTGTCAACAATAAGAATAATATTCCTCATTTGAATCCAGTTGTGTGGAGAATCAGTTTCATGATGTCGGAAGAAAACAAGTCTGTTCAACAAACCACAGCTGAAGAAGAAGAAGAAGAAGAAGCAGCAACAACAACCATACAAAAAGACAACAACAATAGTAACCCACAAGACTCCTCCAACGTTGATGCAGAAACCAAGTCGCAACTTATCAAAGCGTTTGCTGATGTAACCAAAGTTTCTCCTTCTCAAGTATTGCTTTGTTTTTCTCATCTACTGAATCTTACATTGAGCTTCTTATTCTTTTTTTTAATGATATTTAGGCTGAAGAATATCTTCAAAACGCCAACTGGGATTTACAAATAGCAGTACGACAATATTTTGATCACAACGATACCACTTTTGGGGAAACTTTTACTGCTGACAGTATTGCTTCACACATTGCGGAAATAAGAAAGAAAGCAAGTGAACTTTCGGTTATCGCACAACAAAAGGCCAAGGAAAATCTGGGTTTCGTTGGACAAGGTGTTTCCAAAGGTTGGGGTACTTTAAACCGATTTTTGGATAACGTGTTTCATATGAAAGAAGACGAAGAAGAAGATATACGTAGACGTTTTGCTGATATGTCGGCACAAGATTGGGAATCAGAGTTTGAAAGAGCTTTTCCTACTTGGGCCAAAGAACATAGTCTTATAGATGCCTTTCCTTGTTCTTTGATGCAACGGTAACGAATATACATACATTTATTGTATTCTTTGTTTGGGTTATACTGAATGACTTGTAGTTATCGTTGCGTGGATAATGATGCAACTGAAGAACAAATTATAGAGTTTCCTGGAGTATTGTTTGTGACTGTAGGGAAAGTCGCTTTTCGAGCAAGTCATGATCAAAGCAGTATGGAAAAATTTGAGGTAATAAGAAGAAAATCATATGGAATGTATTATCGCCAACTCCTCATGATGTATAGGTTATTATAGGACTGGATGAAATATCAAGAATACAAAAAGGAAAAGAAGGAAGAATAAGGCTCGTAACCAAGATTCAAACGTCTTTTATATTTTCTCGTTTCAAGGACCAAGTCGAGTTTGAAAGTGCACTTGGCATATTGGAACAAATTTGGGAATCTTCGCACACGAAAGAAACAACGAAGAGCGCAGTATCTCCCGATAATTCTACCAATGAATAACTATTGCAAGTTCTATTTCTTTTTTTCATAATATTCAACTGCTTTATTTCATAATATTAAATAGAATGATTTTGTTAGCCTTTGCAAGTCATCCTTTTCTTAAAGAGAGACTTCGTCCATACGAATCTTTTCTCCACAATAGTCGTATTGAGTGGATTGGATGACAATGTCCAAATGACAGTCAAAGTAAAGGAGGATTCTCAGCTTTCATTTATTCCTACACAAAAGGAAGAGGATTGTCAAAGATTTTTTTCAACAAACACGTTTGGTTTTGTTGAAGTATCATAATATGGCAACGATAGATAAAAGTATTCCTGACCATTTTCGTGGTGTATTATGTCGAGGGATCAAAAACTATACGGTGGAAGAAGAAATTGCTTCAAAGGACACGCTGTTTGAAGGTCGTTCAAAGGAAGAACTCTTACCTGGAGAAGTACTGATACGAGTCACCCGTTGTGGAATCTGTGCAGGAGACGCAAAAGTAAGAACATCGATGCATTGACCAAGCAGTTGATAATTTTTCTAGTGCTGGAGTGGTGCTCCCATGTTTTGGGGTGATGAAACCAGAAAGCCTTATGTACAAACTCCAGTAATACCAGGTCACGAGTTTGTTGGAGAAGTTATTGCTATTGGTGACAGGGAAGAGAAAAGTCAAGTCAAAGTGGGAGATCAAGTAACTGCTGAACAAATTGTAGCTTGTGGCCGTTGTTTGTATTGTCGAAAGGGTCTTCGTTGGTTGTGTGCTCCTCACGACATATTTGGTTTTCATCGTTGTGTACACGGCGGTATGGGACAAGTAAGTTGTAAAATATGAACATTTGATCATGAATAATCATTCCATGGACACCTTCATAGTACATGCGGTTTCCACAAAATAGTATCATTTATAATATTCCAAAAAAAGTATTCCCATCAGAAGCAGTTTATATAGAACCTCTAAGTTGTGGTGTTCATGGAGCTCATAGAGGTCGTATCGAATTGGGTGACACAGTAGTTGTCAGTGGTTGTGGTCCAATTGGCTTAGGAATGGTTGCAGCCGCTAAATTAGCTGGTCCAGGTCGCCTGATCGCTTTGGATTGTATGGACTCTAGGCTAGATATTGCTAGAGAATGTGGAGCGGATATCGTGTTGAATCCTCTCAAGACCAACGTAATAAACGATATTCAAGAGTTGACAGATGGATATGGATGTGATGTTTATTTGGAAGCTACTGGAAACCCTAAAAGTGTAGAACAAGGTCTCTATATGATTCGGAAAAATGGAAGATTTGTGGAGTTTAGTGTTTTCAAAGATAAGACTTCTGTTGATTGGACTATAATTGGAGATACAAAGGAGTTGGATATTTTGGGAGCACATTGCAGTGGAGATAACGGATATAAAGTGGCTATTGATATGATTCTTCGTCGACAGATTCCTGTTGAACGTATTGTTACTCATGAATTGAGTTTAGACAATATTATTCAAGGTATTCAGTATGTCAACGAAGGAAAGAATTCTATCAAAGTGGCAGTTGACCCTACAAAATAATTTACTATCCAATAAATTCCGAATGTGTTGTTTTATAAAAGTAGACAAGTGGACATGTATAATGACTATCGAGCAGTTGTCCCGTTCTGAATAGAATGCTTTTCACGAGTTCAAGTCCAAATGACATAATCCTTCTGAATAGAGAATGGCCATTGTCTATCGGACACAATGAAACGAAGAGAAGTATAAAGCGACCCAAAATGTTTTGTCCATTGAATTGGATATTATCTCACTCTCTTAAAGGACGAGGGCTCATTTTCAGTTTTATTGATTGCTATGAGTATGTCGGCTAACGAAAATTTGTTTACAGAGGAAAGAGCAAACATATATACAGAAACAGAAAACGAAAACTGGAAAGAAGAAACTGTTGAAGATTTGGATGATGAATATTTAACAGAAGAAGAAAAACTTCATCCATGGAAACAAACCAAAGTATTTTATTGGTCCGTATTTGTAGCTTCTGTTGCAGTATTGTTTTATGGTATTGATATTTCTGCCATCAGTGGAGCACAAGTAGGTTACAAACCACACTTTCATATTTCTTCTAGAACCAATTTGGTTGGAGTTATGGTGTCTTGTATTTATTTTGGTACTTTTATTGGAGTATTTGTTGCATTATACACCAATACTTATTTTGGAAGAAGGTTCTCTATATGTGTAGCAGCCATTTTGTCTACAGGTGGCTGTTTATGGGAAGCACTTGCTCCTTCTTGGCAAGTATTTATTCCTGGGCGTCTGGTAGTTGGCATTTCTTATGGTATTATTGGAGAGACTGCACCTGTATTTCTCGCAGAAATGGCTCCTACGAGTATTAGAGGTGGCATAGTATCTCTGTATCAGCAAGTAATTACTATTGGCATCTTTATTGGCTATTTGGTGAACGTGATATTTGTTTGGGTGGATTATAAAGTAACAGGTTGGCGTATTATGATTGGAGCTCCTATGGTTCCTTCTATCATTGAAGTGTTTCTTGTATGGACAGCTCCAGAATCTCCAAGATGGTTAATCAAAAGAGGCAGATTGGAAGAAGCTAAGCGTAATTTAATGAAACTTCGACTTTATCCAGAAACTGCTGAAAAGGATTTCATTCGTATTAAGAAATCTATTGAAGAAGATGAAAGACTTCAAGAAGGCAAAAATTTGATGTTGGAGTTGATTCGACTCCCTTTCTTGAGGAGAGCTGTTTTGGTTGGCATCATGGAAATGTTGTTTCAACAAATGAGTGGAATGAATGTTTTTATGAATTATATTGATACTGTCTTTCAAGAGAACATTCATATGAGTTCACGCGATTCTGTTGCAGTTAGTTTATTTCCAGGTTTTGTGAATATGATGGCTACTCCGATAGTATTCTTTACTATTGATCGCTATGGTAGAAGAACATTACAATTGGTCACTTTTCCAATTATGTTTTTAATGTTATTGATGGTATTATTTTCCTTTTATGGAGATCGCAAAGTGAACTTGGCATTCTTTATTATTGGAGTTATATTCTTCATCGTAGCTTATTCTCCTGGTGCAGGTCCAGTGCCTTGGACCTTCTGTGCAGAAGTATTTCCTACTTATGTACGTGCAGCAGGAACTTTGGTTACCACATTTTTTGTGAATGCTTTCAACTTTGCACTTTCTTTCTCTTGGCCTTCGATGGAAGCTGCATGGGGACCACAAGGATCATTTGGTTTCTATGCAGGTTTTAACTTTTTAGGAATATTAATGCAATTTCTATTCCTTCCTGAAACCAAAGGATATACCTTGGAACAAATGAAAGTCGTATTCGAAGAAGGACTATTTACTATAGCATGGTATCATATCCGTTCAGGTTGGAGAAGTCTTCGAAAGTTGTTGGGTTTGCCTGTATCCAATACTCCTCTTATTTCACCCTATGATAAAGCTGTGGCATTATCAAGAGCAAGAGAAGAAGAATTACGTCGTCATTCAGGTGAGCCAGTGAAGGACGGATAGACGTAGACTGTTTAATTAAGATGATGGAGGCATGTCACTGTTGCGTTTTGTTTGAATAAAAGTATACTTTAAACCAGCATTGTTTGCATTGGCATAGAGAATAAACCACATTCCAAAAATCGCTTTGGTATATTGCGGTGAAATGAATTTTAAGCACTTACCAGAGCTGTTGAAGGGGTAAAATACGCAAATACTCGACTTCTACAAAGAGTATGTCGACCGACTCTAGTAAACCTTGCTCAGCTGTATCACATTATTGAAATATTCCTTCACGACGGTGACAACTGATCTTCTAATTTTGCCGTTTGTTTGATGAACAAACAAGCAGTGATGCCTAGTGCAGATTTCGCTGACTTTGAAATATAGATCGAGAAGATATGTGTCCCCATATCTATACAACATATAAGACGGAAGACTGAAATGATACCACGATGTTGCGATAGAGCCTTGTGTTGGAGCAAAGCAGCTCAGCAGAAGAAACTTCTGGTTAAGAGGGCCTTTAACCTCGAACCTTAAATGGGCAACATATAGCCAAGTTGGAAGTTGACTTTTTTTTTGACGTCGATAGTCTATGAATAGTGTGAGAATTATTATCCAAAATATTCCAGAGTACTTTTGAAGTCTCATGCCATCTCAGAATGGTCTTCGGAAATGTTACCAAGAATACCCTTGGAACAGATTTCTTTCTTGCTTTGGAATATGTAGATTATCTTGCAAGTCAATTTCCATATTTGTGTGACTCCAATCCATGAATTGAAAAAGGACACTGAAACAAGAAAAAAGAGTCAACTATTGCTATTGAGATTCATATCCATCAAAAAAAGTACTAAACATCAAAGTGATGGATACAACTTTCCCTCATTCGAATGCATTTTGCACGTTTTGTAACGGAAACGAATTCCATCCAAATCTCATTCCGAAAGTAGCTCAAGTTTAGAATTCAAGAATACCCAACTTGAATCCTCAGACAGCATCGGTTCAACTGTTGTAGTCTGTCAGATAAACTTTTTTTGCAGATGAAAAATTTCCATAAATATTAAAAATAATAAGTGATGACCCGAGCAATGTTGTTGTTCTCTATAAAGAGGATAGATAAAAATGTCAAAATAGCTAGAAACTCCAATAAAGAAGCATTACCATGAATAATGTGAATTCTTTCAAGTCTTTAAGAAGAAGAAAATGTCGATCTAGAGTAACTATGAAGACATGTAAGGCATCATGTAGTTGAGCTTTAGCATTCTTTTCTAGAGTCCACGATTACCACCTACCAATTTGAACAGAGAAAATTGCTTCTTGTACCGATGAAATACTCATGCACAAGGAATAGGAAGATCCAGTCCACTTTATCCATACAGAATTTGATATTTATAAAACTCTATGTCCTTTTTGATAAGTTCGCCATGCGTATCTCTTTACAAGTCATTTTATACCAAAATGAATTCACGAGAAAAGGTTGATGAAAACAATGACCGAAAAACTTTCAAGGAAACTGTGAAAGGAATGTACGTTTTATTGTTTGAGCGTTTGCCTTATTTGATAAGCTGTAGAACTGATCTCTTTGACAGTTCTAGACTCACATTAACATTAGAGAGAAAGCCGGAATATTTTCTTACTCATCATAACTAGAAACTTTCTTTTACTATAGTCAAAAGGTAGGTTTCAAGGAGTTTTTATGGGAAGTTAGATTGATTCGTGCTCATTCTATGGCTTGTAACAATGGAGTATGTGATCCAAATCACAAAATTGTGGTTAGAAGAATAAGTTTTTCAAAAGTTTGATATAGTTTTTGACAGTGTCTTATAAAACAGCCCGATTGATGAAAACTTTTGAAAATGAATTGTTTTAGAAAACTTCTCAAAGACTCAATTGATATTCATTAAAGAACAATAACGATATATTCTTAAATATTTTTGGAAAGAGATGAAACTATTTCTTGTAGGGTTGAAATGCCAATATTTCTCGAATGTGGATTATCCACAGATTTGAAAGCGTTCCTTAAATTCGATAAAATGTCTTTGCCAATAAAGTTTTCTACATCGGCTTCAGAAAGAATAACCAATTCACAGTTGTGAGGAATCACGAAATCTTCAACACTATCGCCAGATGAATAACAACGACTAGAATGATTCAAGTCCTCAGATACGTTGGTTGCTAACTGAGTACTCATAATAATCAACATACAATGCCATGTAGAATGACTAGTCAATACTTGATCATGCACTGGTTTTAAAAACTTGTGAGCTTCTTCCAAAATTTTCATTCCATCGAATACCATTACGACTCCATCGGCCTTTACAAGCAATACCCACTCATCAAGTTCTTCTCATTCGTTCTTCCATGCAACTTGAATAATATCTCTGGACTATGGGATGTTGAATGAAATGGAATATATATCTTTTCAAGTTCTAACATTTCTTCCACTATCCTTTCCCATTCATTGCTTCCAAATGTCATTCTCTCTGTTCCTGATACAGTTCTGGTATAATGTATAGATTTCATATAATAAGCAGCAGATTCGGAAGAAAATTGTAAATTCATTTCATTCCAAACACGAGACAATTGACCAAGAGTAGAAAACATTGAGCTGTTTGTAGGATGCCGAGAAAAATGTAAATAAAACAGTGTCGCAATAAGACCTTCCAAAATTCGACATTTCGACTCATAAAAGAATTCCATAGATTGAGACTTGAGGGTTTGTAAAAGTAACCATTCTAAACGATCATCCTTTACGCCTTGGTCAATATATTCAATCAGTAACTTGGGTATCAACACTTCATAGCGTTCGTTGTGGTCTGGTTCTATAACCAATCGACGATAGAGACACATATCTGTAACTAGGTCAAACAAAAACACATCAGAATTTGAGCTTATTTGCACAGTTTCATCAAAATCAAATCGAATACGATACAAAGATAATAACGTAAGCATTCTTAACAAGCGCTTACGCTGCTCACTGAGACTTATCAGACGAGGTAAGAATGGCGCAACACAATAATTTGTTACTAGAAAGCTATTCATTATGATCAAGAAGGTTTCCTTAGATAATGAGAAATTGTTGTTGGATGATTTATACAGCAGAAGGTAACTGATTGCTCGAACAAGTAAACCAGGAACACCACCAGTCAATTCCAACAACAATTCTGCAAGTTCACTAGTTGAGAAGTCTTCGTGACAAAGAATTTCTGAAACCTTTGGGCTCCCAGGGAATAAAAAGGAAGAACTTTTCTCCAAATGTTCCACGATACTCTGTTTCTCAAGCGGCGAAAGAGGAATAAATACTAACTGAACTCTTGAGACTGAAGCTACGTAATTGTATATATTTAAGCCTTCACTTTTCCCAACAACTATAAAAAACAAGTCGGGTTCTTTGCACAATTGACTAATGATACCGAAAAAGTCGTTGTAAGGTCGAACTCTACCTTTGTTGTTTTTCTTGAGTTGAAATTCGTTTCGCTTTTTGTCAAGGACACCAACTTCGTCAAATGCCACCAGGAGATATTGATCGGAAGGAATGTTTAGTATTTCTCGTATTTTTTGGACCATATGCATTATTTCTAAGTTTTCTTTCTTTGGCACATTCGTCCGGGTCTGGTTGCGGAAGACCTGATTGCGGGCAGGCAGCCTTTATTAACAAATAGTAGACTGCCCACTTTAGGTTTCGTTTTTTCTCGTGGGTTCTGTTGGCTTCAACTCCTTCAAATCCACAAAGAGCAATGAAGCCCTTTTCAGCTTCTCCAGGAAACCTCTTCGGTTGGCCTTCTCAGACTCACCAACGTAATCGAGACCTATCAGTGCACTTTCACCCATATTATTCACCAGTTCCAAGTAATTTTGTACGAATTTTGTCTTTCCACTTCCGAAGAGGTGGGGACCAAAGGGTATGACTGGTTTGAAATGGCGACCAAGTTTACGTAGAGTGTATAGCCTAAATAACTGCAGTGTTACTACACCAACATCTTGTTCTCGGTCTACTACAACCATGTCATACACGCTTTCTGCTTCAAGCTCACTAGACATATCGTAAGCTATGAAGTAAACTATGCGACAGTAAAATACAACAATGATCGATCAATCTTCTTCCAGCAGTCCAATGCTCTCAAACTCTTGAGAGCGACGAAAGTCTTTTGAAGCTTAGGACAAGTCTTGATAAGAACATGATTTGCCTTTTAGATAAAAACTATCTTTTTCATTTTTTTGTAATAAAGAGTGGATATTGGTTTGTGTGCAATTGTATATAAAAACAACTTCTCTGAGCTATTAGAAAATAGACCAGCTGAGGAACTTTCAACTTGAGGCGAACTATAAATAAAGTCTTTGACGAATACAATACCTTGTATAAAACCCATTTGTCAACACTTTGGGACACTCTCCTGAGTAGTAACAAGAAGCAAATATGACCTGTCAAATTGTGACAGTGACTTTTACAACAATAGGCTTATTTTGATTTTCGTGGTTAGTATCATATTAATACAATAATCCTCAGAGTGAAAGCAAATAAGTTGTAACCGAGTTTCAAACATACAAAAAAAAGTTTATTTGCTCTTCAAAACAAATCACAAAGTGAAGGACTGAGTTAGAATCTATTGCCAACTTAAGAAACTGTTACGGATTCTATTAAGTAAATCTAATCCAAAATCCCAAAAAGTAGGATTATGAGAAACATGAAATGCTCTTTCAAGTCCATTCAATATTTCTTTGTCAATCAGCATTTGGATATCTCTTTCACAAAGAATAACAAGTTCACAATTATCAGGTACTTTGAAAGAATCATTTCCAATAAACATTCCACTGGAGTAACAACGACTCTAATTACCCAACTCATTAGAAACATTCAATGATAACTTTGTACTAACGATAATAAGCATACAATGATGATGATCCATTGCACTGGATAAGACTTGATCATATACAGGATCTAAAAATTTCTTGGCTTCATCTATAATATCTGACCAGCCAATTCCTTCCGACTTCCAACGTCCTTTACATGCAACTCCAACAGTAAGAACTTTGGGTTCCACAGGAGATTGTAATTTGAATATAATATCAGGACTATGAGAAGTAGCGTCCAAAGGAATGTAAATAGTCTCTAAATAAAGTGTTTCTCGAATAATCTTATTCCATTCAGTATTGGCAAAAGTTCTTCGACTCTTGTTCGATTCATTTCTTGTTTCTCTAGAACTAACGACAGACTTCATATAGTGAATAGGTGATATTGTACTGATTGGAAGTTTCATTTGTTTCCATATTGGAGACAATTGACACAATAATTCCCTCAACTCATTTCGATTCTTTGAAGACAACATCAAAACTAGTCGTAAAGCAACAATTCCTTCAAATACACGACACTTTGAATAGAAGAAACAATCTACTGGTTCTACATCAAGTGATTCGAGAAGTATCTTTTCCATAGGGGAAATGGACGGTTGCTTCTTGAAGATTCCAACAAATATTTTTGGAATCAGGATTTGCAAAGTATTCTGGTCAATAGGATATCGATATAGTCCCATTTCAGTTACTGCATCATATAGATAGGACTCCGAGGTCAATCTGTTATCTACTTTAGACGGTATACGATAAAGTGCCATCATTAAAAGTATATCAAAAACACTTTTTCTATCTTCGTCCAAATTCAATATTTGTTCCACAAATGGTTCAGCACAAATTCTTCGGAAATCGTAGTCATTCATACAAGTCAAACATTCTTCTTTCGATATGAAAGGCTGATTTCTTGCTATTATATAATTCAAAAGCATATTTACTGCACGAGTCAACAAACCAGGAACTCCACCTGTACATTCCAATAATGAGTCTGCCAATTCATTTACTGAAAATGAAGAACTACATAAGACATTACAAACCGGAACTTGAGTAGGTGTCTTTAGAAGACTCTTTTCAAGGAATTCAACGATACTGGAAGCGTCCAAAGGTGATAAAGAAATAAAATGTAGTATAACTCTTGATAGCCCAAAAGCCACATCATTGTTAATACTTAAACCCTTGCTTTTCCCAACAACTATAAAAAACAAGTCGGGTTCTTTGCACAATTGACTAATGATACCGAAAAAGTCATTGTAAGGTCGAACCACGCCTTTGTCATTCTTCTCCAGTTCAAAAAAAGTTGCCTTTGTATCAAACACACCAACTTCATCAAATGCTATCAGAAGATATTGATCGGAAGGAATGCCCAAAGTCTTCCGTAGCTCTGGAATTAGAAAGCTTGGATAGAGAGGAATGTGTCTGTAGGCTTCATCAGGCTTCATAAACGGTAGACCCATCTGATTACAAGCTGATCGGTACAATAAATAGTAGACTGCCCACTCAAGGTTGCGATTTTCCTCGATGGGTCGAGTTGGCTCCAACTCTCTTAAATTGACGTAGAACATTGAAGCCCTTTTCAGCTTCTCCAAAAAGGCTCTCCTCGAAGGGTCCGAAGCAAATTTCGACAGAAAAGTATCGCCAAACCTTCGCACCAACTCCAAATAGTTATGACAAAACGTAGTCTTGCCAGAACCGAACATGTGCGGAGCGAATGGTATGGTCAAGCGATAGTCGCAACTACTTGTTACACCCCTGAGTTGTTCTCTGTTGCTATGAAGATCATACAGTTCTTTTGTCACTCGAACAACATCTCTTTCACGATCTACCACAACAGACTCAAATTTGTCCACAGCTTTCCACTTTTCATCCAAACTCGCCATCGCCAAAGTGAAATTAAACAATCTTCTGTTTATTTCGGAGTACAAATATAAATAAATTAATGATTTTCTTTTTGTCGGTCACCAGTACATCGAGGAAAACAGTAAAGGATACCAATCCAACTTCTTCTCTTTATCAACTGATGACTATGTCATACCCTTTATGGCTTGGACTGAGATGATTTGAACTATGGAAGAACGATCAATATGGCTTTTTCAACTATCGATATTCTTATTCTCGTATGCTAATATAATGGTAACTCTCATAGGGTACAAGAAGGATTGGAAGGAAGCCAATGTTTATTTCACAAGTTTTTTATGCTCTTTGAGAGTATAAAGCTATTAAACATGGCCCATTCTCACATAGATAAGAACGTTTCTTTCAGAATTTTCGAGAGTAGTCATGAGAGTTCCGAGTGATATAGATTGTTCATGAAGAATTTGTTCCGTAGACGTCTCTCTCTAGATTTTCTGTATTTTATGGAATAGTTTTTACGTCACCTTTGCTTCATTTCGAAACACGGAACTAGATTATGAACCAAGTCATTCTCTTCTGTAGTCTATTCAAAAGCTCCAGTTGAAGTATATTATTTAGTAGAAATGCAGAAACCCGCAAGCATAGCATTGTTTTATTCTCAGCAATCATCAAATTCCTTTCTCACGATATCATGACAAGTAGCAGTTTATCACAAAAGCTACAAAAGTTGATGATAGCAAAAGACAAAGCAAAACAAATGTGCAAAGAAGGATCCAAAATATTTGTGATTTTATCAAATCTCAGAAACAACATTGACTCACACAAGTGTATCATCAATACTCAATTTCTGTAAGAGTCAATAACTCCTGTTTCTTTCTCCTCTGAAAATAGTGGCATTTGATACTGTGACTTCTGTTAAGAGGAGAAAAGATATTTTTCAAGAAATTCAATTCAATCGAATTGAGTCTATTCTATCGATTCTTTTCTCGTATCTTGTCATTGCATAACATTTGAATCATAGTTGAATTCCTTCTCCTCAATAGTCGACTATACAGTTGAGGTGTTTTTGAAGGTAAACATGACTGTTTAGGTTTAAAGGTTTTGACTGCCTTCTCTTGTACGATCAACTTTGTAAAAACTACAACTTTTGAAGATATATAAGAAAGCAAACTATAAAGTGTACAAAGATGCTTTAGGAACGATATAACTCCAAGAGGGCTATTATTTCTTCCAATATAAAAAAGTAAAACTTTTAAAAGCTCTGCAAATTCAAAGAACGATTTGTCCAGTTGAGTCCTATTCTTCTTCCATTCTCAACCATCAGATCATTGAATAAGTGAGTCACTATACAAAAGTTCCTTGCGTTAGGCACTTGAAAGAAGACTCTTGCGAAGTATAACCTGATGGGTACATTAGTAGAGGCTTCCTTTTGGATATTTGTGACGAGAATCAAAGACAACTCAACGTTTCGTATAAAACACGAGTCTATCAATAGAAGGAATGTTCATTTCTACTAGGGGCAAGTCAAGCTTGAAAAAGAAGAGAAACGCTGATTTATCCAAGTTGCTCTACAAAGAATAAAATTGTCGTCAACTCGCAAACAATATTCAGCAGAATAAAACAAAAAAATTTATCTGATTCCTTTGCAGAGTCAAATCTTAAATGATATTTTGGTTGTTATCCAAACTGGTAAAGGTCTTGTTCTTTTAAATATACTGGATCAATTTCGTCTCCTAGTGAAAAGAAAAGAATATAAACGTAGAAATAATGGAAAAATAAGAATCTTTCATCTCCTCTTTGCAAAGTAACAAAGAAACGTGAATCTTGAAATATATGTGCAAGGAGAAGCGAAAGCATCGCCACTTTTACCGTTGTTATACTAGTCAAAAACTCTC